TCGTCCCGTTGTGATTTTGCAATTTTTTCTCAAAAATCTAGCCGAAATCACCAAAATCTGGAAAACAGGGTCTAGTCTATGGCAATACTAATACGTCTTGAGAATTCAGACTACTGCAATTGGCAATCGAAATATGACATGATCAGCTTATTTCAAAGCAGGTACTTTTCTAGATACATCATACAGAACTTAAGTCCAAAACATCATCATTTTGATGATTTCAGGTTAAAATATTTGCGGCCCATCTTTGATTTTTGACTGATCTTGAAATCAAACACACAACTACCAACATTGCAAGTCCTATATGATCAAGAAGATTCACAAAGTGTTGCCTTTGAGGGAGAATCTAGGGTCCCTAAAATTTTATTTCTTAGAATTAAATATACGATAAAACAACGTTGGCGATTTCATAATTAATGTTTCTGAGTCACAGCTTGAAAATTATGCAAATTCAGAAAATTCTATGAGCATCGTAAAAGGAACCTGCGCAGAAGCTCCTGTCGTGATCAAACGTTTTTTCTTAATGTTCATTTTCTTTAGATGCAACCTTTAGATTCTTTAGATTGCTAATTTGACTTTCATTGGACGAGTGAAAAAGACACAGAAGTGAGTAACAGATGTCAACTTCCGTCATTCTGGGATGCTTTCATGTACATAGGCCATTTTAAATTTCAACATTTCATACAAAAATTTCTGCAATAAACCTTCCGTAGATGTGATTCGAATCCTGGTCCCTCGGTCACTTAGCTTTAAAATCTAGGCTGCGATGCAACGGAAACGCTATGTCAAAATAGTGAGATAGGCCCTTTTCAAGCATTTTCGAGAAACATGCGCAGTCATACAGAACACAACATTGAATCTATTATCTTACAAAGAAACTTACCGGAAACTTACCGACATCGTTCACTTCTAACCATGCCGGAAGGGAAAACTTAGGCCGTACCAACTTATAAGCCGCCGATGTAGATGCTACCAGATAAGAAAAGCAATTGTTTAGGTCATCAGGGCCGTACAAGACCTTTCATTCTTTCTCGTGTTTACTATTATTCAGCAGAATAAGGGTTATTAATCATAAGGCGAGTTCGCAACAGCATCTCAATAAATTCACCTGCAGAAAACGCCAGGTGCTAGCGTATAACATGTCGATCTCAACTGATTCGCCAACTCATTTTGCAATATTTGCGAACAGGTATGGAGTTAAAAAAACTTGCTAGCACATTTACAGCTATCAAAGCCAACACGAAAAGAATCAATGCTTCTATCAGGGGAAAATTTGTCTGAAAAGATGATAAATGCGTTTTGATATCAAGAAAGTTTTTCATGGATCATGTAAATCATATATTTTTTAGCTTGAGTATGCATGATGTTGAGTTGATTTCTTGCCGTTTCACATAAATATCATTTATCGGTTGTTGTCAAAAATTTTATTTTGTTACGATGTTTCATAGTCATGTTAATAGTGAACATATGCATATGTGAAAGTTTAATTTTTTGTTAGGAGGGGCGTTTATTACACGGAGGCGCCTAATTTCATTCTTGGACAAAATTTTTCATCATTTCACTTGTCTTGTATATATCATAAACATGTTTTACAGTAAATAGCATTGAAAAAAGCAAACATTTCACAACATACTAAAAGTTTTTTCGTCTGACACTCCTCAGAGTATAAAACGTCAGAATAAGGGTTCGAAAGAACACGATGGAAAATATATACACAATTGTGGATCGAAATAGGCCAATCAGAGAAACGCAAGCACATGACCGTCGCAAACAAGTTATAAGACGTAAAAATCTACAATGTGCGAGAAGAGAGAGGCGCTGGATTAGGCCGTCCATAGGACTCGATGAATCTTGAAATGAAAAAAAATTTGTAGATAAAAAATAATCGCCAGTCGATGAAGACCAATTAAATACAAGTTAATCCATTTTAAAAAGGACTAAAATTCAGAAAAAAAATTTAAGTTAGTTCGCTAACATTTCGCCCAGATATGTTCCTACCACTTACTTACAAAAATAATAATTTTTTCAGGGATTATAAAATGTGACTGTATTTTGCACAAGTGACTAAGTTCTACTCTGAAATAAATCTATCTGACGAGTACATTTACTAAACATATTTTTATCTGATAAATATCAGAAGCAGTTACACGAGAATAAACAGTTCTAATTTTTACAGATTTGGTGAGGATAAAAGCAAATTCTGTTTTCCACTAGCCTGCGTGCAGACTTTACTTTCCGTTGCGAAGGAGAACCAATACCTCCTGGCTCTCCTTCGCAACGGAAAGTAATGTTTGCACGCAGGCTAGTTTTCCACCTGAATAGCTCAATTTTAATTTTACTGCATGCTCGAAATTTTAGTCAGAGAAAAGCAACTAATTTAGAAACTTTGTCGCAGAAGAAGGGTGACTAAATTTTTGCAAGTGATTTGATCCTTTACACCGATTTCTTTATCCCGAAAAATTACTAAAAATTGCATGAAGACAGAAAATAGTTCGTTATATCGGTTAAACCAGTTAGTTAAACAAGGAGAAAACATTTTTTAAATCTTTTCTCAGTTCATGCCTAGAAAACCTTTTGCTGGCTTGTTTAGGCCACCTCCAGCTACTTTACACATTTAACACAAAAAGCCAAGCAGAGTTCAATATTGGTTGGTCCTTGAAAATAAAAATCTTAATGTTCCTTTCATAACTTGGGACCAAGAGATTGGCAAAGCTGGTTTCACTTCACTTCTAGATCGCGGCTGAATGGCGTCTTCGATAACTACAAATTCTTATTTGTCTTCTTCTGCTTCTCCATGTGGGTCTCTCAAAATTTTTTTAGTCGTTATGCATCATTGCCAATGTTTCATATGTCAGAAAGTCATCGTTAGTGCCAATGTACTCATTTGCAGTAATCTCTGACGCAATCAAACATTTATCTCGTGCTCTAAGTCTAGCAGCCAGTGCTTAAAATGTGTTATCGGCCCGTTTTTCCGATTACAAAATGACTTCCCGCAAGAGAAATTGTATGAAAAATTTCATCTGATATAAAAAATCATATCTGACAACATGTTTAATAGCTTTGCACATTGATACATCTACCTTGTTGCAGATTGTTAAAGAACTTGAATGCTACTTGTTACTGTCACACTAGCAAATAGGGACTCTGCTTGTTTTATGCGATGAGACCTTCACAGACATCTCTAAAAAAGAATGCCTTTAAACAGTGAAAAAATGATTTTAATTCTCTTTCTTTCCTACTACAGCTAAAAGAAGCCACTTCAAGTTCTGAAAAATCCCTACGATACCTTATTTTGTATTTGTTTCTACCTAGAACTGAAAGGTAGTTTTTAGGACACTGAGAAGCTGTGCTTATTGAGCAGTGTCCTGGTTCTTCCTCTCGATGTGACCACACCGTGTGATCCCCAACCTTGTGCCTGGAATTACAGAGAGCAGGTGACTCTCCTGACTCTAAGGGTGAGATTTGTTATTTCAGGGACTCAAACCACACACACTTAGATTAATAGTCTGTGACACTAACTATTGAGCAATTTTCACCCATACCTTCCTACAATTAAATTCATTTAGAATTTCATTTAAAAGACAGTATATAATTCAAGAAAACAAAAGGGATATATGCAAAAAAAGCTGTTCTCACCTTTTTTCCAAAGTTTTAAAAAATATTATCATGTACAAGCATAATTGCAAACACTATCATAAATTGCCAATTAGCCTCTTTCCGTTGTTTTAGATTTATCTGTTATTCACCAACTGATCCATTAACAACAATTTTTTTTAGCTGAAGTGCTATGAACACCAGCAAGTATTTCATTCAGAAGAAACATAGTTGGTACCTGTTAGAATCGCGATATGTATCCCTAAAGGGTGTCTGCAATTTTCACAGTCATCCATAATTTCCTTTGAGTTTAAAAACCAGGAAATGCAGAAAGTTAATGAAAGAAGATCATGATTTGATCATGTATTGAGCAGAAAGAAGTGAAAAAACTGTTACTTGGTGTATGATATTTATATGACAAAGGCAGTTCGTATTGTAAGACCACAACTTTTGAGAATTGCTCCTTTAAGGTAAAAAAGTTTTGATGCTACCATTCCTCATATAATGATAACTTTTGACAGTTGAGGCACTGTTTACTGTTTTAAGAAAGCTGACTTTAAGTATAATGAATACAATGAGGTTTGGTTTATGGTGTTGGTTATAGCAGCAGTACTGATACCAACACTTTATCATCAGCACAGAAGTCATCCTCTTTCTATCAACCTTAAAAATTAATCAGTCAGAATATAAAGACACAAAATAGAGCGTTGTTAACTGCATTGTCAGTAGTTTGGTTGAATTTATTGAAAATCAATTCAATGAGGCTGTTAAACTTTCTATCCATGGTCATTGTTCGATATAATTTTCGTTGCTACCAAAATATATACTAGGTTTGTGATCATGCAGGCCTAGTACTCACAACCAAGTATGTGATATTACCGTAGATCCTCAAATAAGCCCCCAGATGCTTATTTGCAAAAATGAATTTTTGGGTGGGGGCTTATTTGAGAGGGGGGGGGGCTTATTTCAAAGTTAGTATTTTCCCCAAAGGTAGACATAAAAAACGACATTGCTTTTCTAACAAAGAACCAACAAATATTATCATTTTTATCATCACAAAAGTCACTTTTTTGCTTTTTGGTCTCCAGTCAAAGAAAATAATACTATATAGCTATTGTCTAGTGGGGGTTTTCTTGAAATAAGATATTATTCTGCAATTATGCTTACCTTGAATAAGCACCCATGGGGGCTTATTTGAGGGGGGAGGGGTTATTTGAGCATGGGGGCTTATTCGAGGATTTACAGTATAGCCAGCCAGCCACAACAACAGAGTATTGAAAACTGGTTAAAAACCTTAAAATACATAAAACTGTACAAGCAGTGTTTTATCAGGTTGCAGAACAATTTGAAAATCAACCAAGCCTTTAAAGTGTTATAAAATTCATACAAATATTAAACATGAAAGGTCAAATAAAGACGTTTTCACAGGACATCAGATCTACAGGCATGTCTTCTATGGTGTTTCGTCTCAGATCTAATTTTGCCATCCTCATGATGTGCTTACAAAATTCTTCACTCACAACTTTGATCTTGTTTCCTTGGATAATTAGCGACATTAAACTCGGTATTAATAACAAATCACAGGGAATTTCATCAAAGCCATTATCAGATACATCAATATACATTAGGTTTTTGAACTCTTTCGTTGTATCTGGAAGTTTTTTTAGGTTGTTTTGTGACAGATTTAACCACTTCAGCTTTTTGATGCTAGTAATTTTGTCTGGAAGAGAGCTAATTTTGTTGCCTGCGAGTCCTAGAAATTCTAACATTTCAAGGTCACAAATTTCTTCTGGAAAGTACATTAGTTGTGACCTCTGGATGAAAAGTCTAGTTAATTGTTTTAACTGCTTTATTTGCGATGGTATGAAGCCCATTGGATTCTCACAAACGCAGAGGCATTTGAGCTCCTGCAAGGAGCCTAAACCACTCGGAATCATTGTTAGTTCGTTATCATCCAAATTGAGCTCTTCAAGGTTCGTGAACATCTCGATTTCCACTGGCGGCATTATCATATGACAAGAGTTCAAATAAAGAGCTCTGATAGTTCTGCATTTGTTTAGTATTTGTGGAGGCACGACTTTCAACGTTATATTGCTTAAATTCAAAGTTGTTCCGCAGATCCTTACCCGTTCAGACACCAGGCTAAGATTATTGTCATCCATCAAAAGTGCTATATAGGCCAATCCCTTAAATTATAATTTCATCATTTTGATCCAAGCTCACCGCGTTTACAACACCTTTCTGACAGAAATTCGCAAAAATTGCCATTAAATTGATGCAATCAGCATAATCTAACTCGTTATTCAACTTCTCTGGCTTTTTTTAATGTTTTCTTGGACTGTTATAAGTAGGCCCTTGTAACTTATGATTTGAGGTTGTTGTCGTTGTGAGCCATCGTTTCCAATTTCCCGCCCATCACCATGCCTACAGCAATTGAGACAATGTTTCGCAAGGATCCAGTCTCGTGACCATGATTATTTAGATTGAAGCCAGTGACACATGACTAGAAATTTTCACAATTGATCAATGGTTTTTGCATTTATCTTTCAAGCGAAGGATGGAGAGAGAGAGGGAAACTCCATGACAGATTTTCTACCAATAATACCAGACGAAACAGGGTCCAAGGCCCCGAATTTAAAGGCGCAGAGGCCAAGTTCTATACATCGAACTTGAATTTAGTGCTTCACAACAGGGTCTCTTTGCAAATAGTTTTTTACTAATAGTGTGGGGGCATGGCCAGGGAAGGATTTAGCGGGGGTGTAGGGGGTGCGACGTCCCCAATATTTCTGTATCCTTCGGTAAATTTTGTTTCATTCGGTAAAAATCATTTGTCGGCAGTCAGTAGTAACAAAGTAACGCCAAGATTTTACTTTATTTATTTTTTATCAGTATTTACCTTCTTATCAATAGCGTGGCGGGAGGGGGGGGGTATTCTCAATTGTGTCTTAAGCTAATCTCAATAGCATTGTCGCAAAAACTTTCTGCTCGCTTTGCTCGCAGGAGAGCCTCAGCGCTTAGTAATTTCCCCATGTTTTGGGTTTGTATAGAAAAGTCTTTCACGTTCTTTAGACATTCCTAATAAAATAGAAACTAAAGCGCTAAAGCAGTCCAATCCTTAAAAAAATTGGATTCTGAAATGCTTGTCGTGGACTTTGCTCAATGGAAAACGGACTTGGTTTAAAACTTTTGAATACTGTTAATATTTTTAGATATTTGATTACAACTTTGAAAAATCACTTTTTACACATAAAGATTCCTCGCATCAAACAATTCAGGATATAAACGTTAGTAGAATTGTGAAGGAAATAGTCAGTTGTATAGTATGGTCAACCACCTATGACGTTGAATAAAGGGAAATTGCCACGTAAAAATGCCATGGCTTTTCAAATGCCTAGGGTTGTGATCAGCAAAAATATTTTCCTCTTTGGTCTACCAATCTTCCAGGCCTGGCTACGCCACAGTTAAAACCAAATTTAAAAAATGGGCGTTTTCATCATTTACCAGTGACCTGGAGGATGTGGCACCATAATTAGTGTCTAACACCCCTCAACCATTGTTGCTCAAATCCGCCCCTTGGCATGGACCCTCTGGCCCCCAAAGTGGCATGGGGTCTGCAAAACCTCTCAGTTAGTAAATGACAAAGGCCCTTGAAGACGGGGACCATGCCCCTACATTTTTACAAAACAAAAGAGGCATTTGCAAAATCTTTTGCTATGAATCTTTAGTTGCCCCCCTTCCCCACTTTCCAAGTTGCGTTGGGATCTGTGTTAATTTCTAAAACAAGCACGTTCGCAATGAGAACCTTTGACTGGTGGAGGAGCGTTGGTGGGTTTTGAAGTAAGGGCTACCTAGCATTAAGGGTGGGTTCCTTGACTAGCACGAAATGATAAACTTGACCATGAATCAAAGATATGTTTTGTATTATTAAATTCCTCACTGCTCAGGCTCACTTATGTTGAAGCTTTTATCCTGTTGAAATATTCGTATTATGATTATAATCATAATTATTATTGTTATGTCTTCCCCATTCTAACATTCGTCTCCCCCCTTCTCACATTCTTACTCACAACTATGGAATAGACGAGGACATCAATAGTGCTCTGATGGGGTGCACGAGGCAGAATTCGTTTTTTATTGGCTTTAGACTGCTGTTCTCACAAAATCAACACTTTTACATAATTTTTATATTATTTTAGCTAGTGAAAATGTTACCAAACCATAAATCTAAGGGAAATTCTTAGTAAATTCTATCCCAACCAGGGAGCTGCTCTCTTTGAATGGTTTTCCTACAGAGAGCTCCTCCTTTCATACAATTTCTGTTAGGTCTTTCTTGCATCTTTGTCGTAATTTGTTTTTTCTGTAATTATCTTAATGCAGTTACCCGAATCGCGTAATCCAAATTGTCGGTAATGGACAACCATGAAAAGCACATGTACCGCTATGGAATATGTACGAATTCCCAGTGCCATGTAATGTGGCAAGTCCGTGGACCATAGAGAGGATGACAAAAACTCCAATCCCTATACCGTAGACACATGGTTTGATTGATCCGCCTCGCCCGGGAAGAAATTATCTGTGCAACCGAAACCCTGTTTACAATAGAGCCAAACATATAATATTTGAATGCGTTTACATCAACCCGAACAAATTTTGTCCAGTTGTGACGTATAATCTGGACAAAACTTGTCCTGATACGGATTTTTGAAGTGTAAACGGTTTTATCCGGACAAATTTTACTTTAAACACGAGGCGGCTTCCAACTTTATGGCCTCTTTTTTCTTGCTGTTCTTGCTGTTTATTCTTGCTGATCCAATGTAAACGCAAGCCAATTGCAGATTTAATTTTTTTGACCATCTGTAAGCAGGTCGCGTACAAGACAAAACATCTCCCGATACAGTGTGAACAAGGTCTAAAGCAGAACTTGCATGGTTGTAGCAGTCTCTTTTACAGAAGAATGGCAGACAGGATAACACATGAACTTATGCGACAAAACCGATCGTATTGCTCCATATATACAAATACTGCATCGAAAACCAAATGAATGCAGTTACTAGACTTGAATTACGGCTACATATGACTACATAAAAATACCATGAAATCAGCCATCACCGTCCGATTTAGTATGGGCGGCTTAACTAAGGCCAGGCTTGTAACAAAACCACTCAGGTTAAAGAATGGCAGGGGTGTTGATTTATTCGGGTTTCTAACACCAAGACCACTTAGAAAAAATTCGTTATACACCTATTAGAAGTACAAAGTGTGTTATAAACAGTTTTTTAGTCAGGGAGCAAACTGATCTAAAATTAGCTTCTTATATTCAAATGTATATATAACAATGAACAAATCTAGCGATGTCTACCTGGTGACAATATATATTATGATTTGTAACGCTAAAATATGTTTGTTGGATCCTGGGCTTTTTGGCGACATGCTGTAGTAGAGTTATAGAATTCAAAGTAAATTTCGGAAATTTTTTTCCAATTTCCCTAAGTTTGTGCCTTAATTCTTGGAAATTTGGGGAATACAGTAACTCCTAGACCATTAATGAAGAAAAACTTCTAGACAAAATAATTTTCTCTTGTTGCACTGTTAATGACTATAAAAAAAGGGTAAAAGTCACCTAAAAGTGGCTAAAATAGGATGGACTTGATCAAGTTTGGAATCAAACGCAATATCGGGACAAAATGCTTAACATTATATTTGGATAGTTTAACAGTTCGAGCATGCTCTTGGTGTAATTGTGTAACGAAACATGATAAAATACTCTGGCCTCTTCAATGTCAAAGTGCTAGAAATGAGGGAGACATGATTCTTTAACCCTTGCAAATATGCTGTATATAGTCTGCTGCTACCCTGAAACAACGTACATTTTTGAGATATGACAATCTACAAAGACAACAAAACTTTTAATATAATCGGGCCTACATACAAACGACAAAGCGATTTTAATCGTGTGAATAAGCTTTACTTAACGCTAATAGACTTTCGCGCCAAAAGGGCACCGGTTTCGCGCCATATGGGAATCTTTTAGTACCCGGGTCAACCTAATTCTATTCGAGGATAGTACAAGGTTGATGACCCTTGTGTAAATGCATAGTGACGGCACGAGTATTTTAAGTGCCGAATATCAACAATTTACAAAATTTTGCAAAAAAATTTTACGGCAAAATTTTGCAAAAACTATATACTCTTGTGAACTTTACAACTATCCAAGGACCAAAATGATTAGAAAGGAGGGCTATCATCGGACAATAACTGACTGATTTGTCGAGAATAATCGCATTAAGGAACTAACATACTAAAGAAAACAATTTAACAAAATTGATAAAAATATAAAATTCAATAATTTTATGATTAAAAAAACTGATAGGGGGAGAGAGAGCTTTGACTACGGTTACAATTTCAACAAATAATCTAACGGACGTTTGATTGCTTTTTGAGGTGACGTTGAATGAGCCGAAAGGGCCTACAGAAAATGGTTCAGGGAGAAGAAGTTCTTGAAACAAAGTTGATTCAAGATCCTGACATGGAAATTATAAGGTAGGTTTGTGGTATATCTGTGAAAGCAACTTGATATTTATCGAAAGTTATGAAAAAGGGCCTAATATGATTGACGCAAAAGTAACAAAAACTCACGCAATGAAAGTTGAAATCGAAGATTTAGACCATCTCAGTGTTCACGACGCCATGACACAAGTGGGGAAATAAACGTAATGGCGGCTCATATAATCGAGATTTGTAAATTCCTCTGTAGCTCAAACAAGGTCGATTTTTAATAAACGAAATTCAGAATTTCATTCTAAAATTAAATATTTCTCTACTCTAAAGAGGTTTCACGGCCAAAAAATAGAAGAGCGATTTCTATTCACCATGAATTTCTCACTGGCTTACTCCACCTAGGGGATTGGAACTAGCTATAGCACAATAGAATTCCATCATGGCGTCGCGAACTTCGAGATGGCCTATACAAGCTAACTGCATTCAAGTGTTTTGAGCAACCGAAGTCAACCTTATAAACATATAGTTAGATACGCTTAATAAGAACTGACTTCGTTAAGATTTTGCTTGAAGTTAGACGAGTGCGTGCCTTGAAAACTGCAATTTATTTCCAGATAGCTTCGAAAAAAAATGAACAACGAACGGATTCACATATATTATGAATAATAAACCCTATATAATAAAATTTCATTGGCATCAGATAAAAACTGCCGCTTATGCGTTTCAAAATAAAATACATTTACGGGACAAATTTCCAGTTTTAGAACCTAACCTGTGATTCTTTATAAGAGCGTTTACCTTTTCGGAAAATGACGTAATTTTCTGCCACCAGTTCAGAATAAGGTCGAAACAATTTCGACTGTTGCTTATAAAACTTCGCAAAGATTTTCCATAAAACTTCGAAAGAGTTACTTCTAACCTCAACTTTAAAAAATTACGAGTGTGATTCAAAAGCCATTCCCTATCTTATCGCAAGACTTTCGCGTAATTTCTCGATAGTATCAGTGTCCAGACAACATAAATCAAAGTCAAATGTAGAGTCAGTTACTTCAAATTTTCCAGTGGATTCGACGATGTCCACAATCCTTTGCAGCGTATCGCGGTCTTCAGTTGTCGATATCCTCTTCCAAAGTTCCACCAGCGGATTTGTGTCACCTCCAGTTTTACCGTTTTGCGGACTAGAAGAAAGAAAAAGACACACCTGGGTTTTATTGGGAAATAACGGACAAATGGAAGTAAACATGTGTTTCTATGTAAACATGTGTACATGTGGTTCTAAACATGTTTTACTTCGTTCACTTCAATGTGAATTTCTGACTGTTCGCAGGAACATGTTTCTTGATGCCTTAATGACGGAAGTTTATAGAACGTCTTCTGCACTCCTGATGATGGGCCTATGAGCCCATTTACCGCTTTCTGATGATCGCATTAAGCGTGAAACTCGGAGTTGCAACTTAGAACCGACCTGTTCTATACACCAAATAGCGTGAACCCAATCAAATATTTAAAAAACTCGATAATATAAAAAACACCAGAAGTCAACCGGAATATTGGTCAGGTAAGGTGGGTTTTTAGAAAGTCTACTATATTTTTCTCAGTTCAGTTGTCAGCTCTTTCTTCCTGAAATATGTCACATATCATGCAATTACATCGGCTTTTCTTCCTGGTCACTGAATGAGACATTTTCTCCTGACATAAGGAAAGGTTTTCAAGCTACGATTCAATGCTAAGAAAGAATTCAAAAACTAACACAGGTTGATGAAAAAGCCAATTACCTCAAAGTATCCTTTTTCCTCGTCCCGTTAACTTTCAAACTGTCTGTACCAGGTGCGGTATTTGGTGCGCCCTTGGTCTTGCTAAGCTTTTTCGATTTATTGGAAGGAATTTTATCATTGGAACTGTTATCCTGATTCAAAACCTTGTTACTTAGGGGCAATGAATCCTCTAGGTCTTCCGGGTCGCTGTCTGAATTATCCGCTCTCAATTCTGACATGAGAGCATTTAGCACATTGTCTTTGTTTCCAATATTCTTCGACGTGCTAGCCCAGGCATCTGTTGATGTTCTTTTTACTGTTAGCTTCTGCACTTTCGGTTCATCTGCACCTTCTCCTTTCTTGATTTTATCTTTCTTGCCTTTATCCTTAAGATCTTTTCCTTTAATGTCTTTGCCCCCTTCCTTTTTACTCTCCTTGCCAGCCTTTGCTAATTTTGACTTGTCTGCATTCATTCCAGCATCATTCGATTTTCGCCTCTCTTTCACCTCTTCAGCCTTCTTTGCGACCAGGGGTTGCGTCTTCGCCTTCGCCTTATCATCAGATTGGCCTAATATTGACACCTCTTTAGGGAGCGTTTTCGAAGTGCCATCGGACGATTTATCGAGTTTTTTCTTCTTTAACTTCTGGGTAGGAGGAATCTCTTCAGTATTTGACCTTTTCACGGCCATGTTCGAATTCTGTAGAGTCGTGTCCTTCTCTTTAAGTTTCGGCGGCTTCGAGCCGTGCGTGATTGCCTGTTGCAGTGAGGAGGGCGGCGAGGCTTTCTTTTGGTTTTTATTTACAGGATGAGGTGGGGGTGATGCAGTTGGTGGAGAAAATGTCGGCTGGGGGTTCACCGTAGCTTCTGGCTTGCTAACTGGTGGTGGGAGAGCCGGAGCGCCCATGGGACTAGAAATGATTGACATCAAATTTTCAAAATTATAAGTTAATATAATTCAAAGTGCATAAAAGCTGTCGATTAGCAAGCATATATCGTAAATTAAGCAATACTGCTCTACTAATATACTTTGTTTGTCCAACTGAATAAAAAATAATGAGTTTTAAATCGTATTGGAAAGTTCTACATATGGCAGGGCTAAGACAGAACTATATCACAAGGGATTTTATAGATCCTGTGCGAATGTTTTCTCTTGGTCACTGGGTGTCTTTACAAAGTGGTGGGCACGTGGGAGGCAGTCGCCCCCTCAATATATTAGAGGAAAATGGTCTTTTTTCTAAAACAATGGAAACATTTGACATCATCTTATCAAAACAATAGGCTCCCACCTCCGATATTTCACTATGATTTCACCCAGTGTCCGCCCCGGTTTTTACAAATATAAATTCATTACATAGTCATAAAACAAACGTGCTTATATTCTTTGCAATAAAAAGATTTGCAGACAATGTTTGTGGTACTTAAATTAAAATAGCTTTGAAGAAAGGAAACATACCTAGAAACATACTCAGAGTTTTCGTCTGACACTCTGCAGAGTATAAACCGTCAGAAAATACATAAATCGAAAAATCATTTGTGAATCGAAATAGGCCAACCAGAAACGCGAGCATAACTGTTAGGGTTGCCCAATCAATGCCGCTTGCCTATTGAAAATATTACCAATGGAGTCAAAAGGTGAAAACAAACCTTCTGTCAACTTATGTTTCCATTCTTCAAAGCCATTTTTAAAAGACCTGCATGGTACCTTATAAACCTAAATTAAAATTCTGTCCCTCTCTCTCTCGGATCATCATTTATCAAAAATATCAAAAAAGGACTGACAGGGCGACACCGTTCTTTCGAATATTTAAGAACCGGGATATAATTTTCATGATTGAACCAAATAGAATACAAACCTGGTAGATGTTGGGGGGTTCATTCCGCTCATTGGGACAACCATACCCCCACCTTTAAGTAGTTTCTTTTTGAAGTCTTCAACTGGATCGGTGAAGGTTAAAACTTCAACTCGAACATTGGTGACTGGTGGATTGCCGACCAGTTGTAAGTATAGATCATACTCGAATTTCACCTTCTTCGGTTCCTCTTTGTTTTTGAAGTAAATCTCGATTAGAAGGAGAAAGCTGCCATAACCAGATTCTTCTACTTTGTATGGAGGTAGTTTGATGACTACAAGCAAAGGAGGTTCGGCGGTATAAGATATCTTAGTAAATAACATGAAATGAGAAGTAAATTAACAATAGCAACGATAAACATTTCGATAGATGATGAAAGCACGTCATTCACTCCTACATTTGATCAAAGCAGTTTTCACCAAAAGAGAAAATTCAGCAATGTGCAAGCAAGCAACAATCCGAAATTTCTCATAACTGATTGGGGACAGCAAAAGGTATTCACCCTCTCTTGGGTTATTCAGAAAAACTTTATAATAATCTGTAACTAATTTCAGGTTCTTAGGTCAAAAAGCTACATGTAAGTTGTTACAAAAGCAGTTTTTAGATTCACAAATGCAGCATTTTTCCGTGTTTAACTATAGACAATGGTGTTAAATACTAGAACCAATGCATAGTGGCAGCTTAATGACTGAGAAATCTAGGAGTCCAATATTCTACTCATTGATAAGGTAAGGAGATTAGGTCCTGGCTGGTCGCAAAATCGTGTTATTTTAAAATCATCTGCCCCGCCCCTGCCCCCAAGATCAATGTTGCTATGAGAGAACTTGAGCCTGCATGTATCGCAATTTATTCTGTAATCATCTTACCTAACACTGGCATTGGGAGGAAATTTGCTATTTCATATTTTTTTCAATTGCAACAGATTCTACATCCTTAATGTTGTTTGGGATATATATAATTTTATAACTTAACATCTTCATGAGATAAGCTCTTTTCTGTTATTTCTATCTTACTTCTTTTTATTGCAAGTTTCAAGGCAAGTTTCAGGTCTTTCCTAGGGATGCAGGCTATAGCCCTCACCAGTGGCGGACACTTGGGGGGGCAAGGGGGGCGACCGCCCCCTAATACTTTAGAGAACAATGGTATTTTGTTCTAAAACAATGGGAAATGTGATGTCATCTTATTAAAACAATAGGCTTGCCCCCCAATATTTGACCAAGTGTCTGCCACTGGCCCTCACCTGGGAAAACCCAAGGCAAAAAAATTGTGAGGGCTTTTTTGCCCATGCTGTTTTCATAACCATGTTCTTATTCAAACTGCTCCAGCCCACTCCCTAGAGTTTGAACTACTTACTGTTATATATCAGTGTGTTTATAAATAACATTGTGTCAAAGAGAGTAAGGGTTTTCATGTACACCAATTTGAAAAGAAGAACTCTGCTTCTTCTGACAACAAATGTCAACAAACTGTTATATTACCTGCGAAATCCCATAACATCCTGGTTCGAAAATGATTCAAAATAACAAATAATGCAAATTCATACCTCTTTTTGGTTTTGGAAAACTTTCATGTAAATGAAAAACGACTTTCTCCACAAAGTGTGATATGCTGCTGCCATCTGTGCCTCTAACAAAAACCACCCAATCATGTGTGTAACCTTCCTCTGTTTTGTCTGTTCTGCAAACCGATTTGTGTCCAATATCAATCTTGACTTGAACGCACTAGAACGAAGACATTGAAAAAATTGGATAATATAATAAAAAAACACTATCTCCATAACTATGCTTAAAATGATTGGCAGCAATTTTTTCCAAGCTTGTGGTCATGATTCAAAATCATTAAACTCAAAAATTGTCCTTTTAAATGGATATTATTGGGTTTATATCATCAACCTTTAAATGCCATGCTCCACCTTTAAATTTTCTTTGAAAATCTTTTATTTGTCTAGTTAAAAAATTTGTCACTTCCATCAGGAGGCAGAGAGAAAAGGCATTTACATCAAGCTTATTTTTGGTTAGCTTAAACTATCCTTTTCAAGATATTACAGTAGCTTTAGATCATTTCTTAAATATTTGGTATCAACAAAGTCACAATTTTTTGGGAGTGCCCCCAAAAGATTAATTTTACACTTGTTCTGACAATAAGAACGTTATATGTAAAATGTGAAAATTTGTTTGGCCGTAAAGAACTTTAAAACGGTTTTTTTACCGTACCACCAAAAAGTTGTTTGTTTTCAGATTTTTGGCCAGAGAGACCAAGCTGGATGTGCTGTGATACAGGGAAAAGGGTGCATGGGCAAGAAACATACTTATAGCAGCTCACAACGTCTCACTCTACATGCCAACATGTAACTTAAAAACATGTTATAATGTAGGACAGTCGCCTGATGGTCGCATTAAGCGTGAAACTAGGAGTAGCTTCTTAGAACTGTCCTGTTCTATACACCAAAGAGCGTGTACAGCTCTGCCTATATGGTATCAAGCACTTTGTGACAGATCGGGAAACAGTAATTTTCATAACTTAAAAAACACATTTTAGCAGCATGGCTATATCCTAATCAAATCCATTTTTAATCATATGCCAGGTGCATATCCAACCTTGTAATGAAATTTCGGTGGTCCAATCAAATATACTCATGGTGCAATCATAAACAGTTGTAATTGTGTATGAAATTCAGGAATTATAATGAAATGGTAAGTGTTCCAAGTGTTGCCAATTATGCTGAGAGCAATTTGGGATGTTTAATAATCACCTCATCTTAGATCAAAATTGCATAAGAAACTTATGGCCTTGCTACACTTCCTTGCAGATTGTTGGTGACAAGAATATATGTCAATCCTCCTTGGGGCTAACTTCAATAGACAGAGGACAGGGGGTGAACCATTTTGAAACATACCCTAAAATATTTAAATCTTCCAAAAACCCATAAATTAGATAAAACATGAAATGTAAAGGAAGGTAACTCTGATGAAGCCCTGTATGCCAGGACAAAATATTAGCATTCATTTTATTAAAAATTTTCTTTGAATTTTTTTTCATTGGATTCTTGAAGCCATTTTGCTTTGTTCCTGAATTCTATCTTCTTCTATAAACTCATTGCAAGATTCACATTCACCTATAGATATACGTCGGACAAGGACACACAAAGAATTTGTTAAAAAACTTAAAAATCATTTTGCAGGACAGTGACAAACATTATTTTATTTCAATGTGAAATTAGGTTTTATTAGGTATTATAGATCCTATTCTTGTAAGTTTTATCAATGTTTTTAATGTAATAAATTTTCTTTCAATATCATTTAAGGTCTAGGGCACAGGACACACAGTGATAACAGCAATGTTCTAATTGTTGAAGTGTTTATCCTGTATAAATATTCGTTTTATTATTATTATTATTATTACAGAATCAAGTGGACAGCCTATTCATGTGGATCTTTTTTCTTACACATGAAATGTATACCCTGAACTTTAATTCAAATTTGCAGAAATCCAACAACTCAATCAAATAAATGAAAACATAACACCTATCTTATAAAAAAGATACCCCAAAATTTAAGTTCATGCTGAAAATCAACCTCAAAATTTATTACCATGATTGATTTTACCAGAAATTATACCACAAAATTTATTTTTTGCTTGAAAAATGGCATGTATGTGGAAGTTAACCCCCCTCCCCTTAGGCAATTCTTCTAAATTGTTTGGCCTTTGAAATAATTGCTTGGTTGGCTATCCACCAAAGCATTTTATTTTTGCATTGTAACTATGTATAGTTTAGCTGCCTCATATCAGATACTGAACACAATCTTGGGCAAGAAATAGCATGTTTCAAATAAAGTCCTTTGTGCTAGCACCAATTCAGATTAACAGTCAAACATTTTCCCAGGTGGGCAAAAATTCAAGGAATATTATTTTTCAGCTTTTGGAAAGGTATTAAAAAATAGTGTACATGGATAAAGCAAAGGCACTAACATATATAGATGTACTGACTAACTGGACCCAGTTTGTGGTAAGGTTCTACAATCTTGAAATTTCACAAACATCAAAAAGCAAAACAGCAAAAAAACAAAACTTTCTGAACAGAGTACAAAACTAAAGCTATTCAAGACAAACTAAAAAGGGGTACAAGTTTAATTAAGTTAGGCAACTTCAGTGTAACTTCACATAAAATTGAGATCCTAGTAGGTTGTTGAAAAAAGTATAGACAGTTTGTTTACCTTTACAGAAAAGTATGCATGAGTCTTAAAAAAAGTTGTTAGATCTATCCTATAATTTTAACACCAGCCTTAATGATTTTGAAAAAACATCTATGGGACAAATTATTAACTGTCAACAAATCACTAGCTATTTGCAATTCTACTAACATTAGTTTTCTATTAGGTAAATAAATGTTTTATTTTGTAATGTGAACAATAGAATTTTATGAATGTTAAATGAAAAAGGACTATAAGATAGGTGTTTAAGCCCCCCTTAAACACATGTTCCAGGCACCTCAATAGCCCAAATAGGACATTTCACACTCATCACTTGATTTCAAACAATCTTTTGGTGGAACAAAATTTGGAAATGTCTTTGAAAAAGGCAAACATTTGAGTAAACTGAAGTTTTTCATCTGACACTCTTCAGAGTTTAAAGTGTCAGAACATAAATCAAAAACTTTATGCTAGGAAATATATATACCCAGTTGTGGATCAAAATAGGCCAATCAGAAATGAGAGCACATAACTGTTGAGGTTGCCCAATCAGTTTTCAATCTATGTTCTGACTTTTAAACTCTGAAGAGTGTCAGACAAAAAGCTTAGTTCATTCAAATGTTTGCTTTTTTTTAAAACTTGATTTCATTAAAAAACTTTTACAAACTTATCTGCAATCTTGACCACACAACATAAATAAAATTAAACTGGAATAATCTCTTTGCCTGCAGTAACTTATCTGCAAAATTTTAAACTGTCTTACTAACACAAACATTACTCCATAATGCAAAAAAGTTATATACCAATGAAACACATAAATACATAATACTCAAAGTTTGTCTAAATCTTTCATTTCCTTGACTAAATTTTCATTATCCTCAACTCTACTGTGCCCATCCAACTTTTTTTAAAAACCCTATACCTGCAGACAAACATAGATATGTTGATTTCCTAACTTCTTTGCTTTCTTTTTCTTAAATATCAAAACTCTAAAACAGTATTAAAACAATTGGAAACCTAAAATGACAATACAAATGGTTTGTCGTTGTCATTATTTTTTTGGATGTATAGAGTGGAAATAGTTTTACTCAATGAATGTTCCAATGACAGAGGGGAGCAGAGCAGTGGACACCAATAATTGTTCTTAATGTTTTGAATTTAAGCTTTAAAAAAGGTACTCAGCAATGGGGCTGCTAAAAAGAAGAGAAAATCTTAGCTCAGTTCAGAAACTCAAGAAAAATTTCATATGTTTGATGGTCTCTTTCCTCTAAAGCAATTTCATTTTAGTGTTGCAACAAAACATTTTTATGAACACCCAGTTCTTTGCTGTTCTTGTGTCCAGCTCTTATCAACATAGTGAAACTTTCAGCATTGGTAATTTTTTCAAGTTTATATCAAAACAAGTTTCCACAGTCAAATAAATTTTATTGCATTTAAATTTTTAAGAAATACATTCCAAAACAAAAAAGTGACTCAATGTTGTTTGAATCACTGATTAATGTTTTTTTTTGGGGGGGGGGCGTTTTTACCTATTTGTAAGACATTTGAAGACTGCATAGTTTCTAGAGGATAAATCTGGTAAACAAATTTGGAGCACGACCAAGTGCTCAGAGTATTTACAAAAGTATGAATTAGAGTAAAACAAACAACACACGAGCGACCAAACTACACGGAGCTTTGCACTGTTAGATCTGGGGTTGCAATATGACAGGGATATAAAACAATGAATACTTGAATCGCTTTACACGGTTATTTGATCCTGAGGTGATAAGACACTGGAACAAAAGGCGGGAGTAAACAGAACTGCCTATAGACAAAGCACAAAAAGTAACGACCTAGGAGATATAGGCCAACAGAAAACTACAGTTAAAATGAAGGAAACATTACGAAACCTATTACCTCTGGTGCCATGATGCTTTTAGACAGAAACGCTGTTCTTTTTAATCAACTTAATTCGATTTTCTAGTTTTTACCGGTGTATGTTCTTTTTCAACTCTGTTTTGAGCGCCATGAAAGATTTACCATTTTGAAGATGATCATGAAGCCATTGACGCATGCCCATTGTGCTAATATGCCCAAATATGTCCCCAAGCCGAAGAGCCTGGTTGGTTTAATGATAACAAAAGAAACAAAAAGCACTAAATCTATTGGCTTTCAGAAAACAATAGAGTATTGTTTTCATGATCTAGAGAGTGCGGCATGTGAGCAACCAATCTATCGAATACTGCACTGATTACTTTCCCTAAAGTGGTAATCTTAAAACGTCTATCAAGTTTATTGACGTTAAATTCAAAAAGTTACTAAATCTATTCCTACTTCTCTCAATCCTTCAATATTTTAATATATGATATAAGTTTCACTGGCGTGGGTAGGAAAGTTAATAGAAGGGCGAATAATTTAAATTTTCCAGCAAAAATCTAAGGAGCATTTTATTTTTTTCGTACATTGGAGCATATTTTTTCGTACATTTAAATAATGACATTTGTACGGAAATAGAACAGGAGATAAACTCTTCTTTTTCTTTTTCTTCAAAAATCCTGTTGTCTTTAAACTTTAATCTTATCTTTTTTCAAAGTATGGTTTTTTCTGGAAGATTTTCAGGTCTTCTCCTCTAAAAAGGCATTTTTTAGTACCATACCTATAATTGAAAGCGATTGCCAATCTGATTTAGAGCAAAGACAGAAATTCTCATGTTCACCTTTAAAACCCTTCTTCTCATGTAAATAATCTATGAATGACAACCATGTTATATTTCCGACAAGATCATAAATTTTTCGACAAAATGCAAATTTAGTCTTTTCAAAAACCCCTCTGACCCCCCTCTATCTACGCCACAGATAAGTTTAAAACTCCTAAAAATAAAATGGGGGCTGTTAGAAGATACTAATCAGCCAGTAAAAGCAAGATAAAATAAAAGCTTATTTGAGTTGTTGCAGTGAATGACATTCACTTACATTCAATAACATGGGGAGGAAGAAATCAGTGTCTCTTTACCTAAGCAAATTTATCCTACCTTCCAACCTATAAACTGGTATGAAGAGGAAATCATAGATTGTTTACATCAAGATCCTACCCCACCTTCCAGCTGCATATTAAAAAACATCCTACCTTGAAGAAACTTGATCAGGGGACGAAGCTTGATCGCGTATATTATGAAAATACCACCCCACCTTCCAGCTTCATCCTACCTCCCAGCCTTTATATGAAAAAAGCGTATCCTACCCAAGTACCTCTCAACTTAACCGGGCTGTCTCGTTTGCCACGCAATTGCAAGACGAAAAATACTAAGAGTTCTATAGGAGAAAAATAATAAGGGAACTCTTCTCTCAGCTGGCAGGCTGGAAAGTGGGATGATTTTTTATTTTGCGGATAAAATAAACCTCAAAATTGCTTGACTGCTTCATAAAAGACAAAAATATTGTTGAGTTATTTAAGAATACTATTGTTGCGGTGTTGCTATCATGTTGTTCTGAATTTTATACATCATCACTGCTTTTGCTTTTCCTTTCACTGTCAATATTTTGATTATTGTTGCTGGGCTTGCTTAGAAGCTGTAGAGCAATAAATCTGGCAGCCCTGTTATGCCATCTCTACTTTATCATTGTTTTACCTAACTAAGGAAGGATATTCAATATTGGTCTTACAAATGCTGCGAAGCAACTCTTTTTTAAGAGCTTAGAATGAGATACTTTGCCAAGAGCTATTTGAAAGTCCAAAAAATCGACAACAGTTTGTTTCCCTGTGCCTGATTTTCTTGCAATGTCGCCTTTAAAAGTTACGCAAATACATCAGGCATGGAAGCTGTATCGATAAGATCCCTGTAACGTTCCATGCAGACACTGTGCAGGGGCTTTGGCCCCTCCCCCACTTTAAGACTGGTGCGTGGTGCCCTATCCCATGATCTAGTTGTGGTATTCAAATGAAGAGGAGTGGTGCTGACAAGGTTGTGGAGAGGAGTGGTGCTGACAAGGCATTCGGTGCATGATCTGAATGCCCTGGGTTCGAGTCCCGTCGGGATCACTAATAGCCTTTAACCGACGAGTAGCCTCGTTCTAACTATCATTTTGAGGGCACAAGCCACAGGTCCACATCGGCTATTAGCTGCCACACCTCTGATTTATCTTCATTAACGAATAATCTTGCTTGCCATTTGCTTGCTTGCTTGCTCTTATTTTGCCAACTTGTTTGCTTGCTTGCGCGATGGTTTGTTTGCTTGCTTGCGTGATGGTTTGTTTGCTTGCTTGCTTGCTTCCTTACCTGCTTACTTACTTACTTGCGTATTTGCTTACCTGCTTACTTGCTTACCTGCTTGCTTCCTTACCTGCTTACTTACTTACTTGCTTGCTTGCTTCCTTACCTGCTTACTTGCTTGCTTGATTCCTTACCCGCTTACTTACTTACTTACTTACTTACTTACTTACTTACTTACTTACTTACTTACTTACTTACTTACTTACTTACTTACTTACTTACTTACTTACTTACTAACTTACTTACTTACTTACTTACTTACTTACTTACTTACTTGCGTATTTGCTTACCTGCTTACTTGCTTACTTGCTTGCTTGCTTGCTTACTTTCTAACTGGCTCACTTTCTTACTTACATGCCATTCATTTTCATTATATGTTCATACCAGCATATGCGTGTACATTAATTTCTTGTTAAATTTTTACAGTATATATTAATTTATTGGTCAATTCACGTCATACACAATGCTAGAAAACGTTAAATTCATGCTATGTATGTTATCATTCTTATTATTATCGGAAGGGGTTAAATAAAGTAGAAGATGGACATTTAGATCAAAATACTTAAAAAGAAACCTTAAAGTTAAAAAACATCTAGAATTGCTGCTCAAAATGTTTGTATTTCAAGAAAATTCAGAATAAAAAACCATTTTGTTCTACATTTTTATAATAAGAGCTAAAGTAATACAAAATAACATTGGAGGCATTTCTATGAATTGTGTATATACCAAGTATATTTACCTCACTTTCCAAAGGAGAAGACAGGCAGGGAATTTTCTTGGTTTTCTTGTGGGCAAGTCTAAACCTGAGCATCTCCTTTCGGTAAGTGGACATTTTCTCTGACGGTTGTCCTGGTCTCAAAAGGGTTGATATATTATCTGGATTGGTGACAAGATTTGGCCGTGCCGTTTTTTTTCGTGCGTCGTCCAACTTTTGACCGATGAGGGATTTTTGACGTAGTGCTGGCGATGCTTTTGTTGCACTAAAGGCTATTTTTCTCTTCTTTGATTTACCAGAATTAAATTTATGTTGTATTTTCATTGGAAGGGTGACCTGCGAAGATATCAAGTAAAGAAACTTTCCACAATGTTTGCTTTTACATTTTTTCAACAATTTGAGCAAGAGCACAAATTTCGCCATAATTTTGGTTTTCATTAATCGGTAAACAATAATTTCGAGAGAGCAAAATGATAACATTGGATGACAACCGCAAGGAAGGTTGTTCAAAACGGCCAAACTCGAACTATTTGAGCAACCATGCTTAAACAACGCCCTATTTTTATTTTTTTTGGAAGGTTTTCAATCTTTGGTTGGAGGAGGCATGAACACTTCCTTTTAAGATTCTAGCTGATCATTGGTCGAAAACTGAGTGATCTTGATAGATCTTAAATGATTTGTATAGGGAACAGTGTACTGCAATGTAGTCCACTAAACATTCCATTTGCAATGTTGCTCGTAAGCCCAAAGAAAGACCTACCTGCATTCTGCCTTCTATGACATCGGTTGCTTTTGTGCCAAGTTTCAGATAACCGATAACATTACCGTGTTTCCCTATGACAAGTTCTTCTTGAAGAACCTTCTGCAGCAAAAGGTATATGAAAAGCCGCCACGCCTCGTTCCGGTTGAATACCCGCCCCTGTGAATTACCAGCGTTAAAAAGGGGACAGCAATCTTCAAACTTGCTCTTTTTCTTTCCCTTGAAACAGAGATCCGGAAAATATTAAACTTTTAACATACAATGAAGATTGTAAATGAGAATGACCTATCATGAAACAAAAAGTGTGTGCGAAGATTGTGTGTAACGTAAAAGTTTGCTGTGGCAATACAAAAAATGTGCCATGAGAAATATAAAAGTGTGCCCTGGAAACACATGTGAGCCGTTTGAAGAAACTGTGCATGGCTGTTGTAAACTGCTAAATCACTGAATCACTTAATATAAATTATTATATTTACTACAGGTCCAACCACTTTGTAACCATGCGCGACGAAAAAGCTGAAAACCAAATTCAATTATCAAAGGAAAGGTAAACATCGAGGATATAGTACAAAGGTTGAACGTACCATAAAAACGTCAATGGATTGATTCATTGTAACACGATTCCATCGCCTTCGAAGAGGCGGCCTATTATCCCAGCTGCTTCCATGGACAATATTTTTGACGTAGGTGACAATCCGTTTCGACGCTTCCGTACAGTCTCGCATAAAGCATGCGTTTCGGTCAACACAACTGTCGCATATGGTATCCCCATTTTTTGCACAGTCGGATGCGTCGAAAGTCGTCTCGCCGAAGTAGTGAAGTAGCTGTGCTCGTCTGCAGTCGGTGATGTTTTCGCAGTACTGAACGACTCTGAATAAATTGTCCATGTGGACTTTGCGAGTTTCGAATGTTGACTCGCATTCACCCTCAATCATCCTTGAAAGAAATTTTCTCATTCATTCATCAAATGAGTCTTTCTTGGCAAAAAGAAACGGCTTAGAATATTAAAAGGCAAAAAGAGACGTGAACTTTGCGCATTTCAAATAAATGTTCTTTGCCACACACTCCCCGGAACATAATGCTTACAACAATTACGAAATGGAATAAAAAGAGAATAAGAAGAGTCAACGGTATGTTGCGTGTATCTTTTTGAAGCAAAAATCTCGTTTAAACCAAAGAAAAGGAGGATTAGCGTAGGGTCGCGTACATGGAAGAATGGGTAAGGGCAATCCAACACTAAAAATTTGTATGACTTATATATTGTATTGAATGGAAATCTGAGAAGTTCACATAACCAATTTTCCCGTAGTTTTGAAATCATGAAAATACAGTGCCACGTTCCCTCACACAAAGATTTTTAGTAGCCCACTGGCTATATAGATACCATGAATTACATGGATTCCCGAAAAGATAAGGTGTTGTTGTCTTGAATACAAAATTGATAGATAACTGAGAGACGAATTCTGACCTGCGAATCCTGTGCATGTCTTTATATGCGTAATAGAGAACACAGACAGCCTTTCTCCCATCACGACCAGCTCGTCCAGATTCTTGGAAATAACCTTCTAATGATTTTGGCATCGAATGGTGAACGACAAATCTGACATCTGGTTTGTCAATGCCCATTCCAAATGCAATCGTGGCGCAGACAACCTTAAAATGATGACACGTAAAGCAGCTGATTCTACTGATTAGAAACTAAGAGAATTAATGTATAGAAATTAAAAACATCGAGCTTCATGACTGCAAATTGGGATTGAGGTATCCTTATCAGCGTATAATTATGCAATGAATAGCATGAGTACAGATGCCATCGCATATACTTTGGCATTCCATGGCACAAATAACAATGAAGTAATACATATTTCTGCTATCAATTGAACAGAAGAAGATTTTGACCTGTAATCTACTTTTGTGGTTGGTAGACATACAGATAACACCATGTATATTTCTGCTTTTGAATGTACTGATAGAGATGACGTCATGTTTACCTCAGCTAAGGATGGCACTAATACGAACGACGTTATGTATTTTTTTGTGTGATGGCACTGATACAGACGATGTCCTGTATATTTCTTCTGTAGAAAGAACCAATATGGATAACGTCATGTATATTTCTGTCATTGATGGCACTGATATAGATAACGTCATGTATACTTCTTCTGTAGAAAGCACTAATAAGGATAACGTCATGTATATTTCTGCTATTAATGGCACTGATATAGACAACGTCATGTATATTTCTTCTGTAGAAAGAACCAATATGGATAACGTCATGTATATTTCTGCCATTGATGGCACTGATATAGACAACGTCATGTATATTTCTGCTATTAATGGCACTGATATAGATAACGTCATGTATATTTCTGCCATTGATGGCACTGATATAGGCAACGTCATGTATATTTCTTCTATAGAAAGCACTAATATAGATAACGTCATGTATATTTCTGCTATTAATGGCACTGATATAGACAACGTCATGTATATTTCTTCTGTAGAAAGCACTAATATAGATAACGTCATGTATATTTCTGCTATTAATGGCACTGATATAGACAACGTCATGTATATTTCTGCTATTAATGGCACTGATATAGACAACGTCATGTATATTTCTTTTGTAGAAAGCACTAATATAGATAACGTCATGTATATTTCTGCTATTAATGGCACTGATATAGACAACGTCATGTATATTTCTTCTGTAGAAAGCACTAATATAGATAACGTCATGTATATTTTTGCCATTGATGGCACTGATATAGGCAACGTCATGTATATTTCTTCTATAGAAAGCACTAATATAGATAACGTCATGTATATTTCTGCTATAAATGGCACTGATATAGACAACGTCATGTATATTTCTTCTGTAGAAAGCACTAATATAGATAACGTCATGTATATTTCTGCCATTGATGGCACTGATATAGACAACGTCATGTATATTTCTTCTATAGAAAGCACTAATATAGATAACGTCATGTATATTTCTGCTATTAATGGCACTGATATAGACAACGTCATGTATATTTCTTCTGTAGAAAGCACTAATATAGATAACGTCATGTATATTTCTGCTATTAATGGCACTGATATAGACAAGGTCATGTATATCTCTTTTGTAGAAAGAACCAATATGGATAACGTCATGTATATTTCTGTCATTGATGGCACTGATATAGACAACGTCATGTATATTTCTGCTATTAATGGCACTGATATAGACAACGTCATGTATATTTCTTTTGTAGAAAGAACCAATATGGATAACGTCATGTATATTTCTGTCATTGATGGCACTGATATAGACAACGTCATGTATATTTCTGCTATTAATGGCACTGATATAGACAACGTCATGTATATTTCTTTTGTAGAAAGAACCAATATGGATAACGTCATGTATATTTCTGTCATTGATGGCACTGATATAGACAACGTCATGTATATTTCTTTTGTAGAAAGAACCAATATGGATAACGTCATGTATATTTCTGCTATTAATGGCACTGATATAGACAACGTCATGTATATTTCTTTTGTAGAAAGAACCAATATGGATAACGTCATGTATATTTCTGTCATTGATGGCACTGATATAGACAACGTCATATATATTTTTTTTTGTAGAAAGAACCAATATGGATAACGTCATGTATATTTCTGCTATTAATGGCACTGATATAGACAACGTAATGTATATTTCTTTTGTAGAAAGAACCAATATGGATAACGTCATGTATATTTCTGTCATTGATGGCACTGATTTAGGCAACGTCATGTATATTTCTTCTGTAGAAAGCACTAATATAGACAACGTCATGTATATCTCTGCTGTAGGTGGCACTGATATAGACGACGTCGTGTATATCTGTGCTATTGATAGAAGCACTGATATAGACAACGTCTTGTATATCTCAGCTGTGGATGTCACTGACACATATGACGTCATCATGTTCATTTCATTCATTTTATAATATTTATACAGGTTAACCTGACCTGTCATGAAAGTCTCCGTTGTGGATGTCATCAATAAGAGAAGTTTTAGTAAAAAATAAATTGTTTGGTGGTACAAAAATTTGAAATGGCTTTGAAAAAAGTAAAAATTTTGAAGCATACTAAAGTATTCCCTTGGATTCCCTTTGAGTATAAAGTGTCAAATGGGAAATGAGAAAAAAATTTTATCCATCCTAATCCCGTTTTGCTAGTTTAAGGGTCTGCTGTAAAAAGTGTTAGATAAATTTTGTTTGGCGGATCCAAGTAACGAATGGTAAAAAAAATCGGTGAATAGAAATTGTCGAGTGTTCCTTTCCGTTGTGATAAAACTCTTTAATGAAATTACAAACTGCACGCGTTACCTTTTTGTCAATGATCAACTTTACTTTTGTATCCAAAAAACAGTTCTCATATACATATTCTTTCTGTTTCTTCAAATAAAATGTAAAAAAATTACATACGGTGACGAGTGTAAACAAGCTTAGAGTTTTCGAATTATGTCCTGACACAAATAGTTACTTGGTTAATTTTCATGCAAAAAAATAGCCAAGCACCTCATTCGGACTATCATCTTCAAGTTTAACAATCAAGTTTGAATATTAGCAGAACAAGCACCCACACATGGTCAAAAATCCTCGTTTTTGGGATGAAACCTTGTTGAAATTACAATTTACAGTAGCTCAGCCTCAGCTTGTTCTTAACTTTTTCTTAACGTCTGATCAACTTTGAGGCTCGTGAACTTATAAAATTGTTCTTTTAAAGAAAAAGTGTACTGCTTGACTTTATTTGATCTATTTACTAAAATGTTTACGTATATTTCTTTTATTAGTCTATTTTTTGCATCAATTCAGTAGATAACTTTCCGCCTTATTGCAATGTCTGCATTTTGGATGTGTAAATATGTCTTACTGAAAATACTTGAGACAAAGAAAGTGTATTTTTCTGTTCAGGAAGTGAAATTCTCTCAATCAATACAGCACCTTCTTGCTATTCACATCGATGTGCACTCTGAGCCAAAGATCACCTTTTCTTTCTTTATTCGATATCTATCCTCAAAGTTTTAGTATGACTCTTCTCCTCCCACATTTTTCCTAAAAATCAATAATCAGTGTTTTTCCGAGAATCGTCCCATTTTCTATTTCGAGCCTTTGTTAAATTTCAGCCTGGGAAATGCATTTTGAGCCATTTTAGAAGGCTTGATATAAAATTTTTTTTTCGCGTCGGACCCAACCATGGTCGGTCCTCCTATGCCACAAAATTCCAAATTTCAATTTTTCGTGCCATCTCTGTCTACTCCATACGAGCAACGACTCATTTGGTAGATAGCTTCTTGAAGGGTATCTGCTTCCTAGATTTTCCATATTGTAGTTCCATATTTCTAACACACAACACGAACAAAGACAGATGATAGCAGCTTGCGTGCAAACTCCACGCCCTGCAAATCTAAATCTAACCTTACATCTATCTTGCAGCCAGTCTTCCTGAACACAACTTCTTGCCTCATTGGAGAGTCCTGCGTGATATGATTGTGCACAGATTTGGTTTTCTTGCAGATCCTGGGCCAAAGCATCGCAATCCAGTCTGCAAAAGGAAATGATATCAGAATCACATTTGCGTAAATCAAACATAGAAACGCTAATTTCATGAAGGCTGAAGGACGATAATTTTTTATTAAGTGAGAGCCATAGGTGAGGCTATATAGCTCAAGAAAAGCATGTCTCGCCGTTTTCTTTTCAACAGTCCAGTGTCACGATGATACAGTTAGCAAATAAATTGAGTACCAGAATGAAAATGTAATAGTTTGATTGTTAAAACACAAAAAGTATTCTTAACAATCAAACTACTACATTTTCATTCTGGTACTAAATTTATTTGCTAACTGTATTATCGTTATTCTGGATGAAGTACAACACGCAATGTACATATTTAATTGGAGTTCAGTGTCACAACTACCTCAAGCACATGCATCAATTTAGTGAGTATGAAGACGATGTCATTTCTATCTTCCAGATGAATTTTTGTCATTTTCAGAAGGAAGCCTGAGGTTGTTTTTAGAAGAAACGAGACTTAGGGCCTATTGCCCAGACAATTCCAGCTTTCTTTATACCTTAACACTTATTCTTCAAGCAACTGTAAGGAAAACTTCATCAAACTCCTTTTGAATATTAAAGCGCTTTGAAAGCAAGAAATTAATATTTTATGGATTGTTCTCACCTTGACAAGCAGTAAATAATGCCAGAGTTGTTCAAATACTGACTTTTAATCATTTTCACGATTTCTTCAAGAGTTTTTTTCGACTTCGGCCTCACAGAGTATTGCAAGTTTGGACGATTGAGACTTTGGCTAAAACTAAATAAAAATACAGGAAATGCAGAAATTAATTTGATGTTAATTAAGAGCAGAGACGTAGCATCTGTACATGATGCTAGATAGGTTTCTTTACTAAAATACAAAAATACAGAACATTGGCAACATAAGGGTGCAGTATAGACTGGTTCCATTTCTCTAAAATAGTTCTTAAAAAGAGATCAAGAGGCATTTTGGGTAGAAGCTGGGATCCAGTTTATTTTGGGTATTTCGACCATGCTGATTACGAATTTGGCGGATCCCAAGCGAAATTCGCTAATTTAAAGGCTTAATTTGCATATTCAAAATGGCTGCCGGTCAAAAAACTTCAAGGTATAACCAAGGGACCCTCCGAACCGCATAAAGTTCTGGCAAGTTGTAGAATATAGCAAATAAAGAAAAAGTAAAGAAATTCAAGAATCTTTGTTGCATGCAGCCGATCTTGGTCAGCAACAAATTCTAAGCTTTGTCACGCACAGACTGACACTGTCTGACACAGCCCATGATTTCCTTCAACGAACCATTAAAAAGATGCAGAACGCTTATCTTTCAAAGCCTATATGAAGTTCCAATAAATTCAGACTACAAGGAGAAGCAGACGATTTTCAAGGCCGATCGAAATATCCTCATGCGGCTGATCACTGCTTATGAAGGCAGCCGTTAAGTTGATCTTAAGTGTGTGCTTTCTCGTGAATTGATGCCAGTTCCTCATCTCTCACTGAAATGAACTGTTCTCTTCGGACTGGAAGCAAGTCTGTCCTCATTGACAAGCTAACGGATAGCATCAATTGTCCAGAGAGTATCGATCTTCATGGAATAACAGCGTGCTTAATCATTGATGGTCAGGCTCTAGTGGTGTTATTAGGCAAACCAAATGGTTGCTCTTCGTTTCGTGATTTAGCAGACACCTTTGTTTCAAATGGGTAAACGCTACCAGAGATTTAGCAGTGCTTCAAATGGGTAAACGCTACCAGAGAATCGACGTTGTTTTTGACCGCTATAGACAACTATCAATCAAAACTAGTACCAGACTAAGGCGGAAAAAAACTAGCCGGCCTGTTCGCCGAGTTAAAGAGAGCGGTTTGGTACCTCTTCCAAAGTTCTGGTCAAACTTCTTTGCATTGCCGGAAAACAAAGCAGATCTTGCACGATTCCTGTCAGAAGAGTTGATTCGCCAAGCAACTGAAGATAAAGAAGTTGTTACAGCTGGTGGATTTATCAATGAATTGCTTGCCCAGTCATCGAAATACTACACTGATACCTTGACTTTGAGTGCAGACCATGAAGAAGCAGACACCAGACTTGCCCTTCGTGCTATCAATGTCACCTGCAATACAGTAGTAGTTGCTGCTAGAGATGCAGATGTGCTCATCATTCTGGTGTCCCACTGTGAACGAATGCGATGCAATGATCTTTGGATGATGTCTGGAACGTCAAAGAAGAGAAAATATATTCCAGTCAAAGAGATTCTTCACGCCTTGCATGTTCAAGCACTCATCCCCTTTCACACTCTTATTGGATGTGATGCAACTTCGTACTTGTCTGGGAATACAAATGGCATCTGCATGGAAAGTTTTTAAAGAGTCTCATGAACTCTTGCAAAACATGGGAGAAGGAGGTATTAGCAAACGGGGTATTATGCGGAAAGCAGAAAAAAGTTTTTGCCACGGTTTTGGTGCAGGCCACAAATGAAGCCCGACACGTTCTATTTTTCAAGAAAACAAAACCCGAGGCATTGCCTCCAACAAGTGTTGTGGCACATCTTTACATAAGAAGAGCACACTTCCAAGCAATGATATGGAAACAAGCTGGATCACCGCATCAAGACTTACCGTCACCTACAGATTTCGGATGGGAGCTTTCTGAAGATCAATTAAAGCCGATTCTGATGACAGTGAAGCCATCCCTACTGCTTCTCTGGAGATGATCTTTTGTGGATGTAACACACGATGCAGAACTCGTATAGCTTCGTTTGCTTTAAGATTTAGATCAGGCACTCCTTCAAATCCTAATGTAGGGTCAAGCTTCACACTGCAGACCTTGCGCATATCAACATGAGAAGAATCCTCAAGAATTCTTGACAAGTATGAAAGAATTTAAAAATTAGCAAAGAAGTTTTGAGTGAAACTACAACTGTTTTTTTCTTAACAACTCTCAAGAATTATTAGTCAGAAGATAGTGTTAATTTGCGCAAGGCCTGTAATGTAGCAAATTGTGTGGCAAATGCAGCAAAGCTGAAAACAACGAATGCAACTGACCTATAATCGATTAGATTCAAGCTTGGACACACGTTAGAGACCTTCACAAAAATGCAGCAAAGTAGAACTGGATATACAAAAGGAACGTGTTCAGCCACTTGAATATTCAATGTTGACATTTCACCCGATTACTACTTGGGGGAAAATTTCATTTGAGAATTGTCATACATAAACTTGTCGTTAGTTCGAAAAATGAAGAGCCGAAAGTTTGCCATTTCTCCTAAAATTGAATGGGCTAAATAAAACTAGAAGATTTTATTTTAAATGGTAGACACTAACCAGCTAGAAAACCAAATCAATGAGTTTAATTTTTGCCGGAGGATCAAAGATAATCGAGAATGCCACCATTCGACTGTTTTCGATGAGACCTTTGAAATGTTGCATGACCTTTTCAATTTTTGATGGCGTGAACAATTTTTAAGTTAATGACATCATCATATTTATGACGTCATGTAAATCACAGAAAATGTAATAGATCAACTTTACTAGCCCAAATTGGCTCTCTTTATCTTTAAAAGTAAATTCAAGACATTTTAGAGTATTTGCACCAGTAATTAGGGGTTTAAATGAAACAATGACAAATTGGTGTAAATAAATCATGAATAAGCGATATAGATAATAAGCTTAGATGGAAATCATATCTCTGATTTTTACTTTTTGGTGCATTTTGATACATTCTAGAGACTATAAAAGGACTTAATATATTAAAGCTGAGATATTACCAATAGTTGGCAAATTCTGCCAATTTCTTCAATTATGACATCATAATGACGTCATGGATGTAATGAAAAATTTAAAAAGTTCCCTGTTGTGTAGATTTTGTTGCTGTACACTTTTTTACCAAGATCTATCCTCATAACAGCAATATTAGTGAATATCCTATTCGAATGCAGTGTCATGGATTTTCTTGGCAGCATTTTGAAGATTTCGACTGGCAGCCATTTTGATATGCAAATTAGGCCCTTAAATGAGCTAATTTCGCTTGGGATCCTCGAAATTCGTAATCAGCATGGTCGAAATACCCATAATCAACTGGATCCCAGCTTCTACTAAAAAATGCCCCTTGTTTTATAATTTCTTGGAATTGGAACCAGTCTTGTAGTATCATCATATTTCTGAACAAGGATTCCTGGAAAAGGAAACGAAACTCACATTTCCGGGTTGCGCAAACGCAGTTGATTCAAAACATCCTTTTGCACACGAGGCGTTGCCGTTGCGGTTAATGCCATGACTGGGACATTAGGGTAATGATCACGTAACAGATGCAGCTTTTTGTAGTCCTAAGGCGGGAAAATGAAAGACAATTATGAGAGCAGTACGAAGTCACCTAGAAAGTATAATTTGTTATAGTGAAGTCACGCTGTTCATAATCGTGTAGCGTAGTGTCGAATTGCGTTGCGCAAGGGAAATACAGGTATTGTAGGGTCGTGCAATGTCGTGTAGTTTCGTGTAGTGTCGTGTTATGTTTTATAGTATCGTGCAATATCGCGCAGTATCGTGCAGTGTCGTGTAGTTCCGTGTTGTATCATGTAGTGTCGTGAGGTGTGATGTCATTAAGTAACTTGTAGTGTCATGTAGCATGGAAAGTGTAACGTCATATGATGTCAAAAGATGTCGTGAGAGGTCGTGAGAGGTCGTGATGGGTCGTGAGAGGTCGTGATGGGTCGTCAGAGGTTGTAAGGTGACGTGATGTACAGCATTGTGTATTGCAACTAACGTGGGTTTCCAAGAAAAGGATATCGCTTACTGCTAATCGAGATTAACCAACTATGCTAAAAGTTGCTTCTATTAAGTAAGGATCTCTACTATAAATAAAATTCTAAATAAACACCTTTCTAAAGTCGTGTCCCCATTGGCTGATGCAATGGGCTTCGTCTATGACAAATCTATCAAGCAGTTTCTTTTGATTCAAGCTTTGCAAAGCGGATGCCAATTTTTCACTGCTGCCCAGCTTTTCAGGTGTGACATAAAGTAGCTTGATTTCAGGCGATAAACGACGAAGGTCGACGTAAATTTGTGATTTCATCGCAGCCGTTTGGTCGCTTGACAGATGGGCAGCAGAAATCTGAAATTTCACAGGGAGAAACGCTATTAAGAATTTCGTCGATGATGGTAGAATATTCATGATGGCATCTTCTGAGTGTTCAAAATTTAAGCCAGTAAATAGATGTAGGTTAATAAAGTGAATTATACATTTCTAAATATAAGATATGAAAAGAAGCAGGAAATAAAATGAAAATATCAACAGAAAAGAAAACATATCAGGTGTTCCTTGATGATCGTATTAATCGTGAATCACAAAATTAAACCTTAGAGTCGTCCCTCTCTATGAGTCTCTATCTTCGGTCAATAAATTCATAGTTTAATTAACATCAAATCATTTGTAATCTTTGAATAGCCAAGTATATAAGTGGTGATTTGATTTTAATTTTACTAGCATCGCTAAAACATATCTAGATAAACGTGGACATACCTTTAAAGAAAGTAGTTTCTGAACTTGATCCAATATCAGGGAACGCAACGGCGAAACGACAATCGTAACACCAGGCGTAATGAGCGCCGTCAGCTGATAGCAAAGGCTTTTCCCTCCTCCTGTTGGCATGAGTATGAAACAATCTTTGCTTGCTAGTGCTGCCAGAATGGATTGTTCTTGGTTCGTCCGAAATTTCTCCAAGCCAAATACCTTGCTCAAAGTTTCTTTCACATTTCCATAATAAGGGCAATCGAATGGTTTATATTTCTCTGAAAAACAATTGTAGTACATATAATAACGACAGCGGCAGCGCAAACGCTGACGTCACATTCAACATTTGTTAAGGCCGATTTCCATTTGACATTTTTTGTGCGTGCGGGCGTAGCGCCCAAATCTGAGCACGCGTAGCTAAGCGCTGCTGTCAAGTGGCGAGCGCACGAAAAGGTTGAGACCCTATCAACTTTCTGGCGATCACAGCGGATGCAAAATCGAAACCACTTGATTTTAACTACGCATGCTCAGATTTGGGCGCTACGCCCGCGCGCACAAAAAATGTCGAATTGAAATCGGCCTTTAAGTGATCATAGTATCTGGCGCTGTAAGGATGCTCTGCTCATGAGGTAACTCTCTGTAAGAAAGGATTAACTTTATAAAGCTAGGCCATTTATAAAGCGAGGCCATTTATAAAGCTAGGCCCTTCCTTGGTGCTTTGGCTTTGTGGAAATTTGAATTGCAAGGCCAATGATTCTCTTATTAGCTTTTGTAAGATTCATTTTTATCACAAATTTTACTGGTAATGTTTTTCAATATGGGGTATCTACACATGTCGATACCCTAAAAAAACCTAAAAAGTCCAACCCAATACCAAGACATAAAAAATATAACGAGAAGACATAGTATACTTGTATGGAGTAAAACTTAATTACTGAAATAATGATGTTTGCATTGAATGCAATAGTATATATCAAAATCCTATATTACAAAGCACTTCATTACAAAAAACACTCCATGTGTCGCATGTGTACTTACTTGTTTCATTGTGGCCGTCGTTTTGAACCGCGTGACTTGAGTTGATGTTTCTGCAAGTAATTGGAATGATGCATCTTTCAGTATTTCTCTTTTAGTATTTCAAATCTGGCAGTCTTTGTAAATTTATTTTAATTCGATATAAGAAACAAGAGCTAACAATATATACATAAATATACAATGTTAACTTATCAAAATCAAATATAGCTACCAATTAGTACATAAAAAGGAATTGTGGATACAAAATTAAAGACTACATTGCATTTTCTGGCAGAAACAGACAGGCACTGCATTTGCAATTGCTAATCTTTCGAAATACTTTATATGCATATCATTATATAAAGATCATTAGGCAGATTCATTGGTAAACATCTTGAGAGAAACTTTGGTATCAACTTTCATTATAATTGACAATTGGCCAAATCAAGGAATGAATTTACAGAGGAAAAGAACACTTCGGTGAATGAACGCTGTTATTTATGTGTGTCCTGTAAAATATTGCAACCCTTCACACAGGATAGTTGCCTTTCACAACTTTGCCAGTATAAAACATGATTATAAATACAGAAAAAACTATAAATAACATAATATTTTTCCTAACCCCATAACTGCTTTGCATTAATCTGTAGCTAGCAGTTTACTAGATAAAATTTTGCAAACATGTTTTAAATCATACAGACACAACTGAATTTAAAGAATCTGGTTGCACAGAAATAAGTCTAAAAGTTGATTGAGTAAAGGCTTTTGATTTGCAAAAAATTTTGTACAGATATGGAAAGATGGAAACAGTGGCGTAGTTTGCCTTCTTCTAGACTATGGGGCGAAGGAGCATAAGAATTAAAATTTATCAACGAAGACATGGATGAAGAGAAATCCAGGTCCAATTTCACCTATCGATCGACGGTCTTCCCGACAAACCATGGACATTTTGCATCAACTAAAAATTTACCAAATTCATCAAGAATCGGGGGATGCTGTCACACCCCCTTTATTCCCCCGCTAGCTACCCTCTGGATGGAAACCTTTGCAACAATGGCATTTTGTCGCAGGTATGTCCATCATTGATAATGAAAGGTAAAAAAAGGTCCGCCAGAACAAGGGGCTCGCAACTGTGCAAGTGTTATCGTTAAATAGAAGTGCATTCGGTGCTAGTTCTTTTTTGTAACATCGTACTAAGATTGGCAGAGCTTGAGGGGCATGGCATGGGTGTCCAACATTTCTTTCAATCATTGTGTGTCATTCATTGTAAGCAACTGCGATTGCTGAAACAAACGAAACCAGCCCGAAAAAACAACAACGATGCGATGATTGAATTTTGACGCTCTTTAAAACGATCCAACATTTCACCTAATATTTCAACACAATAGTATTGTTGGATGTCGACAGCCAACATTTTTGACCACAATAGAACTTCATCCAACATCAAGAAAGACGATGCTGGATGACCCGAAATGGTGGCCAAACGATTCACACTTCACCCAATATCATGTTGGGCGAAGTGTTCGATCGTTTGACCAGGGCTTTACGTTGCGAAATGCAAAATGGGACATACCGTAAATCCTTGAATAAGCCCCCAAGCTCGAATAGAACTCCCCTCGAATAAGCCTCTGCCTAAAAAGTCATTTTTACAAATAAGTCATTTTTGCAAATAACGGAAGCATGATTGCAGAATAATATCTTATTCCAAGAAAGCCTCCACAGGACAATAGCCTTTTTGAAATTTTACAATTTATTTCATTGAGAAATTATGTCGTTTTTATGTCGACCTTTGAGGAAAATACTAAACTTTGAAATAAGTCCCCCCTCGAGCAAGCCCCCCTCGAATAAGCCCCCACCCAAAAATTCTAATAAGTCCCTAGGGGCTTATTCGAGGATTTACGGTAGTGCCTCTAAACTATGCCAAATCAGGAGACGCCCTTTTGCCTGAGTTTCGTTTATCTCTTTAATTAAGGGTGAAAAAATCAGAAATAGTTCTCTTTTGCAAGTTATTAAGCACATATTGCCTGATACAGCTGCTTGATGATCAATTTAGCCTGAAACTCGGAAATGCAACTTAGAATCTTTATGTTATGGACGGCGAAGCTCTGCCTTTAAGCCATTGATCACATTTTTTGTATCTTCAGAGATTTATATTTGAGCAGTTGGCATTAACGACACAATAGCAACCTGTACATTCCTTTAGATAGTCAATTTAGGGAATCCCCTGCTCCTAGTGGTTGTTTCTTGGTTCCTGTATTCTCCCTCATGTCAAAGAGTTTAAGCCCACTTCTGTTCAGCAGTTTCATGTGGTTTTGCAGTTTCTGCAGTTGGCATTAACGACACAATAGCACCCTTCACTCAGCATTATAGACATTCAAGGGAACCCCCTTGCTTCTAATGTCAGTTTAGGCTCGTGTCTTCTCGCTCATGTCAAAGAGTTTAGGCTCACTTCTGTTACTGCAATGGTTTTGTAGTTTGTGAGTTTCAATTTCATTTTCAATTAAATTAAGGAGGGTAATACTTCAGCAAATGGTCAATCACAAAGGGCCTTCCATTTGATTAATAATATTACAAGTATTTAACAATGAACAAAAACAAAACAAATTAATAATATGTATATATAGGAAGTTCAATAATTTACATCCCATGCTTGTACGGCAGTGGTGGATCCAAACGGGGTTACAAGGGATCTGAAACCCTGTCAAAGATTCCTAAGACAGATAACGACAGTTTTCCCTTTACTTCCGAATGAATTGCAACGAGTCCTAATGGCAAATGGGATCTTGCTCCACAGCCTTTGGTGCTCTCTTAATATGGAATTGAGAAAGAAGGGAACCCTATCGTAGCCATGGTACTCTTTTGTAACATATCATATTCCTCAGCGGTTTAAACGAGTTCCAATGACTTTGTGAATTGGTTTCAAAAACGGTTCTTCTGTTTGTGGCAAAAACAATCGAGGAGACGAGGACAATCAATTGCTATTGCTACGACAGGGTTCCTTTCTCAAAAAATACAATGATAGGGTTTTTTTTTCTAAACCATACATCTGTCCTGTTTCATAATGGCGACGTGAAGCTGCGAGTGAAGGCTACGATAGCATGACGACGAGAGCCTGCTTTCAGCACTCAAACGCAAAGAGACCAGCACCTGAAGTTCAATAATTTTTAAGGATCGTATGGAAGAGTGCTATGGATTTTCAATGAAGTTTCCAACACGCCAACTATGTGTTCATTTTTCTTGACTGGCCTAACTAGCCCGAGAAGACAAATCACGGTTTCTTTGCTCGTGGATCAAATGAAATTCAATCTAAACAAACCAGATATTTGTAAAGTAATGTTCACGAGATGTTACAATAAGCAGGAATGAATTCTTGGCAGGAAACTCAGGGATGTCGACGAAATTTTCCATCTGATGTGCAAAGTTTATAGCGTTTTGACCAAGTTTTTGTCTAGATCCGCCGCTGTTGTACCCCTCTGACATATAAGTATTTTTGCCTAATTCTTTATGTTTGCTTAGGAGGTTGTAAATTTGTACTGGTGTTGCGAAAAACCTTGCAAATGGCTTTCAGAATTTCATATAAATAAATTCGACAAACATTCTGGCGTTAGTCCGTTAAGGTCCTTGCAAACCATAGTGTTAATTTCAGTATTGATCAAATCCTAAAGTGGCTTGAGTCCAAGAGTATTAAACAGTGGCCTAGCATCAGCATCAAAGCGGCTATTTGCAATTATTCTTGCTGCTCGATCTTGAAGTTTTTGCAAATGGTTTTTCGGTTGCACAACAGTTCCCCAAAACTGAGCAACAGTATCTAGAATGGGGCTCAACAATACCAGTATACCAGTCTTTAGGCTGTCCTGTCTTAGAAACTTTCTGGCATATTTTGAAAGCCAATTGCTCAAATGATTTTTGTTGATAGACCTTTGATGTGACCTTTCCAGTTAAGGTTGTTGTGAAGTTGGCATTAACGACACAATAGCACCCTGCACTGAGCATTTCTTCAGACAGACATGCCAGGGAATCTTCTGCTTTTTATGCATGTTAGGCTCTTGTTTTCTTCCTCATGTCAAAGAGTTAAGGCTTATATTTTACCATTCTTATAGCTCATTTTTGTTACCGCAGTGGCTCTGCACTTTCTGCAATGGCCATTGCGACACATAAGCACTCTCAAGCGTAGGTGGATCAAGCTTGGTAAATACGTTCTTTAAAGGCAAAGAATTGCAGAGTACTAGATTCGCGGATTTTCTTTGAATGCTCTTTTGCGAACGAATATCGATAGACGAGGTTTGGGCTCCAATCGTGGTATTGACACTGAGGGCCTGTACAAACAAATTAGATTCATTTTGTATCGGGTAACTTTTCATATGAATCTAATAAGTACGCTCCGAATGGTTTTTTGCGGCGATAAACCAATACGCTTTGAATAAGGTATGAAAGCGTATCGGACCACTTATCAATGGTATACGCTCTTATCCGTAACCTCAATTTGAGTGCTAAAATTTGCACAACGACTTGCTCATACTTTGCTCTTGCAAACAAACGCTCGTTCCACGACTTGTTGAATATACCATCTAGCAAAGAGGTTAAAACTGAATCCGGTGTACAGCCGTTAAGTTCAATTAGGATTTGGTATTTGCATTTGCGTTTGCCCCGCTTTTAATGGTGATTTTTAGGATACGAGAGGCCATGCTAATCGAGCAATGGTCTTGTCATTCGTCCCCATGTTAGCTTATAGTCTGATTCTCTGAGTTTCACGCTTAATGCGTTCGCCAGGTTACAAAGGAAAGGAATATCTTCTACTGATTCTTTTAATGGATGCAAAGTTGGTGGTTTGATGCATTCGAAGACTTTTGTGCATTGTCTAGCTTTTCTTTCTTCTGTTGAATAAATATCAGAGATTGGTAACGCGAGTTCTCTCTCTTCTAACAACGGTGTGAACAACAAACCTTGCTGAAACAATAAAACCCCACTTTCACACCTCTAATCAACAGTTGTCATACACCCTAAGCACTGTCTACCATGTTTTGACCATCCATTTTCGTTTCAGAGAGCAGAAACTGTCTTTTCTTACTTATAACCATACATTTGGTTTTCTTGTAGGTTACTGTTCGATATGTCTACTTCCACTTCTTTTGTCTGTGTCTGCATTTTCATTTTCTTCGCTTATCTTGTACTTGTGATGTTCTTTCCTAAACCATTCATCATCAACCGCTGTCTCTGGCTGCGGCAGAATACGCACTAACACGTGGTAGCTGCTTCCGCAGTTCTCCATCTTTAACAAGGCCACATCAAAAGAATGGACTGTGGTGTCAGCAAGATCTGTCTGGAAGGCATGACTAATGAAAAAAGAAACAGAGGACGATCATGTAAAAAATGGAGAGATAACATCAAAGCATGGACAGAACTCGACACAATTTCCCTGAACATCCTAAACCATAACGTTATTCTAATTTTTTCATTTCTCTTCTAACAATTTTATTTTGCATATTAAACAGGTCAGCGAACAATATACTCACCCTTGTCTGGCATCTTTCGAAGTTTTTACGAAGACTGATGAATCTGGCTTTTAATTTTGAACTTGCACGTGGTCAGTAATGGTGTTGCTTGACTGCTGTAATATGTCCCTTAATTTCTTTCAAATGGTGCTTCCTGGTGCTAGTGTTTACGTCATTGCAATGTATGCAATATTTTGATTGCATTGTATTCCATGTCGTCGGATAAGGTCGGATAACGTCGGATAACGTCGGATAACGTCGGACACAGTCTTTGCGACTTTTTGCAAGTATCCGACGTTTATGTGCGCGGTGCTTCATCGCCTCTGCTATCAACTTGTAGCTATTTTCAATTCTATGCTTTAGGACACATAACTCAATAGGTCGACTGAGGTGGCCTCAGGCTTTTTCGATTTCAATGATAAATTCAAGCCCTTAAATTGTTATTCGATTCCAGAAGACCATTAGGTTCGGAATTATAATACTAGGTTACAGCTTGTGGCTTCATAGCACTCATATTTCCTTTTACGAGTTCAGCGTAACAGGAGTCACATTTCGCCTAATGGAAAAGTGTTTTTTTCTTTCTCAAGCCTTCAACCCTTATAGTGTTTATTTATGTGAATATCTGCGTTCTTTTGCACAGACATCCTGGACATGTTTTCCGGCATCATTAAAGCTTTCCATGCCTCTAGGCTTCTTTTTGCTGTTCGACATTTTGAAGCTTATTGGGAGGCTTGGTGCATCGGGTAATAGTGGGGAAGGGGGCTTGCTCATACAATCACAATTCTTGTTCATGCCTTGCTCATACAATCACAATAGGGGTTTTCTCGTAGCATCCGTCATCTTTACTTTACAGGGTTACCACAGGCTGAGCAACTTATGCAGATACACCAGCGATCGAAATCGCACTCCATGATGGGATAACCTAATAGTATCCGTTTATATGCATCAAAAACTTCAACTCAAATTGATGCGGTAGCAAATTAAACTCCTCTGCTTTCAGCTTCTCGCAAGGTGATGACTCCATTTGCCATCGCCTTTCGTGTTATAATTATTGTCAGCAATAGAAGCAATAGGGATTGTTCAGTGGAAACAAAGTATTCTGGTTAATTTGGCACGATTCCCTGTAAGAACAAAAATTGCTACGGCCCTGTTTTGGCTGCATTACATTGGGTATGGCATCATCATAGACCAATGGTATGCAAAGCTTTGATGGCCCCTTGGTACTGAAATCTATTTGCATCACTGAGGGCAGATTGCATCGCATTAATAAGTTTCCCAAAAACTTTTCAGACAATCATTACAACCCTTTTCACTGTCTAGACCTTTTTTAGAGAGCCCAACATTTGAATCAACATTGACATAGAATTCTTAATTAACGACGTCATATGAATTTTCCATCGAAATTTTACGTTTTGGACCAAATAGCCTAAAATAGCACGATAAAATACCTCTTAAGCCTGGTTCAAACGTCGCGCTTCTCATGTGCCGAACCTAACTCGAGAGTTAGGTACATGAAGGGCGCGACGTTTGAATCAATTTGGCACGGCAGATTTAGTTAGGAGCGGCAGACTAGTTTGGATCGGAAGAGCTTGCCGAGCTGCACGACTCCAGCACGGCACGGTTTCAAGCGTCGAACTTGTCATGTACCAAACTCAATGCATAATAATATTTAATTTATTTTCCTTCCCAGAATTCATTTAATTCTTGGAGGGCGCATGCGTTTCAAACAAATATTTGAGATTGCGCGCCTTAACCAAGATACTTCATGTAACAATCCTAAAACCCATTTGGCGCGACATGATTAAGTTCGACGTTTGAAACGGGAGTCGCGCTAAACATGCTCAAGTGTCGCTCCAAACAGAGTTAGGTTCGGCACATGAGAAGTGCGACGTTTGAGCCATCTTCAGATATTCTTCAGATAAAAGAATTGTTCTGTTGATTTTGCAAAAATAATGTGACTCTCCCCTTTTTCATAAACTTGATCAGATCTTTTGATTGCCTTAGAAACGTTTTGTTTGTTGAATTTCTAGAACAGAGGACTTGACCTTTTCTCCTCAAATGGGGACTTCCCTTTTCTAATGAATGGAATCATATCTTTATGAAATCTTGTGGTTTGGAAATCCAATATCCAGTCAATTTGAGAAATTTGAGAACAAGAAAGTAATTTGAGAACAAGATCGTAATTTGAGAACAAGAGCATAATTTGAGAACAAGAGCGTAATTTGAGAACAAGACTGCACTATTTCTGCTCCTTGAATTGAATTTGACTTGCAATAAAGATTCTCATCTTCATGAAAATAAATATTCTAGACCTAGTGGTCAATTTTTGAGGTAATGCTTTCAGCCTGATACCAGCGTACTCTTTCTAATCTGCTATAAAACAGAGACTGCATCAATTAAAGCGTCTGCACGAGCGACGTGATCGTGGTAAATAAGATCTTGATCGCTCGAATTAAGTATCTTTTCATGGTACAAAATATACTACTCTTACTGCTGTATACATTGCTCCTTAGGCTGGCAATGTTTGTCTCGTGTCTTCGCTGCCTTTTAGGGCTATTTTAAGTTGAGTGCTCCAGGCGAACGCATCACACTACGTTGTGAACCACTCCAAAAAGCAAGTTCAGACACTGTCTATGAATGAAAAACAAGTCAAACTACTATGACGGTAATATCCTGCAAAAGAGATTCTTAAAGTGAATGCTGCTTGAGTTTTTTCAGTGAATAGTCTATGAACTGTTTGTTACCTTTGTGCGATCATTTGCAATGGTCGCACACCTCCAAGCTCCGTAGAAATGTCACGTTCACTTGCTCTTCTCTTCATATTTGTTTTCTGAAAGCGGCCACGGTCGATTTGACTGATGTAACTATTGGTTTGACTGATCACTTATTTCTATGAAAAATATCGCCAGTATCCTCCTGCCTTCGAGGAGTGTAGAGGAATTTTGATTTGTGAGACAGCGGCACAAGGAGAAAAGATCATAAACATAATTAGCATAAATTATCGTATTAGGTTCCAGTCCTATCATACAGAGTAGAATGAGAAATATTTGGGAAAGGAAAGTTGCGAAAGTTTAGAACCACTCTTTATCACTACAAAAGTTTCAGTTTCTTGAAATGAATAAATTCAACATATTGGGTTTTGAAAAACAGTGACTTTATGTTTGGGATCCTGCAAAAACATTTCTGACCTGTAACCCCAGATAAAAAAGTAGAAGGTAGTCCCGGTCCCCCTCACTGAGTTTGCGCACCATACAGTAAAAAAGAGTGTACCCTTCTCCTTATGCCGTTTTCTCTTCAAAAGCTCTTTTTGCTTATCATAAGCAATCTTATCATACAAGGTTAGGTTAAGACAGGAATGTTTACAGATAACATTTTATTTGCTCTTTTTTTGGGGCTGCTTCGTCAAATAATCATATCCCGAGACTGCTCGCTCACAATATGATTTTTCCTCTGGTGTGCATTAATGGTTGAGCAGGCCCTTGACATGCATCTGATGTATTTTGCTTTACTTGACATGACGTCATCATATTGAGTAGTAACAGCTACTGGATCAAAGTGAGGGGCAAAATAGGCATGAATATCCCTGATGTATTTCTCATTGGCAGTAAACCTGATAAACTTTCCAGAAATTTCATGCATATCGTTCAGCGGCGGTTTTAGGAACTACGGGGCCCTGGGCCAAAAAGTTCTGCGAAACCCTTGTTCTTGACAAATTTTCCTTTTTATCTTAAGCGCGGGGCCCTTTCCGGCCAGGGGTACCATCCTAAAATGTTAGGAAGAATCTCTGTTGTGTGTATGAAATCATCCAAACTTTTTAATTGTATAAAAATACTGGCAAGAAGTTGCTCATTCACGAGGAATACATAGCATAATGAAGGTTGCCAACACAGAATTTGTCCAACTAAACACGAATCTGAGCAAGGGGGACTGAGCCCCCCCCCCCCCGAACCACCCCTCCGCGGCCTCACTGCTTTCGGCTACCATAAACGCGGGGCCTGGGGTCGTGGCCCCGTAGAACCTCCTTAAACCACCACTGATATCATTGTAAATTTAAAGCCTACTAGGGGATTTTCCAGGGATTCAACAACTTCGATTCAAATTGCTGCAAAATTTCTTTATTCGGTAGCAAATTAAATTTATCTGCTTTCATCTTCTTGCAAGATGATGATTCCATTATTTGCCATCGTCCTTCCCGTTATAATTCCTTTCAGACCATTCTACGTATTGTCCAACAAGTGACCTTTCACTGATAGTAGGATGCTTGTCACTGAATTGCTTGCCAATGGGTCTGGTATCAGCAATTGTTATGCTATCAACCTGCATCAGAAACACACATGACATCATTCATTAAGCAAGGACGCTGCAAATCACCATTTTGGGAAACATCTTTCAAATTTTTTTTTACCTGCTCTTGATTGGACTGTGAACAGTATAGCATCAATAAAATTCATAAAAAATGAATATCAAATGCTTTGCGACTTTATTTTCAAAACCGGTCTAATATTGTACTGCATGAACATAAAAAAAGCTCATTTCTCTTCGCATAAAATACAACTACCGCAAAGTATGCCGGTTGCGTAACAGCCTTTAAAGTGTCTATGCAGCGAAATTTTATGCCCTGTTTTTTTAAGAGTTTTATTTTCCCATCTTTTCCGATACGTTTGACACCAAAATTGTCATAATTTGACCAGCAAAAGTGTGTTTAATCAGAGTTTGAAATTAGGTAGTGCTTGCGAAAATCAAGGCCAGTTTGTGACGTCACAGTGATGAGTCAGGTCGACAGCAATCAGGAAACTGCGGTTGTATAGAATAGGTTCTAGTGAGGGAGATAAACAGAAGAATTGTGCAAATTGTGATACAAGCACCAAAATTTCAGAAAACACCAAGTTAGATACGCTGAAAAAGATGTGATATAGACCCAAATTATATCTTGCCCATAAGATCTATTTTTAGACTGGGGTACTTCGGTCAAGACCCCTAATTGTACCTTTGGTCATAAACGGGGAACGCCAGGCCATAGAAAGTTGAAATTCACAATAAAAAGACAGCTTAACTAGACATAAAAGATGTGATATAGACCCGATTCATAATTTGCCCCTAAATTCTATTTTTAGACTGGGGTTCTCTGGTCCAGACCTCTAATTGTACAATTGGCCATAAACAGAGAATCCTAATTCATAGAAAGTTGAAATTCACAATATAAAGGCAGTTTAATGAGCCGAAAAAGATGTAAAATAAACCCAATTCATATGATACCCCTAAATTCTATTTTTAGACTGGGGTACTTTGGTCCACACCCCTGGCCACAAACAGAGAACGCCAGGTCATAGAAACTTGGAATTCTCGATATAAAGGCAGTTTGACATGCAGAAAAAGATTGGATATTGAGCCGAATCATATCTTGTCCCTAAGTTCTATTTTTAGACTGGGGTACTCTGATTCAGGCCCCTAATTCTACCAATGGCCATAAACGAAGAATGGAAATTCTCAATATAAAGGCAGTTCGATACGCTGACAAAGATGTGATATAGTTCCTATTCATATCTTGCACTCTAAAAATAGAACAAGGGGAGCAATTTTCAGTCAGGGTCCATATCCTATCTTTTTAAGCGTATCAAATTGCCCCTTATTGCAAAGTTTCATGCTATTCTACCAAAGTGAGACTGAGATACGATAATACCATCAATAAAGGTATAAGGGAAAAGTACCCCGGTCTAAAAATAGAACAAGGGGCAATTATCAGTAGGGTTCCATATCCTATCTTTTTAAGCGTATCAAGTTGCTCCTTATTGCAAAGTTGCATGCTATTCTACCAAAGTGAGACTGAGATACGATAATTCCGTCAATAAAGGTCTAGGGCAAAGTACCCCAGTCTAAAACAAGAAAAGGGGGCAAATTCAAGTTGAAGTCTTTATCCTTTCATTCCTTATCGTGTGAGATTGTCACTTGTTACAAAGTTTCATGTTATTGTACTTACTTACAGCAGATATATCGTAATATCGCCGCTAGAGTCTTGGGGCAAAGTACCCCAGCTAAAAATAGCTGAAGGGGGCAATTTTCAGTTCGGGTCCATATCCTATCTTTTTCAGCGTATCAAACTGTCCATTATTGCAAAGTTTCATGCTAGTATCACAATTTGCACAATTCGACCCAATAAGTGATTTAACAGGCCTGACTAAATGGTTTCGCCTCGACTCATCACTGTGACGTCACAGAGGAAAATAAAATTTCGCAACGCAATTGCAAAATATGCATACTTTGACACTCAGTAAAAAAAGAACCATTTAACTTATCGGAATTCTGTTTTTTGTATAAAAACAAGGGCGAAAGATTCTATAGATTTCTTTTAAAATATTGGAATGGTAAATTTCGCTGCATAGGCACTTTAAATTCAATAACGACGTAACACGGGATTTTCAAGCAAAAGTTATCTTCGTGTTTTTGTTTTCTTTTTAGCTGTCTTTTCGATTTGATCATCATTTTTGACATCGTTGTTATATTTTTGTTCAATTTCGGGCATTCTCAATATTCACTATTCATCATGTACTCTATACCTTCAGCAGCAGATACAATGAATACATCGTTTGCTCTAATAAGGAGTTCTACGTCTGTCTGGCACTTCACATGGTCTTCATTACAAGCAAGATCTAACATTGCTCCATCATCACTTTCACATTTACTTCAATAAACTGGAGTCATGTTGCTGACACGTCTTAAAGAGATATCTTGAATTCTTTTGAATCCTGTTTTATTTCATCAAACAATGTTTCACCTTTTGCCCCTTTTCCTTCATAACCTGTTAATCTCCTTTTAAATGGCTTTGAAAAAAGAAAACATTTAGTAAACTAAAGCTTTTCGTTGGACACTCTTCAGAGTTTAAAACGTCAGAACATAGATCGAAAACTCTACGCTAGTAAATATATATACCCAGTTGTGGATCGAAATAGGCCAATCAGAAAAAAACGAGCACATGACTGTTGAGGTTGACCAATCAGTGCCGCTTGCCTATTAGAATGTTACCAATGGAGTCCTAAGGTGAAAACAAACTCCTTTTGTCTACACAGTAGCGGTTTTTTCGTGCTTATGTAGATAGATTCTATAATCTCTTTGTATTTATTCTTAGGTTCATAAGTGTTTCTTTCTTAATTATGCATTTTACTTTTGTCTAGCAAGCATTGTTGTTGATTCAGTGAGTCCCTGTACACCTGAAAATACAGGCTGGCAGCATAGAGAACAATCGTAGAATTTTGAGATTATATCTTATGAGCCTCTGTATGATCTTACCAACTGCATTTATGGTGAGGGGGAGGGTTCCAGACACGGAAAGTGACGGGGGTGCACGGAAAACGTTATTGTACCCTTTCTTGTCCCATGAAGACGTAAAGGCAGTGAATATTCGAAAATTTAAATGCAATTTCGACAAGATGTTATGTATCAAATCCCTTTTTTATGTCTACATTTACACCTCTGCGAGATTTCGGGAATCAGAAGATGTCATGTTACACCTCAGTAACATGACAAAAACAGCACAAAATCAAATGTTATCTTTTGAAATAACGCAATATAATACAGTCAAAGTTATAATTACATTATTGGTAAAGACATTTTTCGTATCATTTTTGGTTTTGCCCACAAATAATAAGCTTGGCTAATCGTGAAAATGTATCGTTATTAAAATCCCTTTTATTACAGACTGAATAACTATCTCGGAAAATTTCTTATTCCCCACAATTTTCATGATATTCAATCTTCTTACTGTGATCTTAATTATATGTTAAACTTCTCATTTTCGATTGTATTTAATAAAAATTAGTTCCAAAGATTCGGTTATTGCCTTTTTCAAAGATTATAACCCATCAAACGTGGGCCTAAGCTAGTAACAAAGTAATGTTACCTTTCTAAATATCTTACAGAACGATTCATCACCAAATATTCTTTTTGGTAGTTTCAATTATGCTAGTTCTAAATGAAACCTGAAATTTTGGAACTCTGAAATTCTCGAAATCTCTCCATACGTAGGAAACATAAAAACAAAGAAAAGAAGACAAAACTACCATACGATCTCAATCGGGTGACACAGTCATTATTTGATTAATTTACGTTCTGAATTACTTCATTCTTCATCATTTAAGCCTCGAACCTCCAGTGAGAATCCAGTGAGCATAAAACAATAATCAGTAAAAAATAATAAATAGCTACAGTTAGCGTGTTTCTAAAACTGAGAAATAACAAACCTCTTCAGAAAATCAGAATCCTTTTGAAGCTTATTGAAGGTGGATCACAGGCCTCTAAGGATACTTCCCAATAATGGAGAAATTAAGAACGGACAAATAATTTGACGCCAATATTCCCTTCCTGAGGCTAAGGCATAGTACAAATAACAATTCAATGAGGGATACCACCTTAAAACGGACACCACCTTACAATGGATACCATCTTACAACGGACACCTTCCTGTCCGTTATATAGAGGTCTTCTATATAGAAATATCAGAGTAACGCCATCAGTAGGGCAATTATTACAGACCATGTTACAAATATTGTGAATGTCTGCATATTACAGGATTCCGGTCCATATAATTGATTACATCAGAATGTCTTAGGCGAAATTCAAGACTAGATGTCTATGGAAATTTCAGACATGCTGTATTGAAAGTCACCATTATCAATAGATTTATAAGGATCCTATCAATAGTTCTTAGTCATTTTGGATGACGTCACTTTGATGTAGACGCCACGTCCAATCGATCCTCCAATGTGACCTCTCGTTGTTGGGGGACAACAAAAATCTTCTCTTTGTAAGGGTGTGAAATTGAAAATCGCAGTTCGAAAGAAATAATTGCCTAGAAAGTTGGTGTTCCCAACTAGGGTCTACATTAATCTGATATCCCCTTTTGGAAGGCACTTGGATACGTTTGCATAGTAAATCATAATAGGTGAGCGGAAGTGCAGTCTACGGGCTTGGTAAACCTAACTGTGAGGGACAAAATAAGGTTTGTTAATGACATAATTATTTGGTTACAATCAGTAACCTTTGAGCATTAATAGTTAATTGTAAAATATAGCAGTGTTAAAGAGTTAAAAACGATAAAATATTTAGCAACCTATAAATAATTTTGTCCTAACTAACTTCTAAAACTATACAGTACGATCTACAAACAAGTATTTTTGTAATGCGTTAGTTTATCTGGATCATCGAAATCTACATATATGCACAAGTTTGAGAGCGACAGAGCTCAACTGCCATTTTAAATACACAATCCACTCTGATTAGATAAGGTACTTCTTGAAAACGAGAGTCGTTTTTGTTTAAGATCAATATCTGGGAGGATGAGAGGGAAAAATCTTAATAGAAAAACTGAAAACCGCCATGATAATGATGAATAAATGATACTGCCTATCAAAGACTGCCAATCAAACGTCAAAAGTGTCAGTCATTCATTTATACTTGTTTGTCAATGCAATCAAACTGCCAATCAAACGTCAAAAGTGTCAGTCATTCATTTATACTTGTTTGTCACTGCAATAAAACTGCCAATCAAACTGTCAATCAAGCCTCTCGATCAGCTTGTCAGTCATAATAACTGTTCGTGAAGTCATTGCTTGTCAGATATACTGCCAATGAAACCACTGACCATTATTGCAACGAAACCTGTCATTCATATTCACAAACTGTCAGTCATCCTGCCAATCAAAGTTTCAATCGAACTGTCAATCAAGCCTCTCGATCAGCTTGTCAGTCATAATAACTGCTCGTGAAGTCATTGCTTGTCAGATATACTGCCAATGAAACCACTGACCGTTATTGCAACAAAACCTGTCATTCATACTCACAAACTGTCAGTCATCCTGCCAATCAAAGTTTCAATCATGAACCAACCAACCACACCGCCGAACAAGCCTTCAATTACTTACAGTGTCAATGTGATTTGTCAGCCATCGTTATAGTAAGGATTTGTCAGCCATAGTTGGAATGCAATGAAATTTTTAGAAACTGTTTTCAAACGCCTGATAATATAGACCATATCTAACCAGGGGTGAATTTTCATAAGATTGCAGCACAGCGCAATGTATTCTATATATCCTTCTTAATTTAAATTAATAACACCCTCTTATTTACATTATAAATCCTCTTCAAGAGTCAAACTGTCAGCAAGCCATTTCCCCGGAGCAGTCCGGACAGGTTGATCCCACTGGTTAGTTGATGACGAGCCACTGCTCCATAATAAAAGTTGCACTGAAAAATCATATAAAAATTTAAACAATTAAACATTTTGTTTGATACTAATAAAAGATAAGATAGCCAGAAATGATAAAACAACATTGAATGTAAGGAAATCGGAATTGAAGTGAACCTCTCAATGGACGCCGAATTCACTTTTGAAGCTTTACCTCGAAAGGGGTTTTCTTAGGAGGGGAATATCGTACGTTTAGAGATAAAGGGGTTTTCTTACCTCGAAAGGGGTTTTCTTAGGAGGGGAATATCGTACGTTTAGAGATAAAATGGGTAGGCCTCTCAGCATTGATATTTTCAAAAAAAAGTATTAAAATCAACACAAATAGTCTAACGCAAATAGGTTTTCAAACTTCATAATTTTCAGAATTTTCAGAAACATAAAACAGGGCATTAAAAAAGCTTTCTTTAAGTAGTTCAAACAACCAAGAAAAAAGGAGGGGCTTATTAGCAATTAGAGAAGCTAGTGATTCAAATTTTCCCTTTAAAAACAGGGTGGGACTTAATAGAGAGGAGACCTAATAGAGAAGGGGGTTTTAAGGAGAGAAGACTCGAAGGAGAGGGGTTTAATCGAGTTTTTATGACAGAAGAGTAAAAAACAGGTGACACAATTTACCGGTTTAATTCTATCTTCTGTGCTACAGTGCTGGAAGCAGGTCGTACGCTCTACAGCTGCAAAGCACAACAAAAACTGCCCAAAGGAATACGAGAGCCAGGCCACTCCCGACTTTGGCCCATCGTGGCCCACCCAGCTCACCACCAAACAACTACAAAAGAAAAGACAAAAAGTCAAAGGTGGTTCCTTCATTAGCCACTTCTATTGCACCCTGACGAGGAAAAGAATCGTTCTCATTTTGGAGACAGACTTACTAAGAACACACAGGCTCGCTTTGCCTAAGAGCAACGTAAGAAATATTAATAACAAAAAAGTAATTTGCTTTCTTAAAATTTACTATTATGTCACCAGCACAGAGAAGCCCTAATGGAAACTGTAATTAAGTGGTTTTCGAAACAAGCTATAATGAGTTGCTTTAAAAAATCAATTTTGAAATAAGAACAACAATTAGAAAATTAGAGTGTCAAGAAATTCTAAAAAATGCGCATAAATTTGAATGAGTATGACTGAAACTTTCCACACAGAAAAAAGTTGCCCAGCCCAATGTTTGGTACATCATACCCTTGAAGAAATGTTATTCTAGTTGATGCCTATATGGGAAACGTAGCGTAAACATGTGGAACTGTGTAAGCGTACTCAAAGTCCATAGAAATGGCACGCAGAGAGAGTCCATTGAAAATAGTGGTTACCAAGCCAGAACAGGCCTTGATTTATGTTTTTATTAGATAACAGTTTTATGTCACTGGCTTAATAAACATTTGTCTACAAGGATAAATATTCTTTGGAATCTGACTATGCAGCCTTAATATCCAAAAGCGATTAAAGAATCACCACACATAAAATAACAAAATGGACGATAATTCAAAATGGCTATCTATACTTATTGCAGCAACTGAGAAGTCGAAACAACAAACCTTTCTTCGGAGAACTAAAAACAAAAGGCAGACGACGCCACAGCAGAGAAACACGGTGACTGAGAATGTGAGGTTATTGTCGATGACTTTCACGTCCTTTCCTTTTGCTTTGTAGTATATGGTTTTGATGACCCATGGCAAGCCCAGTCCAAGAAACACATTGACACTGTTGCTGCCTGGAAGGTAAGATAGACAAACTTCACTGCCTGCCTACTTCTCATTGCAAAACATTTAATCCAAAAGCAAGCATAGAAATTCATATCATTGGCAAATGCAAAGTTGAATTTTGCATATCACAAAAGATGACTACCGAATAGCGATCTACATGATTATGTTTGCAATAGAATTTTAAAGCGTGACGTCACAAAAACAAAATAGTTTTGCATAAGGAAGCTATAATGCTCTCCCATTTACACAATGTTCCCTATATCCTGTAGAAGGGATTTCCCTGTGCTTTATAGAATATTTATTTTCTTTATGGGAGACGGGTTGAAAATGCTTCTCTTGTTATATATCTAGGTAGCTCTACTTCTAATTATGTAGAGAGTTCTTAATTGATGACGTCATAAAAATCAAATTTTTTGACATGTTACACCATAAAAAAGCGGACAAATAATTATATCCGTGTCATTTTCTACAGTTACAATCTTGCCATTTCCTGGTCCTCTCTGACACCTTCTTGCCAGGGACAGCACCTCTGGTCCCAATTGGGTCTTCTATATGAAGGTTCCACTGTACCATAACAATTCCCCGCTTCATCAAACAAATCAAGCGCACAAGTTCTCCAGTTATTTGTAACAATAAATTATCAAAATATTCTAAAAGATTGTGAATCAGGTTTAGTCGCCACGCCAATACTTGAAGTATTAGAGTGCTTAACTACCTGTTATATTGCCAATGGACGCATCAGCAGTGTCATCTTGCACAGCAGCGGACCTGCTCGCAAACGTATCTGGCATGCTTGTTCCCAATGCCACTATTGTTATTCCCGTTACACTTATTTCCAGATTGAAAACACATCCAAGCAATTTTGCGAACTAGAATGAACAAGATGTAAGATTATTCATCAAAACATAAACTTCAATATCCAAACAACTTAATGAAAAAATCAATATCGTCCATCAATAGCCTATCAGAACCGTCCAAACTCCAATATTTTGTGATTTCCAATACTCCCTATTTGCAATAGCAACTCAGCTTAAATATTGTCCATCAATAGCCTATCAGAACCGTCCAAACTCCAATATTTTGTGATTTCCAATACTTCTTATTTGCAATAGGAACTTAGCTTCTATATCAATTGTAATATTACCAATATCGTCCTGATTCATTTGAAACCAACATCTTCCCCCTTAAGGCATCAATTTACGTCAGCTTTAAAAGCAGGTAGAGAGAGAGCTCATTGATAAACTATTTAGCCATCGATAACAAGTAGAAGAGAAATGATTGAAAATCACGTTAGGAAAGTTTCAACGTTGGGAATTACAGGACCAAATCAGAGCAGCTAAAATTAGCCTTTATATCAACAGCAGAAATACTCGATGATCTCAATAAAAATGAGGAGGGCACACCTCTTATCTAAAACAAAATATTTGTATCTTTATATAAAACACTATATAGCGAACCTGTTCCACAAAGGCCGAGAGGAGACCAAGGAACATTAGAGACAGTATGAATGCCAGCCATCCACCAAACAATGTTCTATAAAGTGAAATCAATAAAACTGAAATTTAAATAGGAAATAACAAAAAGCCAAAGCTGCATTTTCAAAGTTGGTCGAGAATGATGATTCATGATTTTTTACGATAAAAATTTTTTACCGAAGCCTCAAGAACACATATACGGTCTGAAAATAAAATCTGCAAAGTTTTTAGAAGAAAAACATAAAAAATTTACAAAGAGAAAAATTGCATTTTTTCATTTTTTTTAATCGAAAAGACTTTAATCAAAATTCTATATAAAACCTTCACAATCGTATTATCATCATCAACTATCCCAAAATCTGAGTTTTGGTTTGTTGTCATAGATAAAATTAAGGGGCTTATAGTAGAGATGGGCCCCCAGAACCACCTCTACAGTGTTTTTAAAGGGACACCATCCCTCTTTCCAGGAGTTCTTCCGTCCGAAGCCGTTGACCCCTGGAGTCGTAGCTCATCCACCCTCCTTGCCGGTCTCCCGCCGAGTTAGCCGTTGGCCATCGCTCGTAGCCCTGAGCTAGGGAGCCCTGCCAGGTGGTGCCAGTCGGGTCAGGCTCGACCTGTAAGCTAGTGGAGGGAAGGGACGCTTTAATTCCCCATTCATGTCCTGTCTGAGCATGCCACAATCTTATTATAGCCTCGGGAAATTGAACCAATTTCTTTACGTTTACGGACGATGTGCAACCTCGCGAAAATATATGTGCATTTGTGAAAATCATGTGTGTTTTACTATCATCCTTACATCACTGTAGGAGAGAACCACAATGATAATGCTTGGCATAGAATGCAATATAAACAACTTACCTTGGGGGTATTAATGAAAACAAAACTTTCCAGAAGAAAGATAGAAAGTGTAGTACATAATTAAACATTGAAGGTCTTTGATCGTCGTTGTTGTTGTTGTAATCTCCAATGGACATTGCACTAAAACGAATTAGGAGTGAATATTTTGAACTCAAAATAACTAATTTAATTATGCGATAAATAACACGTGAATAATGCAACTACATCAAAAGTAAATTCCTAGAAGCATGACAAGAGATAAGTTAGGAGCAAGACGAAAGATTGCTATCTAGCATCCCTGGTTTTAACTGGTAATACATAAATTGCTCTCATAACAGGGAACATGTGGCAGATGAAATAGACGCCTTTACCCATTAATTGCCTTTACCCATTTACCCATTGTACCTTGGTGCTTTTACCCATTTATTTTACAAAGACCAAATTGCAAGATGAGGGTTATAGAGAGGAGTAACCAATCAAAAATTCTGGTTGTAGTTTTTGCATTTGCGAGCATTTAGCATTTGCAGACTAGCTCAACGACATTCGACAGATACTAAAAGGTTTAAGCCACCTGTCAATCGACGATTGACCAATCAATAAATGTGCGAGTGACATCATACTTTCTGATTGGTTAATGCTGCTTGTCAGATGGCCAATAAAAATTAATATCTGCCTGTTGCCTTTAATTTGTGGTGTTTAGTTTCATTAAAACAAGGAGGGAGCATTTCGTAAACTAAGAAACAAAATGTACAAGTTTTAATTCCATGAAAACTATAAAATTTTAAAAAATGTTACAGAACCAACGTATCAAATTTAGACAGATAAAGTTATCTACAAGCTACAAAATGTTTGAGTCTTTTCTACCTTGAGGGTGAATACAAGCATTTAAAGTTGAAAAAAACATTGACCATGTAAATCTTATTATCATGATAAGAAATTATCGACTTAAAAAGCGAAAAAAATATCTCTAGAGATTTTCTCAATGCAGACATTCCGATGTGGCACAAACTTAACTGGAATCAAATTAGCTTTGATTTTTAGAAAAGGATTAAGCGATAATGAAAAGCGTGCTTCTCACTCGTAAAGTTGTTCGTTCCAAAGCTGCATGATAGATTTCTCTTTGGTCTCTTCAGTCATGATATTTGCTACTTGATCTACAATTTCATCCACAGCTAAACAAAGAAGGACACTTTTTAGTTATATGGACGTAAAAGAGTAGTCTCTATAGCCAAAGATAGAAGTTACATAAATATACTAGCTTGCATGCTGTACATTATAACAGCAAATGACTAGGAATTTAAGTAAAATTGTACTAGAAACAAATAATAGATTATTAGTTAGCCAATTATCAAAGACAGAAGTTTAGGTGCACGTAGCAATAAAACCTCTATATTACTGAGAGGTTGTGGGGGCGGGGGGGGGGGGGGGGGGGGTAATCCGTTGTCTTGCATCTACATCTATTTTTTTGTCTCTTTGAAATTGGGAAAGAAACTAAGGGACAGATTGTTTTAGGTTTTTAGGCATTCATCAGCTGAGGTTTCACTGAAGCTTCAACACATTTCTCAATTTAAGAAGTGACTTGATTTAAGTAGAAATTTGCAGATGCAAACTTACTGCTTGGTTTTTGGTCATCAAAAAGAACAAGACATTCTTAAGAAGCATTTCCTCTACATAAACAGTTCAAAAAATGTACCAGCAAAATTTCCTTATCCTCCAATCGCAATGTTTGCTCAAGCTCTTGGCTAAAAGCTTTGAAAAATATTTCCAGAAATGATAGGACCGATGGAAGTGTTTATCACTAATCATACATTCATAACCCGAAAGATATCTTAAATCCATCAGTGTTAAAGAATAAAAATTGCTGTTTCACTGACTGTCATATATAGATGGAGCTCTACACTCCTTGATGTATAGAACAGGACGGTTCTTAGTTCCGAGTTTCAAGTTGGCTGCGATCGTCAAGTAACTGCGATCATCAAGAAGCCAACTATTACTGTATCTAATATGAGTGGTAAGAGAGATTCTATACTGACCGCTCGTTAAGGTGATTATTGCAGCACTTCTATGCCCAAGTTTGGCACCACCGGAAGTTGTGTACAGAAGTAAAATAAATGATTTCCCGCGCTAAAAATAAGCATAATTTTTAGAAAAGAATTAAAAGTTTTATTGCATATTTATAGATGGGTGCTAGGAGCATGTAAATATAGTGAGGCGAGCCCTGACAACAGCGAAGGCAGGACAATGGAATCTTCAAAGTCAACATCGAAGCATTACACACTGCAAATGCCACATCAAAACACAACATTTAAACAAATTTTTACCTTTGAATTCATGTTGACCCGAAGCTTTATTTCCTTGCTCGTTTCACCATTCAAAAACTCTAGCCTTGCTTGCTTGATTTCTTGGAAATCACAAGTCCCTTCTTTGAGATCTTCCAAGCTGCCTCCAAACGCACTTCCGTTGCTAAAGACAAAGAATGGAAGTTAGTTTTATAACTACGGGAGACAGACGAGGCAGCGACGAAGATCTTTATTGACGAATATCTGATCAAATGGTTTGAAAAAAGTTCCTTTAATCAACATAGCTTCGTTTTTTGCTTGAGTATGTTAATTAGATTCCTTCCAACCTTTATCATTCCTTCTTTTACTTAGAGGGCCTGTTTAGTAAAAAAAATTTATACATTTCATTTATTCGATAATTTCCGCTGCATTAAGCATGATAGAACTATTTTCCTTTCTAGCTTCCCATTTTTCGTTAAGTTTCAAATTCGCCGCTCTCCGAAAGAAACCTAACGAGGACGGATCGATTGGGTGACACTGCTATGTCACGATGTTTGGTTTTCGTTCGCCGTGAATTTCTTGCGAGCCGAAAAATTATTATGCATTTGCGTCATATAAATGCCAATAAAGGGCAGCCAATTTAAAATAAAAATTTCACATTTCTCAAAATATTGACTAAATACAGATAGATAACAGTGTTTTTATAAAATGCAGTTGCCATCACAATGCAGGTAAAACCTGAACAACTTTTGCATCACATTATAAACAACCTAAATTAGACTTGTATTAATCTCAACGATCGAAGCATAAACACGATTGAAAACAAATTCAGAAATGTGAGTGCAATGCACTGCAACGAAATCTTTCCAGTCACAAAGGATCTCAAGTTTGCTATCACTAAACGTCCATCAAGAAAGAGCAGATTACGTCATCGATGGCTCTTAAAGCTTATCATTGTACAGTCAAGATGGGTATTAAAACAGACAATGAACAAAATATGCAACTATTTTCGAATCTTCTAAAATGCAGCTAACATATCTGAAACGACATCTTACATTGTTCTGAAATGAGCAGCAATGGTCCCATCGCATCCATGAATTCGAACCACATTGGCAGTGACAATTCCCGTCGTGTAATCAACGTGATATGTCGCTTCTTGGAACATCAGCTCACCAGGCTCTGAAATCAAGAGGATAAGATAATATAGTGTTGTTATTAATATAGCCAATGTAGGCCTGAGCAAACGATCAAGACTTTGATTTTATATTTGATCTAGCATCATGTAAGGTCATCTAACTTGTTGATTCATTTTGACAAGGTGTCAGTACACCTAACATTGTGTTTTGGAATGTGGTTGATTCGGAATGACCAAATATCCCATAGCTTTCCTTTTGTTTGAAGGTCATATAGAATAAAGCAGTTACGCATATATAATTAAGAATGAAGGGATACTTTTGTTCTACGTTCTTTAAGGCCTATAGCTACTATTGTTAAACAAGAAGCTCTGTTGAATGTGTCTCGTTCTAGTTTATTACGGAGCCTCGCTTCCATTAGTATAAAGCAGATCTACGCATTCCATAAAAAGATCAAAGTATCTTTGCTTAAACAACTATAAACAAAAATGGTAAAACATTGCACGATACTAAACATCTAAACAGACATACCGTTATCGTCGATGATAGAAATTTTTGCCACACTTGGATCTCCAACGCCAGTGGAAATGCTTGAGCTTTTGAGGATAATGAAGAAGTATTTCTCCTCTTGATTAGAATCTGATTCCGTTTCTTTTATTGGTATGCTGACAGAAGAGCGGTAATCTTGCTCCGTGAAAGTCTGCGGATCCAAAAATATCTCATATTAACAATTTGAACGACTAATTGCAGGAATGCATTAAGTTTTTGCTAGTAAACAAGATTTTCATATCTAAAAATGTTAGCTGTATGCAGACGGTTTAGACAAATATAAACATACACCAGCAAAGCAAATAAAAATAACCAGTAAACATACAGTTCGTGGTCTTTAGGTAGGAAGTATAAAATGAAAATCTAAGATGATTCTTTGTTGCTGTTTTTGAAATTATAGAATATGGTTGCTGTAAGTGCAAAAGTATAGATTAGGGTGTTGTAGGCCACAAATGGGTCGGAAGAATCCTTTTAAGTAAAAATATGCCCTAGAGACCTGCAGTTACAGTCTTATAAAGGAGACGAGCAAGAGAAAGTCTTTTCATGAGCGAGGCAACCCTCCGTCCTGGAGTTATAGAGCACGTGCATTGAACGAAGTCATTTACACATGCTCTTCGACTTCAAGACCGAGGGTTGCCTCACACATTTTAAGATGTTTGTTCGTTTCCCTAACAAAGTCCTACAGATCAACTGGTGCTGTAGAAAGCATTCCTTACCAGGCTTCCTTCAGTATACTCATAATCCCTTCCCTGCTTGGCTGTGCCATCTCGGGTCTCAAACTCAACAGCAATCGTAGGCCTAATATCAACAAGTTGTCCAACTCCTTTTTCCAAATCTGTCATTTCTATTCCATCCTGTGAAGGTCTTTGTCTTGATTCGTAGATGCTGCCTAGGGTGTTGGCCTGACTGGGGGATCTTTCTTCCGAACTTCTTGAAGCAACGAACCCAGAATCCGAATTCGAGAAGCTGTGATGGTACGCAATATCATTAAAAGCATCGTCAAATTCATCGATGGTCGAGACACAGGTCTTTTGACTAGCGACGCTATGGCATGAGCTTTCGCCTCGGTCTTTCAATATCTCTGATCTTGGCAAGTGAACCTTGGAAAAAAGCGAACACAATGGTATGTCAATTCAATTCATTTTCTTATTGACACCAAAGTCTCATTACAAACACATTTTAGCACATGGCATTTAATTTTAACGGCACAATTCTGAAAAGGGTCGATCGTTTAAAAGGTAAGAGGCTCTGAATTCTTGAACAATTGAGTAAATTCATAAAAATTCAAGCACTGGAATTGATTGAAGAGTTCGAGAATTAGGCCCAGACAGGAAACTGAATAACAACTAAGGGAAAATTGCCCCTCTCAACCTTTTTTTACTTGCTGTCGCTGTTGTTTTGACTAGAGAGCGGTGGGTAAAAGGCCCTTTTTAATTAAAGAAAAAATGCCCCAAAGATTCTACAGGTATCGTAGTTAATATTGCTAAGATTTTTATCAAATATTAACTTATAATATGATAGCTATTGAAATATTGTAGTGTATACAATTTGGGGGCGTAGGGGCGTTATACATGATCTTCCTGAGTTACGGAGTAACTAGTCAACTAGTCTGACTATCAAATTAGCTTTGTAGCGAGTTTCTAGAAGTTTCTAATTATCGTGAAGCTCCTCCGAAAAAAAAGCAATTATGACGTTCTTTGCTGAAATAAGCAGTTAGCTTTCTGGTGCAGCAATGAATTAATCATTCAAATGTAGAAGGCATAAAAAAGTGTTTCATAGGCGATATTAAAACACAAACCGGATGCTTAAACTTCAAGTAACGGTATAATTTAAGACGCAAGTCACTTACTGTCTCTCCAAGCGTATTTGCCCGTTTTGCTGCCTCTACAATATGACTGAACCCAACAACTTTCCGCCTGCAATGATAAAATCTAACAACATCATAAATTATCATATATTACGTTTTGATGTATAGAACATTAAAGTTGCTGCTCCGAGTTTCACGCTTTATGCGATCATCAGAAAATTGTCCTCGTTAGGGGTGAATCTCGGAGTAGCAGCTTAAAACCATCCCGTTCTATACAACAAATAGCGTGAACAACTCTGCCTATACGGCAACGAACACATCATGATAGACCAGTAAACATGAATTTTCATATCAACAAACACTGGTTATATACAGACATTTTCAACATGTACAAACACACATGAGCAAGCAGATATGAAGAGCCTAAAAAATTCCGTCTCTAACAGCCATACTACTATGAAAAATGTTTCACTATTTCCAAAGGGCATTATTTGAAAATAGAGCCAGTTGAACTAATCTAGTGTTCGATACCGCTCTTTATATTCAAATCAATCTCAATTTCCCTTTTAACGCCATTTAAGCTTTCTTAATAATTTTGCCAGAATCAATTGAAACGAATCACTACAGCTCCTAAAATGCGTTTATCAAAATCTTAAGACAAAATTTCACTATTGTTAAATTGCCAAGAATCAGACAAAAAATACGAGCCAACGACAGAAATCTGTAAATGTCACTAAATAAAACAATTTATGTTTATGAGAATTAAAGTTGCAACTCTGGGTAGGGTAATTTAGCTATGGAACATGTTCTTATTTATTTTGGAGTAAAAATTCAAAACCCTGCCCTCTTAAAATGGCAACTGCCCCTATTCAAAACATGGTTCTGGCTTTGAACTTTCTTTATTCACTCCATATGCTCTCCCGTTAGCCAAAGAAAAATACATCCCACTTATTCACGAGAACAGCATTTCAAAAATTTGAAGCGAACCTGTAAAACCTTCCTCCAAACTCTGCATATTTAAGTAAAAATTAACTTCTTTTCACTTTACCTCCTAAATATTTGATTTGATATTTCGCAAAATGTCCAAAATGAAATTTTTGTGAATAAATATTAGCCTGGGCCAACCACGTTAGCGCAGCTGAAACCCTTTATCAAAGATTTGTTTATCAACAGCAATCATTTCGATTGAAACATGAGTTTGAAGCTTTCTACAGCTGACGGTGTCTAGCTTTGCGTTCGGAAATAAATTGTGATAAAGATTTAAGTGCCATAGCAAAGTACCTATTGAATTTCATTTCCTCATTAAACAGCTTACTTAAAATATTTAAAATAATTATCAAACAGATACATGTGTTTTTAATCTTTAAGAAAGTATGGACGATCTAAGGTCTTGACTGTAATCACACAGTTTGTTCTAGAATTAAAGCGCTTAACAGGTTGTTGTACAAAGTGTTCGTTCCCAACGAGACGTAAATTTAGACTTTTGAACAATCAAAATCATATATTTTCTGTTCTTTGAAATAGCACTTCCATTTTTTAAACAGGGACCGGAAAAGCGTGGGGGCAACGGGGACTTTAGCCCCTCCCCTAATAATTTCCAAAATGTACTTAAAATCATACCAAAAATTGACCTGTTCTTGGCTTTTAGCATTTTTTATAGCCCCCTCAATCTTTATTAAGCTTCGCGGTCCTTGATTTGAAACAGAAAAAACGACTTTTAGTTTTACGAAAGACTTTTCCGGGCAAAAACCTGATTTGCAGGAAATAATGCTGAAAGTAAATAACTGGCCATACACTCTTTTTTATAAGAACGAACTGAATTACAACACAGGGTTTCGATTTGCCAAAAAATAAGAACAAAATAGAAAATTTTGCCTTATGTTGCCAAACCTGAGCAGATTTTGTCAGCTAATAAACCGTGCTACTGTAGTCTCATGCAACACTGTTACTTAATGATCTTAGAAGCAAATGATAATATGTAGTTATGTTCAACTTTAAAATACGAGCAACATTAAGAGGGCTCGAGCCTAAATTGTCAAAAACAATAAGAGCATTGAGCCTTGGTCGAAATTATCTGGCTATTGAAAAAGTATTTCTTTTAGAATGGCAACATAAGATTTCTGCTACGTTGGTGTCTTTGGTCTTATTCCAGTCTTATTCAAGTTTTATTCCAGTCTGTGTCTTATTCCAAACAGTAGGATTAATTCCATTTGATAAGCAAAATTTCTTTTTGGCTTTGGCTCAAAAAAGAGGCATGCAAATGCAGGAATCAATGGAAAGAGTAGATTCAAATAGAATTCTTTAGAAGAAAAGCAATGTAACAACGTCTTGCATAATTCTGAGGTCATATAGACGCAAAAATCCCCATAAAATGCTTTAGAAATAATTTTTTATTAGGTCTTCAACAGAAAAGACAGTCAAAACCTGGAGAACATTGGCAACATTAATGAGTTCACTGAGCGAGAAATCTAATGTTTAGAAAAACATGATTATATTTTTGAAGATACAAGCAAGATTTCTCACCTCCTTTTGACGTGAAAGAGGACGGTGACATCCAAATGACCTGAACTGCGAACAACCGAGTAGCTTGAGGAGGAGAACGAGAAATTTCCGATTCCTACTGGAAAAAGAAGAAAAAATTTCATCATTCCTCCGTAGTTGGGGAAAATGGGCTTCATAGATTGGGTAGTTGGGGTAAAGGGAGGCAGTCGCTCATTTACATTTACATTACATAAATTGCATACATTATTTAGGCACGGTAGCCCCGTCAGTCCACGAGAACTGCTTTTCAGGGAATAAGAGAAATACTACGAAATCAGAATGGTCGTTCATAGTTAGTTTTTGATTCTTCTCTTAAAGGTGGCAAGTGAAGGTGCCTGTTTGGCATCAGATTCAAGTTGATTTCAAAGCTTAGGTCCACGAAAAGAAACAACTCTCTACCCCTCCCACTATCACTCTGTCGAAAGCTTATGCTAAGTCAGGTTAATAAATAATTTATTAATGGCTTTGAAAAAGCAAACATTTTGAAGCATACCAAAACTTTTCGTCTGACACTCTTTAGGGTATAAAACGTCAGAAAATAGATTGAGAATTCTAAGCTAGGAAATATATATACCAGGTTGTGGATCGAACTATCTCAATCAGTAACGCGAGCATATAAATTTGTTCGTGTATTTATTTATCTAGGTTTACAATAGGCGAGAGAACTGTCTCTCATTCTTCGTTTCACGTTGCAAAAAATTCAAAAATCATGTCTTTGCTAAATATAAATAAGCCTATAAATTGAATCTCTTAAAAAAAATCAGCCACTCCCAAACTTGATATGTATCATAATTGTATTGGAAGGCTGCGCAAAATCACTACACAGCCAAAGCAACGGCAGTCGTGGTAAAATGTGAAGCAGCAGACGATATTTAAAAACAACATTCAGCAGAGATAGGCTCGGTGAAATCCTGGCTCCAAAATGTTTAGTTTCTTTATGAAATCTTGCATCACATATAGTTAAACATTTGAAAAGGTTTTAATCAATTTCATTTTATTTCAAGGTGTTCCTGTTTTTGGTATTAGCGGATATAATCGTATGTCACTAATAAATTAACATAGAAACACATTTTGCTATAAACTGAATTCTAGCAGTTCCCAAACAGTCCTAGGGCCACTCCTACTGTACCTTAAGGAAGATCTGGTTCCTGACGATCCAATTAGAAAAAGTTCTCTCAAAGAATGGAAATATTTATTTTAAGAAAAACTGATAATTATATCAGAAGTTTTTGAATATTCTTCCTGGGAAAGCATACACCCCAAAACCCCAGAAATACACCCCCTCCATAGATCTCCCTAGACAACCAAACCCATCAGCAGGCTAGCTCAGAAGGATGGCCTATACCATAACTTTTAGAGGGAGCACATTAAGGCCCACATTCTAACCATTCGACTATGAATTTGGCTCACTAAATAGATGCAAAAATCAGCAAGATAGTTACCGTGATCCAGAAACAAATGGCGGCTTGTGGAGATGTTCTTGTTGGAGTCTTCTTTAAGAGCTTTGCAAACCAGCTGGGTCGACTTGCCTACAGAGGGCACATGCTTTCCTTTGATAAGCGCACTAACAGCCGCATGACGAAACCTAGATGAACGAATATGCATAGTGTCTTGATATGAAGAAAAACTATTAGTTTGCAGATCGCAAAGAGGGCAAGGTGGAGCCTAGAGAAATGTCATTCGTGAATCTAGCATATGAGCTATCCCTTACGAAACCTCCTTAAACTGTAAAGGCTTGGTGCGGTCAGGGTGTGGTCGGGGTGTGGTTTTGGAGGCCAGAGGGCTAAAGCAAAAGACGAGGTCTCTTGCAAGCGAAGCCAGCAGAAACTTTTGCGACCACGCCCTTTAGAGTAACTCAAACTCATTTTTTCGTTCAAATTGTTACTTTGTTCAGTTTAATTTTGTTTATTATAATCAATTCCATTCTAAAATGGAATTGATTACTTTATGTGTCCCCCAAGACCTGGGGCAATTTGCCCCCCTTCCTCCATCCCTTCGGAAAGCAAATTCATGTCTAATTTGCCTGACTTTTAAGCAATATTGGCGTCACTGTGCGGTTGGGGTAAAAAGAGCCCTTGTTCAATCATTAGGTAATTTTTTTATGATTCCCCCCCCCCCCAAAATATGGTAAAACATGTTTTACCTCGCCCGGGCAAGGCTTTTGTTCTCACTAGGCTCCATGTATTGCTTGATTCCTTGCACGATGTCCTTGGCGGTGGCTTTTCCATTTGCCTCATGATCTTTGACATAGCTGACGATATTCCTGCAAAGAAGCAGAATCATTCAGACTTTTACACAAGGAAAAAATGAAAAGAAGGAAAAGGTAAGGTTGTAGTGTGCAACCTTGAAAATATCGTCAATTACATTTGACACTTTGCGAACGATTTCCCAAAACTTGCTATATTCCTAAGAAGAGAAAACCCCAATCAGTGAATGAGAGTGGTCCCTACAAGAAATGGGGCAGGGGGTCCCTTACAAGGAAGCTTTCAAGAACCTTAAATTAATAAGGATATAAAAAGGGCATCTAAAGTGTATATCCAGGTTCAAGGTAAAAGGATTCTCTATATTCTACAAGTGGATTGCAAAACGCATAGAAGGTTATATTAAATATCTGCCTTATATTATATTCAATTTCAAGGTTCTAGAAAAATTCTTTGTAGGGCACCCCTGCTTCATATCATAAAGCAACTGCTCTATGGTAGACCATGTATTTTTTTACAAATGATAAAGAGTGAGGAACCTGGGTCTAGTGAAATCATTGTTATCATTAACCAAGCATCTTTTTATATTTCATGACAGCAGTTTTACAAAGGCAGGTTCACATATTTTTACTGCTATCCACCAAATGATTGCATTATGCGTGGTACTTCGCTGTCCTGTTCACTACACATTACCCGCAAAAAGTCACACAATCTTTGGCCTTCAAATGTCTATTTCATTAACAGCAAATAAATTTAAATTTATAGCATTTTTCAACTTTTTCTCGACAGCACAAAACGGTAAAAACCAAACAGTTCGATACCACGTGCACGTCCACGTGCAATTCATAGGCGATTAAAATAAAAAATTTCTCTTAAAATTCGCAGATCCTTTCGAAAAGCTCCAAAGAGATAGCTGTGAGCAATTCACGTCTTTGAGCGTTTGTTGCAATAAATGCGAGAGAATTTGCCACGGAAACACTGGGAAACAGTTTGTAATACTCCAGTATTTCTAGTAATTCTGTTCATGATAAATAATTCATTTTAAGACAGTACAAGGACAATTCAATTGCTGTCTAATGTCTTTATGCTAACAGAACTTTTACCGAACACATGCCAGGCCAATCTCCTCTGGAGGAAACTTTCACATGTGTTATTTAACAGAAAACCGCGAGAGAGACGAGTCAAGTTGGGCTGTGAACATAGTGCTAAAACTAGAGAAGCTTTACAACACACAACACCCAAACACTATTGTGAACACGGTCTGTAATGAGCGATAAATGTGTGGGTGGATGCTACCGGGCGTGTCGGTCAGGTTAATGTTTACGATTATCAATTTAAACATATTCAGATTTCGTGTTTTAATCAGCAACAGACGCTCACATTGGCCTTTTAAAATCTTGATAGCAGAAGAAGTTGAAGAAAATCGAAATTGAATTGCGAGCGAATTTCCATTCAAGCTCTTATGACGACCAGGTGCAAGAACTGTCGGCGACAACGCCCCCAGCTACTGATAAAATAACGTATCGATAAAAGCAAAAGGAGAATTCGTACTTCTTTTTCGGCAACTGTGATAGGAAATTGTAAGGCATTTGAACGTGAATAACGTCTTTAGAGTTACAAAGTGATGACGTCACAAAGAAAATTTCTTAGAATTTTTCAATTAAGACGATATAACCTAAAAAGCATTACGAAATACCTCTAAATGTGCCGAATCAGAGATACAGCCACATAGGCACAGGTTCTTTCCACATCAAACCTCCAAATTTGGTCTTGTTTCATAACTTTGTGTACCCGGTAATCCAATAGCAGACTTGGAATCTTTCATTGGCCATTTCTCGTCCAATTTTGATCATATCTAGCCGGTTTTTCATATTTAGAGGTATCTTATGCCGTTCTTTTAGATCATGTGATCAAAATTGAGAATTCTGGCAATATATTTTTGACGACGTCACCATCGGTACTCTTATGGGGAGATGTCTATAGTAAGAAGGTGCTCGTTGTAGGGAGACGACCTTCAAAAGGTATGCAGTCAAGCGACGAACCACAAGCTTTCGGTGTCTCCTCAAAACCCAAATCGAAAGCAAGCTATCCTAACATCCAACAGATTCTTACCTTAACTTTGATTTCGATTCACTCAGTTTCCGTATGCGAAAGTCACTACAAAAAAAACCAAAAAGCGGTTTTAATAAACAGTAAATGTTTTCATACAGCTATCTGAGTGTAAGAAGTTCTGAAAAATTATGTACTTAATAGGAAGTTTGTTGTGATAGCAGATTAAATATTACAAAAGGAGAGGTTCAAATGCATAGAACTCTTGCTATTACAATATATGCATTTTTAATTTTTTCGAATTTTCAAAATTCAAAATATTTTCAAAATATCGACGGCAAGCTGTTGGGTAAACTGTCGTTTTTCGGTACTGAAGTCCGTAAAAGCAGCTAATACGTTCTAAACAATTTACTATCAAGCCGATAGCAAAGTTTGGAATTAAAAATAGCAGATCTCTTGGACCTTGCTTTTCTCACAGCTCTCCTCAATCCACCCTAAATCTCCCTAAATAAAATTTTGTGCTGGCTATTCATAGAATGATTCAGCCATTGTCCAACAACCAAGAAGCACCATACGATTTTGCATACAATTCCGCACAAAAGAATTGTCTTTTCACAACATAAACTTGGGTTGCCTTACCTTTGCTTTCTGTGAACGAGACTAGGCCCATGCGTCGTTGTTGTGACTTCGGGATCAAAGTTGAAAGACCCTCGACTTTCCGCCGGTCGCACTCCTATCACATGTGACTACAAGAGAAAGCAGGGAGTTTGAAGATATACCTTGCATCTCAGTCATTGGGGGTCATGAATGTTGCAGAAAAGGTACAAGGCTTACGTAAAGCGCTACTAGGTTGCAAAACCACTTGCACAAGGGGGGGGGGGTGCTGATTAAACAGATTGATCAAGCACATCAAACAGGACACTTTGGTAGAGCAGCAATCTATATTATTATATTATTATTATCTTTTTCTCTTATTATTATTGATCAAATATTGTTAATGAGATTTAAATAATCGAAAAACAAGCAAGGATTACAAAAATCGTAATTATCTACCATAAATGATTAAACACAGATAGTAATGGACAAGAAAATTTGAGAAAAATAAAAAAAATCACGTAAAAACTGTTCTTTTGACAGAAGTATATTTTGCTTTGTTATGTTGCTAGTTTAGTTATTTTGTTAGTTTACCCTTTTGCAACAGTTAGTCGGTCGGTCGGTCGGTCGGGCGGTCAGTCGGTCGGGCGGTCATTCGGTCGGGCGGTCTGTCACACTCAGACTATTTTGCCGCAGCCAAAGAATGGCACTTTTCAAGATTAATTTATGTGCTAATTATTTTTCAAGGCCTCATGTTTTGAATCTAATGGAAAGCCAGAAAAATTTGAAAATCATGATACGTTGAAAAACATTTATAACTGAATAAGTTTAAATTAAGCTGAGGATTCGTTCGAATCTTATCAAACATAATTTAGGCGTGTCTCCGTTCTCCGTTCAATTAATTTTCAAAGCACTGCGAAAGCAACATTGCCAAGCGATCACACGCTAGACGGCTTAGAACCTGCAGAATTAATATCATAGCAAACAAGCTTGATTCAAAGTAGGCTCTCTTTTTAAACAAATCAGACGAAATTATTAAGTGATATGTATTCCTGATTTCACCGTGTTTGCACAGAATAATTTGATTTCCCATGTTTACCGAGCTAGTCTTTTACTAATTAAAGATCTGAGAGGTAGACAATCGGATCTTTTACTTTGTAAACCTGAGCAGAACCACATGTACACTTGTTCGCAAGGATTGTGAAGAAATACATTAGGGAATCCAAAAGGCATCGCAAATGAATTTCTATGACTGCACCCTTCTGGCTAAGCTGCTCCCTTCTGGCTAGCCTGTTCCCCAGTCCGCAAACTGGGGCATAAGAGACCCTACTTGAAATTTTCCACCAGCACAAATGCTCCATTTGCTGAAGAATCGACTCCTGTTTTGAGGTGTAGAAACATATTTCGTAACGAGTCCAAAGAAAGAAGAAGACGGGGTAGAGCAAAATCTCAGTTCGTTATTCAAGATTATGAAAAAGATAATTTGTGAACTGGCCTCGCAAATAGTTGACAATTGTTTTTCCAAACAATAACACTATCTCGAAATAAATCAAGTACACAAAAAAATCAAATAAATGCGGCATTGCTTGTTTGATTAAAAGCGAATTTCATCACAGTTTATATACTCATTAAATATTTTGATGGACACAAATGGGCCTAAATTTCATATCACATCATTCAGCGCGAGTCTATCTAATCGAATTCTTTTAGATCGTTAACAAATTGCCTTGTTTTCATTCTCCATCCCGGGTCACAAACATTTGAAAACGCTAATTTTTATTCTTGAATGCAAATTCATGAAGGAAATGTCCAAATTTTTCTTGTTATTGCCATTAAAATACACATTATGCTCTTCAAGTGAGAATCGTCCATTTTGATTTACTGTGCTAAAATTCCATTTAAATTTTTTAATTATCAGCTTGAGCCGGAACTCTTTATGGAAAGTGTTAAAATTAGCACCATGCTATACTAGGCCTTGATCGGCTTTCCGTTAACTGATTATAATACTGGTATGCGCAGATTACCATTAAACAAAATTCGCAAATAAAATTCAATATATATGACAAAACGTTTGAAAATTCGAAAACAAGGCAGGTGTTCTGCGCAGGCGTATCGCAGCGGCACAAGACTCTTAAAGAAAAGCGATGTCACAAAATGCGCTGTAACGAGATTTTGTAACAATCCGATGGTACTGGTGTAACGTTATAAGGTATCCCATTAAACCCGTGTCCTTAATCTCACCATCCGCTCTCGACGCTCCTGCCTTCAGCAAAGCCAACAACCACGCATTTCCTAATCGCCTCCGTGTCCACTGTCTTCTGTCTAGTAACTGTGTTTTTAGCTGATATTAATCCAAGACCGAAAGCAGATACCAAGGTTAAGCCAGCCACGTTAACAGGTTTATGTGTGGGCAAAGTGTTCTTGTAACTGAAGAAGTACAATGAGCAGCTAGCCTGTGTTCTTAGGGCATTGGCTATGAACTACACGATGACACAATAATTCAATATCGGCTTGATTCGAAAGAAGGGACTAAGCTTGGCGTTACTGGAGGAGGTAAAAAAGTGCTTGGAAAATCTTAAAATAAGAATGAAGAATAATCAGAAAGAAAAAAAGAGCTTTGTAGTTCATCTCTTGTCTTTAAGCTTCATTTTGGTGTCCACTTCGAAAATAAATTTTCTGCCGCAGTTTGAACGGGCCTAACTGCTGGAAAATTTCCACAGACGTGTTTTTCCACGCAATGTTTCAAAGGAAACTGCAAGGGACAAATACGCAAGATTACTAAATTTTGTTGGCTCTGACAATTGCAATCGCTTTTCATCATGTTTATGAATAATTTATCTAAAGGGATATTATTAACAGGGTGCCATTGTTATTTTACTGGTTTTTTTGAGTCTAGAAGAAGATGTTTGCAAAGCAGCTTTTGTTGGTTTGAATAGTGCCGCGAAATACAAGCTTCAAAGAGAAGTTTGCGTTCCAACATCAAACTATGGTTAAAAAATAAACGACAAATTGCGCGATTTTCCTCTGCGTCGTAAAAACCTTATATTCAAATAACCTGTTGTTTTGAATGTGATAGTAAAATAAGCATCTTTGAGAGACCGCGCATACAAAATTAAAATAACTTGCAAATGAAAAAGAACAATCTTTTTGTGCAAACTTATGAAAAAAACATGGGGCTCTCCCTAAACAAAAAATTTGAATTTCTTAGCATCGACAGAGGGTGAGCACCTGAGCACTCCTTTTTACTCCTTGAATGTGTTCACATTAAAAAATTAACAAAGATGGCTAGCAGGGTAGAGTGACCTTACGAAAAGGCTTAACAGTACATCTGTCTTTGAAGAGAAATGACATTCCGCAAAAGGTGCAATTGCAGCTGCAGACTTATAGTTTGGATGTTTTCCTTTGTTTCTGGCAAAAAAGTGCAGAGTTAAAATAACAATATCACTGTTAGTGTTGAATTTCACATATTGCTAACAATTTAAGCAGGTACAATGTCAAAACCTACGCTTGCCCTACAAACAAACACAACCACAGCTTCATTTCACAGAGTTTGTGTAAAGCTGGTGCCAAAACCCATCCTTTATTTAAAGGCGGTAACAAGAAAGAAGAAAGGCGTTTTAGAATAACAGGAGAATAATATGAAGCTATTTTGAGGTCCTTTTGAAACGGAACAGGTTGGCGCAGAGTTTAGAAAACATGGCGGTTCCACGGCTGTGAGCCGGAGGAAAGTTATCAGCTGATGGAAATTTAATTTAAAAGATAAGAAATAAATTTTTAGGAAGGACAAAAGGACAAAATTAGGGCGTTTTCTGAACTTTGAAAAAACAAAGATTGCCCGTGATTTTTTTAAACTCTACTCATCCTTAAGTATAGTTTCGCCTAATTTCAGACAATCTGTGGCACTGCGGTTGAAAAATAAAAAGTAAGAATTTGTTTAAATGTCTTTGATAAAATAATCAGCATTGTCAAGTTGGGTGTCAGAGGTTTGGAAGAGGGGGTGGGGTTTGGGGTAGGGGGCTGAGGAATAAGCGCTTAGCAGCAGGTAACATGAGATATGGCTTCAGCCTGACCTATTCAGCTTTTGTGGCACTGTAACTAATTCTGGTCCGAAATTGGATTAAACCAAGGGAGAGGTTATGTTCATAAACAAGTACCCATATCAAATTTCTTGGTTCATAAGATGCCACTCCTTGCATTTCATTTCTGGAGATCTGGTTATTTTGATCCAGTATAAGCATGCTAATTAAAAACAAATGCATTTTATATTTTCTGAACAGTAAAAAATAGCATAGGTAATAGGCACCAAGTTGTACCTATGAGCAGAATTTTTTATGGCTTGGTTGATTGATGCAACAAAAGTTTTACAATCATGGAATTGCTATTACAAGCATCTAGTGCTTTCACAAGGATTTTCCTAGCTACTGTTATCGTGGGGGGTTTTCAGGGTCCCATTTGCTGAAAAGTGGGTGAGCCATCCTTTATTTGCTTACAAGTTTGGAAATTTGCAGACTAAACCCCCCAATATGGTAAAAAACTTTTTTCAAGTGGATGCCACACCCTTTATTTACACTCATAGGACACTGCCTGTTTGACCAGCCTGAAGCCTGTTTGACCAGGGTCACAGCAATAAAGACAGTATAGAGTTCTGTACATGGAATTTCATTCAGAGATTTCTAGGGACCCTGCAACAAAAATACAGCCCTCACACACCTGGAATTTAGAGATGGACAATAAACATATACTGAAACCCAATGGTTGAAGAAACCTTGCATATCTGAGATGCTGGCACATCCAAGGCCGCATATGCTCAAGTTTTGCTAATTACATCCTTGTTCAGAAATTCAACAATTTTTCAGCCTCAGAAGACTTTTTTGACTTCAAAATATACATTGTGATAGTATACGATAACCAACATGTTTCTGACAGTCATTCAGTAAAGAAATTTTTGCTAATTTTGATTGGATAGTATAATAATATTGATAATAATAATCATAATGTCTTTGTGATATCCTCAGTTCAATTTAGTCTACGTTGGAGTGCTGAAATTAAAGGAGCTGTGCCAACAAGGAAAAATTTCAGATTAAGACCACCTACATAAAAGAGGAAATTGAAATACTTGTTCAATCTGCATTCAAGAAACTGAACAAATGTATTTCTTTCAAATTTTTTACTGCTCTTTTGCTTTTTCTGTGTAGCTCTCTTTCATAAAGGTATAGTGCCAAGTGGTTGTGAAGCTCAGTCTTACTTTTGGCATTTTGCATGTAAAGCCCCCATAAATGTTTTACTAACCCCCCAACCCCAATCAGTAACATGACCCACAGTTCTTAATTAATCCATAAATGACAGGAAAACGGGTATAGACAGACTATTCCACACAAAGCCGATTCAAAGGAAAATTATCTGCAGGGGGAAAGCTTTGTTTAATTAAAGAGGGGGATGATAGCCAATTTTAAAAACAAAAGACAGTCAGGCTGGAGGGGCAATTGCCCCCACCCCTTGTTAGTATGATTAATAAAGACCCTGATTCCTCAGGTGAAACATCAATACTCACCCCACTGTAGGGTTGACTTGCTTTGGGGGCAGGGCTTCTGACTGCAACTGAATGCCTTTTCTTGAGGAACTTGTGCCGCCACCAACCTCGATCTTGGCACCAGGCACTGATTACAAGCAATGGGAAGAAGGCTAAAGTCAAAACAGCTTCCCATACCTCAACTTCGTTTGGTGAAGACCATTTCAAAACTACGAGCAGCCAAAAGTAGGCAAAAAGGGACCATATCGAAGTAACGACAAACACACCAAATTCACCAATTCTTTTCACAGTCTTTGAAGGCACACTTATGATGCAGACGGCAGATATCATTAGTAAATTGTATGCAGCCGAGCCAATAATTGTGAAAGTTCCTAAATCACGGGCCTTACTATTCTCATTATATTCTACATCTAAACTTGTCACAGTTTCAATAACTGCAATTAAAATTTCAGGTGCAGACGAGCCAAGCGCCATAAGGGTTAAATTGGCGACCGTTTCGTTCCAAACATATACTTCTTTCTCCACACTTTTGCCTTTTTCATAGTCGTATGTAAATATAATCCGCTTTTTGCTGGTGATCATTTCAATGCTAAGCATGAAAACATCTGCTGCAATGGCGATGCCAAGAAATAAATAAAATATTGCTAGCACATACAGGATGCCACGAACCCAGGCAGGCCATAGATTCTCGGCAGGTAGAAGCAACCAACTTTCGTAGCAGAAATCTTGATTGTAAACCACATATCCGTATGTGTGATTTACTCTTAACATTGTTGTCGTTATTCTTGGCGGATTTTCATTCCTTACTTTAATATCAGCGGTAGCAAATCTCCTTGCAAAGTCGACAGGTTTTACGGGTTTTCGTTCTTGTATCTGATGTTTTCTAACAAGACAAAATGGGACTTTATTAAAAAATGGGCTTCATAAGTTGCCGAGAACTCTGTCTAATTTCGTTTCTTGTGCGGCATGAATGATTCATGTTATGCTTGCAGCATAATTAGGTAGAAGCGTAACAGATTAATATTAAATGTTTGTAAATTTGCATTTACCATCACAGTACAGAATTAACTTTTACAAGAACATAAATTCTTTCTACTCCCACTACATTTTGTTTCTTTGGTTGCTAGCGTTCTAGAGGATTAATTCATTGTTATTTTAAGGCTGGGAACCTCAGACCAAAACCAAAATTGTTATTCGTCTATAAATCCATGAATTGAATATTCAGAGGGCGTAATTTTTATTTCGTTTTTTTTCAAATCACAGCCTGTTCAAATAGAAATAGTAATTTAAAACAACCTTATTCTACACAACAAGAACAATTGTACCTAGCAAATTACGTTTAAATGTTAAGTTCATTGAAGATTGTCAAATAAGAGATGTCAAAATATCGTATTACTTCAAAGACCAAAACAAATAAGAAACATGTTTTTATCAGAACCAACGTAATGGCAGCTTGGCACTGCATGTCCGTGTTGACACGAGAAAGCTTTTGCAGAAGTCAAACACTCCGATGGCCGTCAAATACATTTTCAAATGAAATTAGTCTTTGTTAGTGGTAAACCACAAAAATTTACCTCTTGTACCAAATGGGTTGTAAACCAAACGAAAACCCATTGACAATACATGATGATTAACTGCAAATCTCCAAATCTTGAATCACTTTAGAACTCGATAAAAAACCAGGAACTGATGCAAAAGAATATGTGAATGATGCATAATCTCTAAAACGCCGCCCGTGTGCCGCTCGGTTGTGCGGGTGAAAAGATCAGGGGCCTACTGCCATGGCCTGAGATTTGATTACTATCACCTTGTCTACTTGAGGTACAAACAATGCTGTTAATAGCCCACACGTTAACTTATTCTTAACACGCGGGTTAATCAGACAACAAGGCAAGTGACATTCATTGTAACTCAGTAATATCCGCGATATCTCGCGGGATGAGTGGGTTATTGCTTCCTCCTCACCTTGGCAACGACAATGCAACGAGTTGATCTTTGGAAGATGCTAACACGAACAGCTGTCAATTATAAAACTCAAACGACCAAATTACAGTTTTCTCTCAATGCCAAGATAATGGGCGGTACTATAAAATCAGTCTTTATTTAAGGAAAGCCTCTTTAAGAGGATCAACTTGAGAAAGCAAATTGCACTCTTTCATTTAAAAAAAGTTCATAAGAATATTAGGGCTCAAAGTTGCCTGAATTCAAGAATCAATCAAAAATAATTTCCAGGCTCGTTTGAAGTTATGCTTGAAGATAAGACTCAGTTGAAAAATAAATATTTTACATTTGAAAACATGCTTTAATTTTGCTACAACAAAACCACTTTACTTGTTCTGTATTCATCTGATTGTTCTATAAGCAAAGATCTGAAATTTCTTTCTCAAATCTTTCCAAATTAACACATTTAAAAAAAGCTTAAGGCTCAAAATAATTTTTTTTAAGAATATCGAAGCTCAGTAAAATCAAAGTATTCTTGTAAAAAGAGTGTGTTCTAAGGTTAAAGTAAAATAGGGATAAATTGTCTGCTTCCGGTGAGGTGGGACTGGGGGATTATTCTCCAAAAATACTTTGCATTTGGAGAGAACTTTACTGTTTATACGACAGTACATCGCAACTAATTAATACCGTTAGTCTTCGAATTAGCCCCCTGGGGGCTTATTTATTTTTGATATTTTTGGACGGGGGCTTATTCGAAGGGGAGGGGGGCTTATACGAAAGGGGATACTAAAATTATTGTAGACATTAAGAAGACATTATTAAAAGACCTCGTTTATTTTAGTAGGAATTTCTTTATGAGCATTTAATTATTTACTACCAAAAGTACGAATTTGTCGTGGTAATTCAATAAAACGCCATAGGCAACCTCAGATGGCAAAAACCGCCAAACTGAGGGGTACAATTCGAGAATATACGGTAGCAGTGGGGGCTTATAACGCGTTGTTGTAAACAGCGGCCTTGTTGACAATTTGTAGTTCTAGTGTGGGGGCTTATTCGAGGGGGGGCCAATTCGAAGATTTACGGTATGTATAAATGCATTTAGCGATCTTTTCGTAAATTTCTATATGAAGATGAGATGACTCTCAAATCAATTCAGACTGAGAGTAGACGTGTGATGGTATATGCAGCAGTATCTCGTATGTTTTCACAGGGACAATATGCCAGGGCAATGCAATGGCTACAATCTTAAATAGTCATAAATGATAAGAAGATAATCAATTTAGTCATCAAAATATTAATTGAAAAGGTATCAAAACATAGTAAAAGTAAAAAACATTCTTTAATTTGAAACAGTAAATTAAGCATAAAGTCATAAAAAGTAAAAAAGTATTGTTTCAAACAACGACCAAAATGGTAAAGCAAAATTGCAGAAAGAAAGCTGTAGTCTTTGATACTTTTGAAACTTGTAAAAACTAGATGTAATTAAAAAGGAACAAAATTGCGAACTTCGATATACAATATTGTGTTTTGGGTCTATGAACACTTTGGCTTGAGTCGGGGTCCCAGAACAAGAGCCCTATTGAAACACTAGACACTAGGAACGGGGCCCCTGTGGACTATTGTCGTTGTTGTTTAGAGCTGGAGATGATAACTGTGTAAGCAGAAACATGCTGTGTGTTCTCTGAGTTGTATCTATCTAATCCTGAGACCAAATTGTGTCCATGAACTCCTTGGCTTGAGTCGGGATCCCAGAACTAGGTTTATCCATACGTCATCGATGATTGTAAAAATCTTTTTATTATGCAGTCAGAACGTTTATATTAATTGATTTTCAAGTTTATATTTCCATAATTATCAAGCAGATAATTTTGGCAACAATTGCTTGATGCAAATCACACTTGTCGTTTTAAAACTATACTTTTTCACAACAATCTATTTGTTCATATAATCGAAATTTGTTCTAGTCTATAAAAAAACGCTATATATGTCAATGCTTTATAGTAACAACCTTCGTGGACCTTGAAGTACCACAAGGGTCACAGCTTGGGCCGATCCTGTTTAGCGTTTGAATAACCGTGTTTTGGTCTAATGATTAATTTTTATTCTCCCATAATCAACAGGCACCGGGATTATATTACGAGACATACTTCACACACTGCAGATACAACGATATGAATGTCCAATGTACCTTCCTCTATCTCAACTTAGTCTTAATAAGGAAGATATAACTTAACAGCAACCAAAGTCCAAAGTGATGTACGAAAATCGAAAATTATGGAACAGGGTAGAAGTCCAATTTGAGCATGAAAGAATTAAACTCAATTGTATACGAATCATGATACAATAATTTGAAACTTCATGTAATGCTGCAAATTATCGAAATAGCACGAGGAAGCGGAGCCATACAAATGATTTTCTGTTTCTCGGCGCAAATCGAAAATAAAATAAACAAACGATAAAATCACATTTGAAATTCTTAAAGCTCAGCTTGCTTATACTATCAGCATGGTAGTCTATTGCTGTACTTATATTATCAAAACCAAATTTGATTGTATATCTTATCTATTATCTATCTATTGTTTTCCACTTACCAAAGATTAAAATTCAGTCATAACAGTACTGTTAAATGATCAATACATCACCGTGAGCATTTTTCAGCCTCAAGATATAGTTAGAATATTCATCAAATGCATTGCCTTCCAGACAGATCGCTTTTGGTTCACAATTGCTGGGTCACAAAATCGGTTAAGATTTATGTCTACTATTTCTTTAGTAAAACACACCCCGGGAAGAAAAATCTTGAATGCAAAATAAGGCAAACTAAACTGCGATATAAGAAGCTTGCAGGATAACAAACATAGGATTTATATACTGTGTTTATTGTTTTTAATCTTTGGGCGACATTAAAATGGCGGTAGACTTCTAAACCTGGAGATTTACAAGAAATCCAGCAGTAATACTCGAATTATAGCCTTTATTTTATTATACAAGATTCCTAAAATGAAGAAATTTTAAGCAGAATGTCTCCTAAGAGGTCTCCGGTAAAGTTTCGGAATGTTCAACAATGATGTTCAGGGGCAGGTTGATTTGCAAAAAGTTGAAGCTTCTTTTGTTCAGATTAAGTTTTGTTAGAAAACAAAAGACAAAATTATTCCATTTTTGCTAAAAATTTCCATATTTGAGATTCCTGTCTCGGAACTAGGAGTATGTCTTCAAAATAGACAATATTTGACGTAATCGCATAGGTCAATCCAATTCAGCAGAATTCCGCGAAGAAGAATGAGGACCTATTATCCTTGCTAAGAGTCTTGGTAGTTCTCAAGAACAAACGTAGCTTTTTATTCTCTCTCCCTTAGAAGAATGTTAATTTTCTCAACGATGTAGGAGATAAGGGAGTACGTTTTTTCGCGTGACTTGTACGATACCGTAAATCCTCGAATTAGCCCTTTCTTGATATTTTATTCCTTTTTGATATTTTTGGATGGGGGCTTATTCGAGGGGGGGGGGCTTATACGAGGGGGGGATGGCTTATAGAATTATTGTAGATATTAAGAAGACATTATTAAAATACCTCGTTCATTTTAGCAAGAATTTCTTTATGAGCGTTTAATTAATTACTACCAAAAGTATGAATTTATTGTGGTAATTCAATAAAACGCCATAGGCAACCTCAGATGGCAAAAATCATCAAATGGAGGGGTCCAATTCGAGAATCTACAGTAGCAGTGGGGGCTTATTCGAGGGGGTTTGGGCTTTTTCGAGGGGGGCCAATTCGATGATGTTGTTTCATTTTGGAAAAGAAATGAAAAATATAGAAATACAGCGCAAATTAATCGGTCTTCCAAGAAATTTTGGTAGGCAGTGTACATTTTCATTTTCTGCCTAAGTTAACATTCAGAGTCATGGAAAAGTGGTGCTGCGATGAATAAAACCGTGAAAAGGATTGTTGAAAACAAAAAATTGTTAGCTATCACGCTTAGGCCATGCCTTGATTTCAATGCTTTTAGAAAGTGTTAAAAGCTATGGTCCATAGGCCTGAAGTGGGGCGTACACTTTCTTGGACTTTAAAACCTATACCATACAATTCGAAACTTCCTTCTGATGATAATGCATCAAAAAGTTTGATGAGACCTTGTTCCTTAACTAAAAATAGGTCCTCAGTAAACAGCACAGATAAACCAATTAGTTTTCTAGCAACCTTGCCTAGATATCGCCCAGCTTCTGCAGTTAAGTCAAAACTTCACAACTTTTTTTTTCTTTTTCAGCATGCTTTCTTGCAAATCATCTTCACTTTCTTCATCAGTAAAAGTTTCTGCATCAACGCTAGATAGGTCATTTTTCTGTCTTTTTCCAATTCCTTTTGACTTTCCTAACAAGAAAAAATTAAGCAATTATTTTACTAGCTCAATATCAACAATAGAAGAAAGAATTTCGATCTAGTGATCAGCAATTAAATCTTACTTAAAAGAGTACCGAAATGCAATGTCATAAAAAATATTTTACTAAATTGTTTTATATTTTGACAACAAAATCTGAATGAACAACATAAAACGACTCTCAATGTGCAAAACTTGGTTAAATAAATCTCAGTTAAATATGTTCAAAATTTGGTGTGATATGGCCAATGAAAGATTTCAGGTGTACTTCTATTCTGGCCATATTACTGTGGCCATATTTCTGCTAATTTTTATTTCATTCAGCTGATTTTGCACATTAAGAAGTATTTCATAACATTTTTTTGGGTTATATGGTCAAAACTAAAAAATTCAAAAAATTTTTTTTGTGACATCATCACTGCAGTACTCGATGCATGGAATCTTGTTTATTTTTCAGCAACTAAATCATTGTCCATGCAGCCCTACATTTAAGTTTCAATTTTAGTAAAAACATTTGAGTAGAGGAGTACACAATTTCAATAAAATTCTCACCTTTGTCAGCTACTCTTTTGTTTCCTGGGTTTTCTGGGCAGTCCCTTTTGAAGTGTTCAACAGACTGACAGAAAGCACAACCTCCACCTGTAAATTTCAAAACAAAGAAGAAATTAATTATTCAAAACTTGAAAAGCATAGAAATGACAGCAATTAAAATAAAAGACATTATTCCAGTCTTTTTTAATGCATGAAATTGATTTTTCTTACCTAATGGGTACAATCCACGTGGGTTGTCAGGACAGTTCTTTGAAATGTGTCCATTTTGTCCACAGATAAAACACTTTGCAAAAGGGAATACATCTAAAATTGCAAAATTATAAATTTAGCTTCATTGCCTAAACAAAAATGACATTATGAATATGGCTTGTGCCAGCAAACTAAAGGAGCTTGTTGATATATCAAGAGTCAAGAGTCAAACTGTACACAACGGGGTTGCTTGAAAATTTGAATTACATTGGGAATGACATATTTAAAAAAATAAGTTCTGTTAAATGTTATTTCATAAGTAAGGTTTTCTTTGTTGTTAATCATATTTCATGAGTTCAATTTTCATAAATAGCAAGTCATCAAATCATTCAAAATGAAAGGGTTGGGCGTTTTGGGGCATTTTCAATTTACTCTTGAAACAGCAAGGGCTTGAAGATATATGAAAGGATTTTTAGCAATTTAAACATTATTAGAACAAGATAACACATGTCTATTAGAACACTTGTCCATGAACTCACTTTGCAAAAAATTCAGTATAAATTGTACTTTTCATCTTTCTAAACCTAAAAATCCATATAAATGGGAGAATATTACATCGTCTTATCTCCTTTGAATAAGTGCATAACTTCAAATCTAAAAAAATTCCTTTTTGTCATGTTTTTAAACAGACCTTTTGATACTTTGGCTTTGCAATCTTTAACAGCATGTTCTGTTGAACCACATTTAAAGCATATTCCAGTTGAGGTATCTTCATCTTTTGATGATGGACACTCAGCTATAGAATGACCTGGTTTTCGACAACTAAAGCATACCTATGACAATAAAAATTCAGAAATTCTGGATTATTTGAATATTTTTATTTCTGCTACACCCAAATTAATGTTATTAACTTTATCCAGAGGTGGTCTGGAATCAAAATTTCACAGTGGCAACCCTCAAACTCAAAAGCTTGACATTCAAGGAGGCTGATAGACAATTACATGATTTGCTTAATATGCTTGTACAAGGGGCATTGAAAAGTGATGACCCTTATGCTTACAATGTCCTACTAACAATGCCTACAATACCATTGGTGATTGCTCTAAACTGCTTTTGCTTTTACCTCAGGATTCTGTTGGTAATATTTACAATAGAGTTCTCAAGTGTAACGTTACAAAAAATTTTTTTTTTAGAATTTTCAATTTTTTTTCACATAACATGAAAGAACACCATAAAATACTCCCACATACGCAAGATCAGTTAAATTTGTCAAAAATCAGGTGAGCTTTGGCCAATAGAATATTTGAAGTTTGCTAATGAATTACTGTTATTTTGGCTCAGTTCATAACTTTATGAACTGAGACCAAATTATAGATGTTTGGTTTGATGGGGCAAGAACTTGTGCTCATCTGGTCATATCTCAGCCAATTCGTGATACCTTTAACTGATTTTGCAGACATTCATGATGCCTTTTCAATTATCGGAAAAAATTTAAAAAATTATAAAAATAGATTTTTTGACGTCATCACTTGACAACTTTTACAGTCATGTTCTTGAATTTCTGACTGACCTACTTCAATCCATAACAGGGTCTATATATTTCCTAGTTTAAAGTTTTCGATCCATGTTCTGACGTTTTATACTTTGAAAGTATCAGGCAAAAAGTCTTTAGAGTGCTTTCAAAATGTTTTTTGACTAGAATTGAAATTTCTTTGTAACCGCTAGAATAGTTAACAAAAATCTTTCCGAAAAATGTAACTTCCGTCCTGAATCCACAAGTGAAGGTTCATACAATACAACAAAGCTTCAAAACAGATCGTTGGATTGGATACCTTTTTCATTTTCCTTCTGTTTCGACGTGCTTCTCTCTGTTTTTCTTTTTTCAAATCACTCTTTTTATCGATTTTTCTGGAACCACTGACTTGTTCTTTCGATCTCTCATCTTTATCAACTAGAAAGTGACATCAGAAACTCTGAGAATCTGACATCTTTATTATCTATTAGAAACTTAGAATTTGACATGTATTTGAACATATTTGAGAATAGCAACAAGCTGTAACAAGTACAATGACAAGAAATTCTATATTCTACAATCTGAAACTCAAAAAAGGCTAAGCACACCACAGAAATACACATCACATACGTTGATACAATTACATTCCTAACTTAGGTGTATTTTTCATTATAAAAATTGTACCTTTAAGCTCATCCCAAGATGATGCATCAATGTGTTTCTTTTTAAAACCTCGAGCCCAGCGTGTCATTTTCTTTTATATATTTACACTAAATATCTTAATGAGAACAAACTCGAGGATCCATGTGACAGATCGTTGTTTTCATTCAGGAGCCATCGTTGAACTACCTCAATACCAAGCTGAGCCTCCTGTCGAAGTTGTTCTAAACAGAAATGGCTTCCTCCCCTTTGGAAGTGAATGTCAGCGACAAATTTTACTATGTCTACAGCTGCGACATTGATTCGTATCTGACCCTTAAAATGTAAGTATAGGTCCTTAAAGTCTCTTTCTTCAATGTAGGGTTAATTGAGCAAATGAAATATGTGAATAACAATCGCAACCTTGGTGGATTGTGTGTGCTGGCTGAGGTCCGAAAGCAAGAATAATAACAATTCTTGCACCGATGTGCATCACAAATGGTGGTGTTGCATCTCCTGAAGGCTATACATTATATTCATCGTATGAATTTCTCAAACTGGATGCTGTAGGCGGAGCTTACTTCACTTATCAATGCACTATGACATGTCTATTTGTATTTTGTACCCCCTCTCGGCCATAAGGGCCAGACTGAAAAAGTATGGTAAGTAAGTGCACAACCCGCGATATTTTCCAAAAAAATTGTGTGACATGTTGAGATGTGGGTGTGACATTGGTGTGTCCTATCGCTTAGGGCAAATGATGAATCATGTTTCCTCACATACACTAGTTTGATAGATACAAAACAACTATCTATAAAGTACTGTATTGTGACGTCATCAAAAACCTTTTTACAATTTCTTAAATTTGACCACATAATCTGAAAGAACAGCATAAAATACCCCTCATTATGCAAAATCAGTTAGATATGTTCAACATTGGGCGAAGTATGGCCAATGAAAGATTTTAAGTTTGCTAACAGATCACTGTTATTCTGGCCTGGTTCATAAGGTTATCAACCAAGATCAAATTACAGAGGTTTGATGGGGCAAGAGCTTGTCCTTATCTGGCCATATCTAAGCCAATTCGTGATACCTTTAACTTGCAGATTTAGCAGTATTTCATGATGCTCTTTCAGATTCAGGGATCAAAATTAAAAAATTCTAAAAAAATATTTTTATGACATCATCACTCTGGTACTATATTATGTCAATTTTCTTGTCTTCCTTGATGTTGGCACACTATATATACACAATTGAAGTGCACACTTAAATCAAAGTGCACACTTACACATTTGAAATGTTGCTATTGCACACTAGATATCTCATTGGAAACTACCATACCCTTAATTCTGGGGTCAGTGTTGAAGGTACGCTAGTGCATTTATGCCATCTGGGTCATGCTTTTGATACTCAAACTGCTTGCAGATACTTGTGTAGCCAAAATACATCCTTTCAAACTTACATGACTGCATTCCCTGTTTGTTTTAGGGTTAAAGCTGAATAAATGCAATCTGAAATGTAAAAGGGTACAAAATTACTTTGAAAATATTGTGTTATAAAGATAAACTCAATTGTGATAACCATGGGTATGTCCAAGTTCAAAGATCAATGTTGCTGAACTACACAAGCTTGTAGGAAAAATGTAAATCTTAACAAATCCTAAAAATATTTGGAAAAATCAATAACATATTTTTAGCTGGGCTCACACACACATCAGGCCTAAGAAAATTTAGTAAACTGTACTCAGAACATTAAAAGTTCATCTTAATGGAAAATCAAAACAATTAAGACTGCAATTAGAACAATTTTATTTTTGATTTTAAATGCAGTTCCCTTATTAAGTTAATTGTTTTTACAGCGGCATACTTGAAGGAAAATGTGAGAGAAAGAACTACAAAGAGCTTATTGCAGATCCACAATTGAAACTCTCGGGACTTTATCAAAAGTTTGTATAATAATATTTGTAAAAGTTTGTATAATGAAAGATATTAAAAACATAATTGGCTTGATTGATACAGGGCTATAGCAGCTATCAGAAACCCAGGGAGCTTCAGCTAAGAATTCTAGGCAATTACACTCAATTTTAAAGAAAAGGTATTTATTTTTAAAGAATATTAATCCAGTGTCTTAAGATTAATGCTCTGAAGTTTTATACTCTGAAGAGTGTCAGACGAAGAGCTTTGTGACTCAAAATGTTTGCTTTCCTGCAAAGCCATTTTTAAGTTTTGTACCACCAAAAGATTGTTTGGCTCATTTATATAACTAAGATCAAATTCATGTTATTTGGCTAGGACAGAAGTGAAAATTTAATTTGGCGTGGGTGTATTATATGATATATCAGTTTTCTGCTTGTATGGCGGTTCAAAGGACGGTAAACAATGGTGTTATTTTTTGTATGGAACAGTGGGACTGTAATGATGTGACTGCTGTAGGTCACAATTTATTTTAGATATAAGCATAATGTCTCCAAAATATTTGCTTTTGGTTTATGCATGATTATTGCACTTAGTTCTGTAATTAAGACAAGTACAAACTTAATGTCATTAAACCTTGAACTAATCACTTGCTTTTTTCTTAGATCATGTCCTGATCTCTATGTCACTTGCACTTTGTTTGCTGATGGGAAGGCCTTATACACACCTGTGAGGAGTTCATATAAAGCTTTTTCTACCAGATGGAAGTATGTTATTTTCTCATATTTATCCAGTTAAAGCCATACAACAGATAAAGAAGTACATAAGTCAGTTGTCTGTGTGGGCTAAAAATGGACAGCCAATGAGGATTGGTCATCATAACTTGTATATTATTGCTTTTGCATTTTTGTGCTGTTTTCTTGTGTCAAACAACAGTAAAAACAATAACAAACAACTGACTTGTTTCCATGGCTTGGTTTAACTCTGCCCAAACTTGTTTTTAAGAAGAAAAACAACTAGAGTATCATTGTTGGTTAATGATGATATCATGTGATGCATTTATCCCAGAATGATTTGCAAAAATTGATCTACTTTCAAACAACTTGGCTTTGAACCTGCCATCTGTCTTTAACTGCCTTAAGAATATAAAGTATATTTTTTTCGATTTGAATCTTGTATTTCAAAAACCCTTATCTTGCTTTATAGCTGGAATGAGTGGCTCAAACTCCCAATGAAGTATCAAGATCTTCCAAGAAATGCACAGGTACAGTTTTGCTTTTTTGATATATTTCCAACATAAGCAATTTTATGTTGGTTACATATTGTGTTTGTCCGGCAGTACACCAGCTGTTGGGGAGATGAGATTTAACTTTGCAGGATGGTAGAGGGGATTCACTTTTGTGACAACTTTGAATAAGGATATCACCAGACTGAGAGCAATGGAAAGGTCATTTCCACTACCCAATATAAAGAACAGAGGAGATTTTGAAAAGATACAATCCACAGCAAAGGACCACAAAAATGATTGTCAGAAAAATTGTGCAGAGCTGCAGAAGCAGGAACAACATGTAACCTTCATGATGCAACTGCGTAACTGCAATATATACTAACAGGGAGCTATACATTTATCTTTCAGGACAAAAGGCTCTATAAAGTGGTTTTTCAACTAGCCACATTAAAAAGTTTTGGAAAGTTAGACTCAAGGTTTCTTACATAACAGATTTATCAGTGTTGAGAAGGGGAAGGGGGGAAGGGAGGGGTGGGGAGGGTTGTGAGCATTCTGCCTAAACACCTATATGTCAATATGGATATACCATTGCTTTCCACTACCTACCCAGGGCCTTTTTAAACATACCAACTAGGGGGTAATTGCCCCTGCAACCCCAGTGAATTTCCATTTTTTAAACAATAGGCCACTGTCCTCCTGTTTATGTAAACAAAGATTTGCCCCTGCAACTGATTTCCCCTGGAAAAAGCTATCTACTTACTACTACTTTGTTCAACTACACAACATTGTAGCCACTCCAGAATTGCTTGCTTTTTTCTTTTCACTTTTTCCTAATCAATGTTTTCATGATTAAATCCAGATGCTTTTATATAATACACACTAGCAGAAATCTGAACATCATTTAATTACTGATTCAATTTGAAGATCCATCCTCCGAAACAGCAATTGTAACCGGTGCCGTTCTTTTACTTTGTCACATCTTGTTGTAAGGTCTAATTTTGGGAGCTAAACTCCATCAGAGGGTTGGATATTTAAAAGAAGTGAAGAGATTATTGACTTGCTGGGTTGCTTATTTGTGAAAATTTTTTAATGATACTTGCTGAGTAATTTCTGCTTGTGACCCACCCCCTGTTTCCACTGTCACTAGCAGGAAGACCTGTCAGTTTACGAGTTTGTTTTTACATATATTACATTACATATATGTGCATCCAAGTTTATAAAACATAGTAAATAAGTAACACCGCAAAGTGACAAACGCACGTAAATCAGTTATGTCTGATATTTCGCCCCGGCAAACGGGGCTTCATCAGATCAAAAGTAAATGGACTAAAAATAAAAAACACATCGCTTTTTGTCGATGCTTACAAACAATTATTTGAATAAAAATGATAATTCTTTGTGAATTTACATGAAATTTTACCGGCTCACTTGCCTGAATTCTTTTTTGAATTTTGATGAAGAATTGGGATGTTTTTGTATGAAAAAGTAAAGCAGACATTCGGCTCAAATTTATGAATAAATATGTAAAGAAGTCGTTTAGGCTAAGATTCTTTTTGATTGTAAAACAGGCTCAAAAAGTTTGATTCTAAACTTTAAGCTATCAACTGAAAACCCGTATCTGAAGTCAATACAAATTGGCATATAATTTATTTAAATTCAAAAAGGGCTTTCTTAAAAAGCATTTGGAACATTTAATGTCTTTCGTCTGACACTGTTTAGAGTATAAAACGTCAGAAATTTTCTAATCCGAAAGTGTCCGACGAAAAGCTTTAAGATGTTTCAAAATTTTTGAATTTTCAATGCCAATTTTAAATTATTCACCCCAAAAAATTGGTAGCAGATTTTTATAAATGTAAATTTTTTTTCTAACTGTGTGTTACTTTGTAATCAATATTACCTTTTAAAATGTTTCGTCGAGCCATGACCGATTTTTGACCCTTTAGGTTGCACTCACTGTGTGGGATGTTTATGATTCCAAAAAGCCTGTTCCCGTGGGTGGAACGACTGTCTCGTTGTTTGGAAAACATGGGTATTTATTTTTTGACGATTTCTTTGATCGGAATAATGATTTGTGAACTGGCAGTTTTTTATCTGAATGGGCATGATAACAATGAATTAAAGCGATTTGAATGGAATAAGTTTTTATGTAGCCATCAGAATTACAGGCGAAACGTCGCGCTGTTCATTGGATACACTCTTTTTTATAAGAACAATTTTATAAGAACACGAGCCTCAAAACTGGTCAAAAGTTAAGAACAAATTAAGAACAAGCTGAGGCTGAGCTTCTGCAAATGCAATTTTGAACAACGTTTTTTCTCTAAATCGAGGATTTTTAGCGATGTGTGGGTGCTTTTTCGGTGGATATTCAAATTTGTCAGCAAATTAAGGCTGTCTCACTCACTTTCTTGGCAAATGAGGCCTGAACAACTCAGAGTGAAAAAGCTAGCAATAGCACTGCTTACACCCCCTTAATTTAAGAACAAATTAAGAACAATCCAGCCTCAGATTTTCGAAAAAATTAAGAACACTCAGCTTGAACTTAAATTTACTGGTTCTTATAAAAAAAGAGTGTATTGCTTGTTGAATTCGATGGTCCTCTAAATTAGAGAAGGGTGACATATAAGTATAACTGATAAATGGCAAATAATAAAAGATCTCCTTTGTAGAAATGAAAACTATGTATTTTTTTGACGATTATTTTGGTCGGAATTTTATTTTGTGAAATGACAGTGAAATATCTGTATGAGCTTGAAAAGAAATGTTTGTTAAGAAATGAAAATTCGTTGTAATAGCAATTTAATTCCTCGTTTCTGTCAGCAAATGAACAGTCTGCCTTTAATACACTGCCTTTAGGTTTTTTCAGGTTTGAGAGATGTTTCAGACATGTTCTTTGTTCTTCTTTTAATGTTGTTTTGCGTTTAAATTTCATGATAGTGTTTTTGTACATTTTTTATACATGATCAGTTGTTTAATGAGAGGAGAAATCGCCATTTGGCTTTATTAGATTGATGGAAAACGATACTTGTTTATTATTAAATTCTGTATTAAATTCCGATAAAACATATTCGATGTATATAATGGTTAAATGTAATAACGAATGCTGGCCTTCTCTTTTCAGGACCCTGCGCCAGGGAATACACGATTTGCGTGTTTGGCCGGGGGTTGAAGCTGATGGCAGTGAACAAACAAAGACCCCCGGAAAACAGGGAGCTTCGGCAGATGCCAAAATGGTTGAACTGGCCAAGGTAACGGCATTTTCGAAATTTCCAATTTTTAGGCTACCAAAGATTTATTTTGTTTTTTATAATTCGCATGATATGTTGAAGAATTTTTTCATTGTTTTTTCAATCTTTTTCATTGATAACGTAAAAATGAATGGAAAAACAATGAAAATATTCTTCAACATTTCATGTCGTTAACAAATAAGTAATTATAATGTTTTTAAAAATGCAAACAATTTTATGGTAGTGCAAAATGGGTTTAAAAAAGCAAACATTTTTCTGCAAACTAAATGCCCTTTTCTCAGTGAATAAAACGTCAGAAAAAGTATATACCCAGTTGTGGATCGAATTTTTTTATCGTTTCCACTCATTTTAGCCATATTTTATTTTTAAATTTGATTCGGAAAAACCTCTGTTCCCACTGTTTTGATTTGCAACAGTTTCCCACAGTTCTACTTGGATCGGTATCCGTCCCTATTTATTGGCCGCCTATGGCCTGATTGGTTTTTAATCGCATGAAATTAAAGCCAAGAGAAAATAAGATCTACCCACGTACATAAGCCACTTTTGATTAAAAGCTTCATATAAGAGGTTGTTGTTAAATATTCATAAGCCGCGGTTTGTAATAAGAAATAGAGTGTATTTTCAAAATTTTCTTTCCTGAAAAACTGGATTATGAGTTTTAACTTTTGAGAAATTTGGTCAAAATTTTTGAGTTTTAACTTTTGAGAAATTTGGTCAAAATTTTTGAGTTTTAACTTTTGAGAAATTTGGTCAAAATTTCTTTTTGGTCTTTTTGAAGTTTGGGAATATAATTGATTTCTATAATTTCTACAGGCAAAAGATTATTTGCAGATAGAGAGCTCTATATATCTCGTTTAATCTCGTTTATCAGTTGTTTAATTTTTCCTTCTTCTCCTTCTAATCTGACTATGACCTTTGACTTTTGATGACCCTGACCTTTGTTCTTCTAGTTGAGTAAAAGACACCGTAAAGGAAGAATGAAAAAGGTCGACTGGCTTGATCGTCTCACGTTTCGAGAAATCGAAATGGTCAACGAGGTATGTTTATCTCGTCTGCAATATGCTGCAATATGCTGAGTCCTAGTTTCGTTGCTTCAATTTTAGGTTATTGACCTTAAGAGAAGAAAGTTTTTTCTAACCACTCGTGATATCATCGTTCTTGGTGTTATATTTTAATACGATATTTCTGTTACCCGTTATTCTTAATTTGACAATTAAATAGCTAAAAAAGAACCCAATGCTTTCTCAATTTAGCCAAATTTTGTAAATGTTTTATTTATTATGTTCTAATTTTTTTTTTTTTTTATTATGTTCCATTGTTTTATTCAACTTTCATTTTGTATTTCATAACACGTTTGGTTTTTATACGAATAACGAGGCTTCAATGCCCAAATGTCAAAGATTTATAGAAATTAGCAAATACATTTCTCTTTCAAAGTTTTTGTTTGAACCAGCCCTTCATTTTCAATTTTTCTTATGGTGTACAAAATTCGTCCCCTTGATTCGGTACAATTTCACATCTTCTTTGATTTTTAAATAAGCAGACGTTCCCCTAAGCTCGCTCCTATGTTAGAGTGTTTTAACCCGATTATTTCCTTATGTTACAGTTATTCATGGATTGTACAATCCATAAGTACTTGTAGAAAAAGAAATTGGTTAGGGGCCAGGATGGCCTAGGTACCTGGAAACCAAAAAAAAGTAAAAGGAATGAACCCTGGATAATGATAAATTTTTCTTGTTGAAAAAGCTTTTATTAAGTCGCACCAAAACTTGATTTTAATTAGCCAAACAAATTAAAAGAAATAAAAGCAAAGCAAAAAATTGTAGAGATAAAAAAATGACGCACAATTTTGAAATATTTAAGTATTTGAAATCAGTATAGTTTGACAAGATTTCTTTGTGTTTCCATCAAAACTTTTCTTAAGAACTTGCACTGTTTCTTCTTTTATTTTTATTGCAACTGTTTCAGATGAATTCAATCGAGTATAAATTTTTTTATATTTGCTATTTTTCACTGACTTTTTTGCTTACTAATTTAAAGCATCTGTCGCTAGTTTACGAAATGTGTAAAATAGGTTTTTTATATACCATTTGTTTGTGGTTTTATTTCGTTGTTTTTATACATTTGAACTTGTCTTGTAGAAGGAGAAGCGGAATTCGAATTTCATGTACCTCATGGTGGAATTTCCTCGATTCTGCATGAATGGAGTCGAATACACGATGATTTACTTCGAAAAGGCGAGTTGTGTTATAAAAATCTCTAGGCGCCTTGAAACTTCGATAGTTAGCTTCATTGTTGTTATTCTCTGCATTAATTTATAAGTTAATTTTGAAGTCTTACATTTGACTCTACATAATAATAGCAATTAAAGGGTCAATTTTTTAGGACTAAATAGTAAATAAAATGGGAGTCTTTATGATGAAATTCTACTGATAGCTTGTGATTCGGTTGGTTATTTATCCCCTAATAGTTTATTGAGATCTTTCACTGTCCGCGCGATTAAAATCCTCTAGAATTTTCATTTCACATGGGGCTCTTTTAAAGCATACTAAAATTCTCTATGGAATAACAATTTACAATGAACTGGCTTTAAAGAAAATAAACTTGTACAAGAAGTCCATTTTCATGTGGCCCCCAGTGAATAAATCTGGTCTCTTGTCAGTAATAAAAGAAAGCGGAACTTAATTGAGTCTTTAAAGTCAATTTTTATCAAATGAAATCTTAAACAGTTCGATCTCTCTGGGAAACATCAACTATGGCTGCAAAATCCTCAAAAAGCTGTGTATCTTTCTCTACTTTTCAACTACGCATTGGCTTGACACCATTCTTAATCTGCTTCTCACGAAGTCTTTGAAACTCATCCTCTTCTTTTCTTCTCATTTACTCTTTATTTGTTTTTAGTGTAATGCCAAATGCTCGTTGCTAATTTTTCTGTCCCTTTTTTGTATCAACCTTGAAACACGGAATTTCATTAGGCCAATAGTGAACTTTCCTACAGTTAATTTTTACATTATCGCAAACTGCACCTGAAATCCCTGCAAATATCGACATAAAAGATTGAGGAGAATTTTTGTTTGACTTCTATGATATTTGTCTTGGCTATCAACATTGTTTTGGTGGGGGAGGGGGAGGGGGAGAGGGGGGGATGAGTCAGTAGAAGTAGTAATACATGCGAAATGAAATGAAAAAACATAAAAAGACAACGCAAATTGCTTGGCGTCCTAAATAGTTTTGGCAGGCTTCTTACTTTACTGTATATCATATTTTGATCTTAATTGAAAAATTTCCTAATTAAACCATGAGCTATTGTATCTTCATATACTCACTAAAAAGTGGTATATTACAATGATTTTTTTTTTCGCTAACCAGGATGCAGATCTAATCGAGTATGTCAAGGTGTATCCCGAGATTGTGAACGTTCCTGACCCGGAAGTGTTGGAAGAGAATCCGGTCGAAAACAAGCATCACAAACTTACAAGGAGTGTAAGGAGTGGAACTATGTCACGTGATTTGAAACCCAATGCTTCGATAAGAGACCAACTGAACGTGAGTTCCGCCTCTTTTTCACTTTTTTCTGCAGTTGCGTTTTTTAGTTTGATCAAAACATTTATGGTTTCCAGGTTAACATATCTGCACCAGAGGTAAATCTTTGCGACATGTTCCCTCTTCCCGTGAAGATTTGATCTACCCAGGGTTGAGATCCGGTGGTACCAGGGACGCCGGAGAGGGGGGTGCGGGGGTCAACCGCCCCTGTTGCCTTTTTATACGAGGGGCAAGGGGGGCCAACGTGCCCGTTCCATAGAAGCGCCCTTAACACCGGCCGTTTGTAATTATCAAAAGACTCATATGAAATTCTGACTGTACTGCTTCATTCGTGGAGATATTTCTCAAAGCTTGTAAAGAAATTTCTTATGCCAAAAGTATTTCTTATGCCGATTTATGAGATATCTACACAAGATCGAAACAACAAAATTACAGTTGCCCTTTGACTGCCCTTTGATTCAAGCCTGCCCCCTTGCCCCTTGGTCGTTCCGGCGTCCCTGGGTGAGCAAATTTTATCTTAAGTTTGGTGAGCAAATTTTATCTGGAGCAAATTTTATCTTTAGTTTGGGTGAGTCATTGTACAATTTCTTTATCAGCGTAATAAAATTTTTTGGGGTCTCAAGTTCGAGAAAGGTTTAAAAGAAAAAGGATAAATTGCAAACATTTCCTGGTACAGGGCAAGAAAATCATTTGTCGGGTATATTTTTATGCTATTTCTTGTTTTTGAGGCTTATTGTTTGTAGCCCAGACTGAGCACCCCGGGATAAGAGTGTCACAAATCCCCTTGTTTCAATTCTGCATCATCGTAATGTTTTTCATGTCTTTTGAAGCTAGAGTTGTATTTTTTAAATGTATTTTTAATTTTTCCTTAGAAAATTGTTAGTTACCCACCAACAACAATCTTAACTGAAAAAGAAAAAGATCTCGTGTGGCAGTTTCGATTCTATCTTACAAGTCAAAAGAAGGTTTGTGTTGCTCTTTGCATATTAAAGACAGTATTGCAAAACACAATGAAATATGTACGTTGCGTGTGGTACTTCATCCAGAATAACGATAATACAGTTAGCAAATAAATTTAGTACCAGAATGGAAATATAATAGTTTGGTTGTTAAAAACACGACGTTTCGAGCATGTACTGGTTATCAAGTGAAAAACGCACACACTTGATAACGAGTACATGCTCGAAACGTCGTGTTTTTAACAATCAACCTATTATATTTTCATTCTGGTTTTAAATCTATTTGCTAACTGTATTATTGCAAAACACGCCTTTGTATTGAGTCTTCGGAGATTTAAAAGCGGTTAAATACAGAATATTAAGTTTTACACATCAAATTGACTTTAAGTCAGTGCGATTTTTGAATAAAAGGATGGCCTAAATTGTTTTAATTGCAACTTAATCGCGTAGGATTAAGATAGCTATGACAACTTTAAACAACCTTTTTTCAAATGGTTATTTTTCAATTGGATAGCATTTTTTACATGAAAATGCATCAAAATTGAAATTTATCTTTTTCGTTCTTTAGCTATAGTCTTGTTTAATAGTGGGTTTCTTTAAAATCATAAGAATTCTATAATTCAGTATCTATAATTCACAATTATAAAGTTTACATTTTCTACACGACTCTAAATTAAACAAACCAGTTGAGCCACTGGCATGCTTTTTCCAAGCTTTCTTTTCGGTTTTTTATTAACTGATGTTTACCAAGAGAGAGTCCTTTTGGAAATGTTTGCCAAAAGCTTTTGTGGGTGACTCTTCTGTAAACGGTGTCCGGAAAACATGCACTTCAACTCTTTGCTCATAGATTTGATATTTGCTTGCTTTTGAATCATTTCAAGATACCTGGAATATATAAGATAATGAAGATTATAAAAGTTTATAAAAGTGTGTAGTTTTTTGGAAAGCTTGATATCCTACTGAAATAGATATAATTCAAATTCCAAATACTTTTGCTCTGCCAAAAGTAAAATGATGTAAGTTTAGACCAAGATTTGTTCTGCTTTGAATCTTTATATGCCATAACATGCGAACAAAAGTCATTAATTTTGTAGTTCTGTTTGCGTTTCTTAAACTCAAGCTATAGTCAATTTGTTCTTGGTTCAAAGGCGTCCTAGTCGTGATAAGCAAGTACTGTTTTAGCCTCTCGGGTTGCGCTTCTAAATCTGGAAGCATTTCGAATTGATCTGCAAATACGAAAAGAAATCATCATCGGGGACTGAGTTGTGAACTCAGAATTTCGGTCTGTCAGAAAACGCATCCCGTAGATGCACTTTGAGAGACACAAATTATAATAATTCAGGAACGGACTGACCAAAAATTAGCCTGGTTTAAAAAATAGTAACATAATCTCTTAGATAAGGATTTTTGTTATGGGGTGGTTTGGTGATGGAGCTGAAGCCCTTCGTCAGAATTACAACTGCCATCGATGAGGCAATGACCTTCTAAATATCGTCAGAGTTATATATTAAGGCATACATAATTGAAAAATGTAATTTTGAGGCTATTGTTTTCATCTTCATTCATGTTCGCTTTTGAGTGTCGAAGACAGTGCTCAAAATCATTCAATTAAACGATAGAGAGCAGTGGTCGGCGCATACCTCCTACACACACCTGACACCTCCTTCCTGCAACGGACATCTTTCTACAACGGACACCTCCCTTCTACGCAAATCTTCTTTCTTTGGACATCTCCATACAATGGGCACATCCCTTTTAAGGATACCTTCCTGCAGCGGACATCTTTCTGCAACGGACACCACCCTTCTACCCACATCTCCTTTCTTGGGACATCTCCGTACAATGGCCATTCCCTTCTAGGGACACCCTCCTGCAACGGACATCTCCTTTCAAGGGACACATCCCTCCGGCCCATACGGCGTAACTTTCCTGGAGCTGACGTCTCCCTACAACGGACATCTTCTTAAAACAGACACCATAGTAAATAATCTCTTTGATTTGCAGGCTCTAACCAAATTTCTCAAGTGCATTAATTGGAACCAACCCTTGGAAGCGAAGCAGGTAGGCCCTTTCCACATTTTCTCTTATCAGTGCAGCTGTAGCATACGAAAGTATCTTGCATAACTATGAAGAAACCATTTTTTGTTGAAAAGAGGTTTTAGGATCTTGTTTTGGCTTTGAGTATCATGAATTCAAGATCTCTGTACACTAACACAGAATACTATAGTAGTGAATGTTATAGATCGCAATCTATCTCAATTAAGCTGGCTCGAAACATATATACTTCTCCACAAACCAAGAAATCTCTTCAAAGAAGACTCAAACGTACGCCTTGTGTCATCATTTCTCAAATTTTCTACACGTCTTTCCTCAACACATTTTACGCTAACACTGCCCTACTGTACTTTTGTGAACTCATTTAAATTACTCAGCTAATCAACATGTCAAATCAGGGAACCTATATTTGCTTACTGTTTAAACCGATACAAAGGTCTTACATAGGTTTTAAATACATCACGAATATCAGTTTCCTTTACTTCGCTCACATACACATTAACATGAGACAAGTACGTAAATACAATATCATAACAAAACAAATTAAGCAACTTCGAGTCCTCAAGTGAATATAGCAATATATCTAAGAATATAACATAACATAACTAAATGCTTGCTATGCGCGCTGTAGAATCCCCCACAGTGAAGAGTAATTCGGTTGACTTTCTCTCTGCACACTTCACCCAATGGTATCACTGTATGCTGTTGGCGAGCAAAAATCTTCTAGCATTCTAATCTCCTCATGTACATGGATCCAAAGAACACAAGCAGAATTAGTTGATTTATTTGCATATGCTTTCTGACTCCAAATACAAGGGATGGGATGGATTATTCAGTCGAAGGCCTTTGTTCGTCACCCAAGCATATGCCATTCTCACAAGCTAGCTGTCTCTGCAAGTTTTATAGTCACTAACAGAGTCTTGGACTACAGATCCAAAGGTCTGTAGTTGGCGTCACTAACATGACCAATGTTTTATTTAGATCAAGAAGAGTCGCCATCTCTCTGTAATTTGAGGAGTGGCGAGGTATGCAGTGGCGTCGCCAGCTCAAAGAACTGGGGTGGACGAAAACAAATTTTCTCAGCCACGCCCTTCAGTTATTTAGTATAGTTATTTATCTTTTTTCTACCTCTTGGCAAGCAACTTCTGAAGAAGCTTTTTTGTAAAGGTGGCTTTTTGCAAGTGTGAAAATCAAGTTCGATCTGATCAGCCCACTCTCCTCCCCCTCCCCCAAAGGTTTTTCAACAGGTTTCGAGAAATTAGAAAATCGACTTCTAGGAAAACTGGGGTGGACATGTCCTCCCCAGTCCACCCCGCTGCGACGCCACTGGAGGTATGGTCACATCGAGAGGGGTGACCAGGGTTGATTAGCCTAGTTTCTCACTGTCCAAAAAACTAACTTCCGTAAGCATTGCAGTTACAATACAGTTAACATAGCTAATATATAGAATGGTATTGTAATTTTGACAGGCAATAGACCTGATCAACAAATGGGATCCAATAGACACAGTTGATGCATTGGAGTTGCTCACGCCGCAGTTCACGAACAGAGTTGTCAGGCAGTATGCAGTATCGAGACTAAAGCAAGCATCGAACGAGGTATAACATATTGTATTTAACACAGCCCTCCTGTGTGAGATATTGTATTTAACACAGCCCTCCTGTGTGAGATATTGTATTTAACACAGCTCTCTTGTATAAAGCCCCGGTCAAACGAACTGAACATTTTACTGAGCAACACTCAATATTTACAAACCTTGCTCAGCTATACTCAGCGTGCTGCTCAATACCTACAGGGTGGTCAAACGAACTGAACATCGCTTAGCAACACCCCAGACAAAAGTAATGTTTAATGACTCTCTCAACATTTTTGATCGCCATAAAACATCGCTGAGAAGGACTGAGCAAGACTGAGCAGAGCTGAGCAAAGCAGAGCAAGCGAACTGAACTTTTTACTGAGCAGGCATGGTGAGCGTTGCTCAGTGAAATGTTCAGTTTGTTTGACCGGGGCTTAAGATATTTTATTTGACACAGCACTCTTGTATACGACCCCTTGTGAAGTATGATGCTGTGCCAGTTTTTCTATTAATTTATTTGCCCTAAAGTGGTCAAATAGTTAGAGGCAACGAGCCCCTTGTTTTTTTCACCAACCTTGCTTAATCAGCGAGTTTTGATCGACAAGCTGGAATATTTCGCTAGGTAAAATAGTAGAAAAAATCTCGTAAGACAGCTATTTGAACATAATACGAGTATACCTCTTTAGAGCAAGAGACCCGCCTACTTGTCTGGTAGTCTGTTGACAGGGCAAGCAACGAATACAGATAATATAAGAAGGTTGCTCTTGACGTTAATGTCTTCTTTCCTAAATTTTTATGAAAGAACACGAAAGGTTAATACGCACCCAGTCAGCACCCAGTCAGCAAGACCAAGCTACCGTTTGTTGAAGATGCTCGTCTCACGTTCTTGATTAAAGCTTTGGGAGATATTACCAGTTATATAATTGGTTTCTTTTCAAAGGATCTTCTGCTTTACCTCTTGCAACTGGTGCAAGCGCTTAGGTATGAAATCAAGAGCGAAGCCAAACAGATGAAGGACAAAGATAATGTTGAAAAAGAAAAGGATAAGGAGACAAGTGAAATTCCAGATATAAATGAAGAGACGAACATACCACCTCTCAGTAAGTAATGTCATTACGTTTACTGTTACAAAATGTTGGTTACCTTCTATTAAACTGACACTATTTAGCAATTAATAAGAGAGCTAAATTGTTCCATTTCACAGTGGCTGAATTGTTTTTCTAAGACAGGGGTTTTCGAAGTCATTTTAGTGTAGTAAAAAGAAACTCAATTTTTTCCTTTGCTCTAGTTCAAAAATGAAAATTACACATTTGTTAAACGTTTGCAGAATATCTAGGTTTAAATGGGAAAATATTAAGAAATGTAGGCAGACCGAGCGACAAATTATCTACGTGAATGTAAGTTTCCACCCTACAAGGCAGTTTCTGAAACAAGCATTTATTGGACCGCACTGAATTTTATTACAGTGGACAGAAGCATATATAGGGCCACAAAAACATCTTGTCGAAGATTTGAGCCACCAGATAGTCAGTTTTAGAACACTGATTCAGCGAATGAGCTTGGCAGCCTTGAGATTAACAGGGAAGGACCATAAAAGAACAAAAGTTTCATTGTCAGTTGCAAACAATGTATCCCATAATTAAGATCTCACAGAAAAAAGGTTGGGCATGCCCCTTGCCCCTTTTGTGCCCCGAAATCTATTAAAAAGCTTTATATATTATGTTATTTTAAGTCTGTTGTGACATATTATGCACGTTATTTTAGGCGAAGCATCAACGGAATCCGAAGGTATTGAGGTACAAGGAAAAGAATTTGGCGAAATGGAAGTCAAACTAAACGAGGAAACAAAAGAGAATGTGAGCACGGTAGAGCATCTTTTTAGATGTTTCATGCTGGTGTTTGCTGTTAAAAGTCTTGACATTTGTTTTTTAATAACATATGTATTTAGCCAGAGTTCAGATAACGCTCTGGATGATATTTGGCCCTACTTACCTTTCTTAAAATTTTACTTGCATCTTTTGAGTAAAAGTTTCTATGCTTTAAAATAATCTTTGAGCTTTTCACTTTGAGCGGAGTTCAAGGGCAAAGATGAATTCCTCTCACTTTAAAAACTGTTATCAAATCATTCATTTGCCTTCCTCAAAATGCATCGATGGATAACCTACCTCTGGCACACTCCCATGGAACTGTAATGTTTTTTGGACTCTGCAATTTATGTAAAGTTTACATTCACTGATTTTACCTTACTGTTGGGAGCATGGTATTTTGTTATTGTTCCAGAGCTTTAGTGTGTGACATTTTCGTATACACTCTCCGCATTAGAAATGAAATTTCGATGTCTTTTGCCATACTGGTATCTTTGTCTTTGTAGGAATTTGTTATTGGCTCTTCTCCCGTAGTATTTACCATTCATTCGACATTTTATTTCTTTTTGTTTGTTCCCCAAGTTTGATTTATTTTATTGCTAGTAAACTTTTGTATCTACATTTTAGGAATCTGATTTGGCATCGTTTTTGGTTTCAAGAGCCTGCTCTGATGATAAAATTGCTAATTTCTTCTTCTGGTAAGAGATCAATACCATTCTTATCTTTAGCGAATTTCCTTTTACTGTTTTTGAGAAAATAATGGTTCCGCCTCAGTTACACCAAAGGTGGTGGAAAACTTGCGAATGACTTCAAGGAAAAGGCAACATCTGTTTTGGATCTAGGTTTAAACTTCTTAGTGATCAAGTTTTGCTTCTGTGTTATCGTGTGACCCTGTCCTAACGATTTGGTCAGTATAACCTGTAGAACAGAAAAACAAGTACTAAGTTAGGCCTCATCCTCAGTGAAACTCTTTGCCAAATGTTGGGTTTAGAAATTCTTGACTGTCACCCTAAAATTAATCTTTGGGATGTATTTTAGAAAGTCTATAGTAATAAATGCGGCCCAATCAGTGCCGCTTGCCTATTTAGAATGTTACCAATGGAGTCCTAAGGTGAAAACGAACTCCTTCTGTTTACACAGTAGCGACGTTTTCATGCTTATGTAGATTGATTCTAAAACTGCTAGGTGGAACGACGATCGGGCTTTACCAATAATCCGAAACATGTCGCCATTATAGTTTTTTGCACAATCTGGGTTTTCCAGTATATGCTGCCCGATAGCAGAATCGAAGGGTTTTAGTTGTACTTTTAGATCTGCAAGACCGAGGTGGCTGATTGGTCAACCTCAACAGTCATGTGCTCGTGTTTCTGATTGGCCTATTTCGATCCACAACTGGGTATATATATTTCCTAGCGTAGAGTTTTCGGTCTATGTTCTGACGTTTTAAACTCTGAAAAGTGTCAGACGAAAAGCTTTAGTTTACTAAATGTTTGCTTTTTCAAAGCAATTTTTTGATAAGTGTTTTCAGAACCACAATCTTTTGCGCAAGAAGCAAGGACCGACATCAAAAAATAAATTTCATTGAGGATCATCATTATTCATGTCTTTAATGTTTGTTCTGTGCCCCGGACAGGTACCTTCTTGTTGAATGTACGGACAGTGGTGTCCGAGATGAGAAAGTAACTGAACTCTACGTCAGTGTAATGAAGAGGTTCAGTAAAGCTTTGTTGGCGGTAGGCAGTTTGTTTTTATATTGAGTCTGAAAGAAACTTGCTTTCTTTTCGTGCTATTCTTTAGGGAAAGGACCGATTTAGCGAACTGAAAGTGAGATAGCTCGATTAACTATTCAACAGTTAACGAAATTTGAAAGAAGCTCGGATTAGCGAAAACGTGCTTTGCTAAGTTAAATTTTGTCTGACACTCCGCAGCGTATAAACTTGGAATAATGATAAAAATTTTCTAAAATTTCTGCTTTTTAACGCAGGAAGATTCCAACTTCATGAGAAACGATATTACTTGCCCAATGATTTTGAAACCCTTGTCCTATATGTTTGTAGGTACTTAAATTCTTGAGCCTATTGTGACTGGATTTCTCGACTTGAGTCAGAAGAAAAGTACTTCATTATGGCCCATCTCAACTTCCCCAGACGGTTTTCAGATTTTGCATTAGCAAAGGCTTGCACATTGGACAAAATTTTAAAAATCAAACTGAATTTTTTTCAATTATACCAAATTGCCTATATTGGTATCCGCTTCTTCTTCTGCATCAAAACTTTGGAAAACGGAGATGTCCAAAAGGGTGGACAAAAAATTTGAGCAGGACCTTGGTCTTCATTGTAGGACATCAAAAATTCTCAGTCATTCTAGATAAGCCACAGATTCATCGAAAGCTAACCATCTCATATATTTCAAAATTTTCATATTTTGAACCCTTTTATGGAGGGTTGTTCTTCAGCAGAAGCTGATTTCCAAAGGACTTTGTAATGAAGGCATTCCACCGTTATACAAATGAAATGGATTGGCAATGCAAAATTCCGTCGTGCCTTCTACATCGAGTATTTAGAGAAGACATATTATCAGAATGTACAGAGATTTTGCCATTGCCCTCAGGGAGGGACTACTTATCTACATAAAGTTATAACCAGAAAAAAAGCCATGATAGCCCCGAAAGGATACCCCAGGTTAAGTTTTACCCAAATGGTCCAAAGTCCCCAGGGTGTGGTGCCCTAACAAATGATGCTCTGTATTCAACTGATGCCACAACATCAAAGAGTTCTGGAGAATTTTTTCTACATTTCAGGGTGACTTCAAGTGCAAACAACGTCGTAGCATATTGGGACACGAGCAGATATTTTTAGAGAAAATTACAGAATTAGTTAAAACAGTTCATCAATTCAGTGGAAACAGGAAGAAGAAAGTAAGATGTATTTTAGAAATCTAGGCCGGTTTCTGAGTATAGTTTGGCTCCTCTGATGTTTTGAACAATTTTGGTTTTAAGTCATTGGTTAGGTGCAGAGAGTTTTTCCTTTTGATCATAGTCGATAGAAAAACTCTGGTCTGGAAGCCTTTTATTCTAACTCTTTGTTCGTGTTTATTGCAATCACGTGATCTAAGTAAGGAGACGCATGCAAACAGCTGTATAGGGTTGTTGTTGAATAGGACTGTATAGGATTGTTGTGTTTCTCAAAATTGTTGGTAATTTTATAATCCATTCTTTGCTGATTACAATCCAATCTAATCTATTTTACAATCTAAAACTATGGTCAGCTCATATTGTGCTGTTCAAGGCTGTTGTCGTTACCCTTACTCGGGAGTAAGAATTTTTAGAATTTCGCAGCGCAAATGGCGAGATTTTTTGCTTCGATGAACAACTGTAAACAATTATTCTAAGCGTCATATTGAATCTGGGGATGTTTTTATTTGCCACATACTACAAGGCGCCCACTGCATCATCATTTTGGACTAAGGACCGAGATACCGGGGGGCCAGAGGCCCCCCAAAAAACAAGTAGCATAAGTAAAATATCTTTTTTGTAAAATATTGCTTTTGCTACACTTATTTATCAGGGCTGCCCCCCAAGAAAGGCCCCCCCAAGAAAATAAAAAGTTGTATCTCGTTCTTTATTTCGACAGAACAAAAGTATATTCAACGAAGAGACATTAGTTGAAAAATTGATGGATAAAAAAGCAATAGATTAGTCAGTTGCAACTTCTTTTGCATCCACATTTGATCAGCTATCATCTGTTTTCAGGTTTAAGAAATGGTTTTTTGAAAGTAAGCATTTTTAATCGCGAAGACAGACTTTGAAACGGAAAATATCTTTGTCTGTGACCCGTGCAAATGAGCAACTTTGTCAAAAGCCCAAATACCATTCTTTTTGAAACACACGGGTCGCCTGTGTGCGCTGGGCTTAACGAAACTGTCTGTATCTGCTATTGCGAGATGAGAAAATGTTTCATCTTGTCCCCTTACTTTGGTCACGTGGTTAGAATAAAAGTGTTTTCAAGTTTTAGATGAGAACAAAAGAACAGAACAATGGGCTTCCAAACAAGGTTTTCTCTATTGATCATGCTTTGATTGGCTTGTTCAAAGATCCCCAACGGTGTTTTGGGGAGGAGCCTAAAATCGTTGCTGGAAGCTTTTATACAAGTTAAAATTTAGCGTTTCGAACGTGTGCGTCTGTGCAGTAAAAAGTGTGCTTCTTGCCGTGCTTTTTGATACCATATCTTTTTATCAATCTTAAAATTAGCGTAGACAGAGAGAAGTAATAATTTTTAGTAAAATTAGAACAAAATTTTTTTATATTTTTTTGACGTTGTCTACTTCTGATTGCAATGTGAAATCTACTGTTTTTTCTATTAGTTAAGTTCCTCACAAATATTTCTGGCGTTATCGGTGAAGCTGCATAAATGATGCCGTTCTTCAATACATTACCAGAAGAACTTTCCTCTTTTTAAACGTTGAGATTCAAAGGCTAAATGATATGTGTCTGTCCTTACAATTTTTGTACCAAAGAAGGTAGCCCTACAAATCTGTCAAGAATATATCCTGTAACTACTCAAGAGAGACTAGCTAAAATATAAAATATCCTTTGTTAGTAACATACCAACCTGATTTTATCCGTTAAATTTGCTTTCTCAATCAGATAGAGAAGCTGCAGTCTCTTGTGGATGTTCCAGAACTCGTCAGCTTCAAGCCTATTCCTCTGCCTCTGGATCCTGACGTCAGAATCAAGGGTATCGTCGCTGGTAAGTACTGGCGATTGCATATGCCCAGGGGTGGGGATGCCCCCTCCCTTTAGAAACAAACACGGTATCCGTATACAATGATGTTGTAGAATTTTCTCTTTCTACTGTTACGAGTGGGGTTTTGGCCGAAGAAACGACTCTTTCTGGAGAAATATTGGCTACGAGCTTGTATGTAATGTTTCATTTCTTGTGTACAAGAGGTTTGAACATTTTTCTTTAGTATCATGCTATAGTCTAGGTAAAAAGTCTATCGCTTATACTATCTGAAAAATAGACGGGATTTTATTGTCTTCAACTCAAATAAATGCAAGGGTATACAAGGAAATGACAGAGAGTGGAATAAACTTGTGCCTAAGGACATTTTTAAGTAAAGAAACACCTCAATTCTTATTTGATGCAGTTTTTAGTATTGTCCAATGTCTTTTTACTTTGTAAACTGTAATTTATGAGGACCCTTAATGATAGCAGAATCTCTTTTACTGATAAAGATTTACTTTAAAAACATGGTTACTAAACTTTTGTAAAAAGGGATTGGATACACTCTTGGTGTATAGAACAGGACGGCTCTAAGGACCTGTTTACATGACGTGGGCTGGTTTCCGCAGGTATTATCGTATTCCATGTGTTTAATTGAAGACGCGATTATCCCATTATGCTGCGATTACAAGGCAACTGTTAAAACTTCTTCCTAGATGTATCGGGTATTTCAATGCTCGTAGATATTATGTAGGAGACTTTGTGTATTTGATTAATGTCCTATACACCAAACCGTGTACAGCTCGGCCTTTACGACATCGAGCACTTTGTTACCGACCGTTAAACAATAATTGTAATAAATTGGGTTAATATACAATACTGGTGTAAATCCGAATTGAGCCATATTTGACCTATTACTGAGAACTCATGAAATGAATTTTATGTTAGAAATAAGATCAAATCTGTTTTGTTTATATCGTCATCAGCTCCCGCATCATCAAACTGAACTATTGTTTTTAGACAAGGTGACCCTGTTCAAGTCTGCTCTGATGCCAATGAAACTGACATTCCGCACTGTGCAAAACAAAGAATATGTTGTAAGTCTCTTGTTTATTCTTGTTTATTCCTTTATTTGTAGTTGTGTTGTTGGCTCAAAATGGTTTAAAATGGTTTTTAATTCGTATTTCGATAGTTTAAATACAAATCAGAGTAAAACACTCGAGTTGAAATTTTTTCGATTTATTTCCATAAGAAACTAGGAGTTTTTTTGCTAATTCCAAGGTATTCTTACTGTTTATAGCAAATTTTGATTTGTTTCGTCTTGTTATAAAAAAATTTGCGGTACTTTTAGCTCAACGTCGTCTCCAAAGGGACTTGGTTTATTTCAGGGACAGGATCTTTGCTCAAAAGAAACTTGTACATTTTGTGCCAAAAACTATAGTTTCAAAGACTTAATTTCAGTTATCCTGTATTTTAGATCATCAGAACGGTGTTCCCAGTTTTTGCTTTCCACTTTTTTTGGGAGTCCCTTTTGGTGATTTGCAGTATACTAGTAGGCCTAAGATGTGTTTCGTAGCCAGATAGATGGATTTGAATCTGTTTATATTCAAGCAAAATAGGCAGGTTTTCAGATAGACAATTTTATTACTTATACTCTTACATGGACGTTAGAACTGTTGCTCTTATTGTTAAGTCTTCTAGTCTCCTTGCTTTCATTTGCTGGGGAGGGGGCTGCTCTGTCTGGGTTACACTCATTTTTTTAAAAGAAACAAAGGTCGATGTTGAGTACTTCAGTTTCTTAATGTTCTGGAAATTTCAATACTCATTGTTTCTTATAAGTTTCTTAATTATGATGTCATGAATGATGTTATGAAATGTTCGTGACTTTTTTTATCACGTCAAGAGATTCGCTTCCGTTCTGATGCTGTATTTTACAAAATTTCGTTGTTCTCAGTTTTATCACGATTTAATAGTTTCTTAATTTTTTTGCTTCGAGTACTGAAGTTTCTTAATTTTTTCTGACTGTCCAGTACTCGTTTCTTATAGCCAGTTTCTTATAAAAAAATGAGTGTATTTCTTTTATCTAGAGAGCTGGTTCATTATTAATCTCTACTCCATATAATCATGTAATTTCCTCTGCCTTCATCGTAGCTCTGTAGTTCTTCGTGTAGTTATGTAAGCACACTAAAAGGCTAGTTGCAACCCTTGTAGATAAATGTTATCATGAAAAACCATTTTGTTTGGGTTGATCGATGAGCGCGATAATGCACAGAACTTCAAATCAACTGGTTTCACGTGTTTAGTCCAACTTAATGTTGTAAAATCGTAATATTGTCGCTCGTTTAATCTCTATAAAATTCATTAAAAACCCTAAATAAGAACTTTAATATTTCTAATTTTACTGCACTAGACTTTCTTATATCTTTAATCGCATGCTACAACTTCCTTATTTTTCATTCTTATCCTCACTTAGGCCATCTTCAAAAATGGCGACGATTTGCGACAAGATCAGCTGATTCTTCAGATTATCACCCTTATGGACAAAGTGAGTGACTCTTCTGAGAAAAGATCCATTTTAACGGCGCCTTAGGAAGAACGAATCGAGATCTAATGAGTTGAGAAGGAAGAGCTTTTTGCCAGTTCGCATAAAATTATAGTATGAATGTGTCCGTTCTGAGCAACTGTTTGAATAGGGAGTTATCTACTGTTTCAACTTGAGACCCTCCTGAGCCACTTCGATATATCAACTAATTAGATGATGCTGCACGGGTCTATCAAAAGTTTCAGAAAATCTTTTGTTTGGTACCTAATTTATCATAAACTTGTTTTGATACCCAATGATCACTCGATGCTCTCACTCCTGTCTCAGTTAGATGCATTTCAATGGAAAGAATAGATTTTTATCGTTGTAAACTGGGTTCCACTTCAGATATTTGAAGCAAAAATATTTTCCCGAAGTCCTGCTTTCTACGGAATTTTTTGCGTCTTGATTAAAGCAAAATTGCAAAATCGTTCTTTGGGTGTTATGAAACATGACCCTAGTATGATTTCATCACATCAGATAGTTGCAAGATGTGCCTTTAGAGTATTTCTAGGATAAATACTTCCATAATGTCAATTTATAAGCTGGGTCGCCAAGAGGGGGGCAAAAGGGAAATTGCCCCAGGGCCTCGAGGTCTAGGGGGCCTCATAAAGTAATGAATTCCATTTTAGAAATGGAATTGATAAAATATCTTAAGAATATGCCTAAGATATTGAAACGTTCTAAACAATTGCAAGAAATGACTGCTAGAAATATTTTGAGATGGATTTTAAGCTAATCTGAAGAGCAGGGAACTCGTCTTTCGGTTTTGCCCCAGGGCCTCCGTAATCTCTCGGCGGCCCTGTTTACAATTACATGAGTCCATTCATAAGTAAAAGTACGTTTTCTTATTAGTACAAATTGAAATCCTCTTGCAGTTGCTTATGCGAGAGAACCTGGATTTGAAGTTGACCCCGTATAATGTATTGGCAACTGGAAGCTCTCAAGGTAAGGCCCTGCTCTAAACAAGATATTTGTTTTAGTCATTTGAATTTATTTGTGTCAGTAAATTGGCATAGTCAGAACTGCATTTATAGTTAAAATGAAACAATATTTTTAAGTTTATTGTAAACTAAATATTGCTGCTAATTTATATAATATGGTGTGGATTTCAATCTCAAATTTGTATTGATTCGCAACTATTTTCTAGATATTTAAAAATGACCCTCTTTATTTTTTCCAACCCATTTCCTTCACAAATTTTGATGAAGCTCCATATGACAGGTTGAAATATTAGTTAAATTTTACTTTATTATTAAATTTTGATTTTTCAAGCAAGATCTATTTATGTTGAAATACTTCTCGTCAACTTGCGCTGTTCCTGCCAATCGTCCATTTATTGTGTTTTTACTGGTTTGAAGCTTTGCGAAGTTTTACGACAGCAGATATTTTATCTTGCAAAAAAAGTCTGCAAAATATGTGATTTTCGTTTTCTGCCAATGAATTGAACTTCCTTTTTTGTCTACATGATTGTTTTTATTTCGATTGTTAAATTAGTTCTCATTAGCCTCATTGAATGATCAATTGACGTTCTGTCATTTTTGTCAGCTTTGTGCAAAGAAGACTTGATGGTTGCAACATAGTGTGAATCTCTGAGTTGCAACATAGGCCCGTCCTTTTTACACACCAAAACGTTGCAAAATTTTGGATACGTTCTATGAATCTAGTCATCTTTTAATTACCAGAATCTTACTATATTCTCTTTGATTCTTTTCTTTTCTTTCCATAATTTTCAGGTTTTGTACAGTTCATCAATTCAACACCAGTGGCTGAAATCCTTTCAGCTGACGGCAGCATACAAGTACGAATTATTTTTTTAAATTTTGCAGTTCAAATATAAAACCAAATCGATTCAATTCGTTCGATTGCAAAATGTTTGATTTACAAAGATTTGAATTGAAGAGGCATATTTTTAAAGAAGCTCGTTCGAATTAGCAAAAGTTACAATTTTACAAGCTCAAATTAGACAGAGTTGACTATAGAGTTTTTCGATGAGGATAACCATATAGCAGTTTTAGCCTGGAAAACCATAAAGCAAAATATCCAATCTGGGTAAGGAGGTTTTTGCATTTTCTCTGAAATTTGATTTTAGATAGTTTCTGGTTAAAAGAATTTCTATAATTTTTGAAAATTCAATTTTGATGCTTACCGTGAAAAAATAGTCAAAAAGTCGAAAATGTTTTATCTTGTTTCCTTTTACAGAACTTTTTCAGAAGGCATAACCCTATGGAAGGAGCATCTTACGGGATCCATCCCGACTGTATGGACACGTATATCAAAAGCTGTGGTTTGTTACTCCTTTAAAATTATATCCATGTTTTCTCTTATTATCTAAATTTTGTCATAGGGGCAATTTCGATTGTTGCATGCTATCGTTTTCGTGCTGTAGGCTAATTAAGTGATTTATATATCTTTTCCAAGAGGTCTTTCTCCGATTTCATAAGAATTTCTCTCCAAATTATAGCATCCTCTGCAACGTGCGCTGCAATGTTCATTGGCGCTGACATAGGTTGGAAAATGGGGGGGGGGGGCAATATTCAACACCCATAACACAAGGTTTTGAAAAAGCTTCATGTTTGCAAAAATATGGGAGGCCATGGCCACCCTTCCCCCTGCTCCACTTCGTCGGGACCCATATGTTTGTGCAGATTATATCTGAAGAATCCAACTTATGTTTTCTGCAGCCTGTGAGAGAATTTCGTATTCTTAACTCTTTTTTACACTTACATCGTCTTTGGTGACCACTTGCAATATTTCCACTTGTTTTTGGCCTCAAGGATAAGTCACAATCTTGCCTCGAGAATCATACATTATACTGGAGTTTGTACGTTCTCATGACATTTTATATCTGAACTATTGCAAGAAGCAAAACGTTTTTCATGTTTTCCTTTCAGCGGGATACTGTGTAATAACTTACATTCTTGGCGTTGGCGATCGACATTTGGACAATCTTATGCTTACCAAATCAGGTAAACTGGCGCTCCTCAAAGGCCGATAAAGCAATGACGTCGTCAAATTTATTTTTCAGAATCTTTTCAATTTGGACCATGTAATTTGAAATAACGACATAAAAAGAGCAATAACTCTAAGTATGCAATTTGGCTTGGTACAAGTTGTCTACGATATGGTCATTGAAAAACAAAAATGTTACTTTACTTCAGACCTATTGTTGTTTTTGCTTAGTTGATGAATTTAAGAACCAAGACCAAATTGAAGTAATTTGATATCAAGAGAACCTGTGTTTATGTCACCATACGGCAAGGCAGCATATGTACCAATTCTTTAATTGGCCAAGGGATTTTAATTTTCCATGCCTGACTGTGAATCAGACAACGAACAAACGCACCTCGCAGCTAGATATAGGCCTATTATTTCTTTCTGATGATTATTGAAAAGGTTAAAAATAGGCCTAAATCTAACTGTGTAAGCTCGTTTCCTGTCAAATTCTTGAACATGGACTGGTCCATAAGGCATGGAGAATTCAAGTCACTTAGCCAATCAAATGTTTGGACCTTATGCTGAGTAAACCATCCTTCGGCCGGTAGCAGCCTTACCATTATCATCGTAGTTTCTATCACTTTAAGAACATTGCTATTGTGTGTTCCTTCGCTTTGCAGGCAGCCTGTTTCACATTGACTTTGGTTATATTCTTGGACGAGATCCAAAGCCATTTCCTCCACCGATGAAGCTTAGTAAAGAAATGGTAATTGGATTTCAGTATTTAAATAGATTTGTAATGTTCAGCCCAAGAAGATTGTGCTAAGTCTTAGCAGTATGGTTTTGGTTTCTCGTCTTATTTGTTAGTTTTTCTCATCAAAGTTCCTACAATCATCGCAAAAATGCTGACAATGGCTCCTTATCTTTTCAGCCTTTATCCAATTTATTTTTCTGATTCAAGTCTTCCTAGCAAAAAAGATTACCTAAAATTGATTTCATTTATTCATCGTGAAATTTCAGTATTGACAGCTTATATTCTTTTTACTGCCATAAAGTGGTTAAACAACCTTTCTTTATTTAGCATTCCTGTGAAAATTGAATTTGTTTGAAGATGTTTCTTAAATTCTGATTCTTTAATGTTAAAAATCGAGACGTTCTTTGGACCTGAAATATCTCTGGTTCACCCCATTCCCCAAATGGAAAGATTATCATTAAATACAATTTACGTGATTTTTCGACCTATGTTGTGACTTTTATACACTGAAGAGTATCAGACAAAAACCTTAAGTATGACTCAAAATATTTGCTTTTTTCAATGGCATTTCTAACTTTGTACCACGAAAAAGATTGTTTAAAATTTACACGAAGTAATTGATTTGCATAAGCAACGTTTGTTTTTGCCAGGTTGAAGCGATGGGTGGAACCACTGGTGATTTTTACCCTGAATTCAGACGCCTCTGCTACACTGCTTTTCTGCATCTTCGAAGGTAACGAATGGCATTGCATATCTGTGGAGTAAATATCAATGAGCTTTCTTACCGGTTGCATAATTCTTTTTTCAGGGAGTAAACTGGCTTTGAACCAGACAGTTGTTGGCGCAGTTTCATTCAAAAGTTGTACTAAAGAGGTTTTTAATAAAATTTGGTTAATACTAAAGAGAAACATGAAAGGGAGTCGATTACAAATTCAGATTTTTGTGCATTAGCAAGGGCAAATTAAAAGGAAAGCCCATTTCGGTAGTAAAACCTATTTGGTTCTTTAATCAACAGTTTAAGCTGGCATTTATCTTCAAAGGCTAATTAAATATATCCTTGAAAGAAAGCTGACATGGCTGAAATCTGCTGTGACTGGAAAAGTATACCTCGTAAATATATTCAAAAACCAAATAATTGAAGTGAAACGTGTTTGACAGATTTTTCTTCTTTTTATGCGATGTAGGCTAACATATAACAGCCAAAAGTACTGAATTAACAAAGGGTACAGAACCTTAAAACGAAGCAAAACGTAAAAATAAATGAACGAGAACATGCTGAAAGTTTTGTTAATTGCTACCTTTGTAAAACCTATACAAAGTAACTTACAACGTTTATGTGTGAGGAAGTGGAGGGTTCTACAATCAGACAGTTATTTAACAAACTGAGATTGATTTTATGTTATTTCCTCATAAATGCCTCTTGAAGTTGGATTGCTTGATATCTTTTATTGATAAAAATGTTAACGTCTTTCACTGTGGCGTCACGGAGGCATCTGGGGCCCCAAGAAAAAAAACTAAACGGGGTCCCTATTTTTGAATTGCAAGAAGGTCCCATCCAATGCTGTAGAGCATGCCAAACACAGTAGCAAAATGCAAAAATGAAATTTGTCTCGTTAACCAGGGGGTATTGAGTTATAGAAGCTTCAGTTGAAGGTCTTTGAGATTTTCTAGAAATGAAATGAACTTGAGCGAAGTAATAAAAATATAGATTTGAAATATTTTATGTGTCCCGTTTGGTTGGGGGGAGAGGGGAGGGTTAGGGCCTTGTTTATCGAATGAAAAGGGCCGGGAATTGCGTTATGCTACAGGTCTTTCATATTTTCATATTTCATATTTTCTTAACGTAGTTCTCAATTACTTCTTAGTTTTTTGTTTTTTCTGCTAGATATGCCAATTTGATCTTAAATCTGTTTGCCTTAATGGTTGATGCTACCGTTCCGGACATTGCCCTAGAACCAGACAAAACTGTCAAAAAGGTATTTACACTCTTTTCTATAAGAACCAGTAAATTGAAGTTCAGGCAGACTGTTTTTATTTTCTTTTTTTTCTTGGATTAATACGGTGTAAGCAGTGCGACTGCAAGGTTTTCTTGCTCTAGGGCGGTGTTCAGACCTCATTTGCCAACAAAGTGAGTGAGAGATCCTTCATTTGCCGTCAAGTTTGAATATTCACCGAAAAAGCACCCAAACATGGCTAAAAATCCTTGTTTTTTAGATAAAATGTTGTTCATAATTGCATTTTACAGTAGCTCAGCCTCAGCTTGTTCTCAATTTTTGACCAATAATGAGGCTCATGTTCTTATAAGATTGTTCTTATAAAAAGAGAGTTTATGTGCACAATTGCACTACACAAATATCCGCAGAGATGAATTAGCGCTAAAACCAATCTTGGTTCAAAGCTGGCAGGAATTTCATTAGAATAAATACAGTGTCAGACCCTAAGACACGATTTACAATATTTCTTTGTTCTGTTTTTCAAGATTTCGAATGAGCTAAAGATGAAAAATAATTTGGTTGTAACAGAATCTCCTTAAGTTGCCACTCCTTGCATTAGCAACAAGGGACTTTTGTCATTATGTTTTTTGCTTGATTGAGGATTTTCTGATATCCTTATTAATGTGACATTTAAAGGTTTTTTCAAAAATACACTTAATATGAACACATCGTGTAACTACTTTTTTGTTTGCTACTCCTGATAGTACAAAAAAGTGGAAAAAATTTGTTGAAAATGTTTCATATTCTGAACTGTTCTACCAGACAATTAAGACGTTTGTTCAGTGTGTAAAATTTCCGTGTTATCTTGAAGGTTTCTGAAGAGTGCTTTCCAAAATGGCTAGACAGTAAAGTATTGTTTCGACATCTCTAGGTTTCAAATGAGCCTACTGAATTGCCGTATTTCCTCTAAAGAACGCCGCAGCCTTTATTACAAAATACCACTTTTGGATGCGGCGTTTAATAGAGGGTGGTGTTTGTCAGAGGGCGGCGTTTATTAGAGGAAATGCGGTAAAATTAAGTAGAAGAGAGAAGGTTTTTGATATTTCGGTGTTCTTTGACCAGGTGCAAGACAAATTTAGGCTTGATCTCAGCGATGAAGAAGCCGTGCAGTATCTACAAGCATTAATCGATGAAAGTGTTAGTGCTGTCTTTGCATCGGTCGTCGAACAAATTCACAAATGGGCCCAGGTGAGAAATGTTTTCTTGGCATTGGTTGTTTTCGTGGGAATAGCATTCAAATATTCTATACGTGATCATATGGCCTCAGGCCTCATAAGGCACTTTTACTATTGGTTTGTTTCGATCGAAATACGAAGGATGCCTAATCGATCCGGACTTTACCAGGAAATATTTAGATTTAGTCATTCTATCTATTACTATTCCCAAGTATTACTACCCCCTCCCCCCCCCCCAGAATAATATTGGTAGTTTAGGCAAATATTATACAAATCACACAAAAAGACCTAATTCCTCATCTCTTACATTGTTTTATGATAAACCAACATTGTTCCCAGAGAGACAAGGGGATGGCTTAACTTGCCCTTAAACATTGAGATTAGTGTTCCAGATTTAACCTAGTGACAGTTGATTTGTCGAAGTTGATTTTATCTGCTAACTGTGTCATTATAATCAATATGTTTCTTTTTTAATTTTTCTCTTTTCTATCCACAGTATTGGAGGCGATAATCAAATGATTGATGATTATCTGAAAAGCCAGACGCCCGGTGCGTCAATTGCCAGACGCCCGGTGGCATGGGCTCACCTGTTAAAGGTCATCATTGTTTCATATGGTGTAATCTATTGCAGAGAATTATAATGTATGGATCAGTTGAAAAGGGTTATTTTAGAGATTGCAATATGGTACTCAAAACCATCCATCTATGAAACCATCCAATGACTTTTGTAAAATTATATATGTAAAATCTTGTAAAATTCCGCATTAAAATGTGGAAAATACATCAAATGTTTTATTATAGTGTTGTTTTGCTCGAGGGGCAAATCTCTCCAAGAAAATCTCGTACACCTTTTGTGAATATCCTATTTTTTTATCTGAAAATCCTATTTTTTTATCTGAAAAACCCCGGAAATCCTTTTGTTTTACGCAAAATCTCGAACGCTATTTGCAAGAGTGAATCGAACGTCTGTTTTGCTTTTTCATATTGTCAGTCAACACACTGAAAGTAAATTTTGAGAATTTCAATGTTTTAAATTCAAATCTATAAAATTAATTATTTCTTTTTCCTAGAATTTCTTATAATGTGGGTAATTTCCCTTAGCTTTTTGAAAAAAGAAAAATTTCATTGCTAGGGCCAGTGTGATGGTTTTGCGAAAGTTCTGCCTTCTCTTACTCTCGTTTGTGCAAGCCTTCGAACCCTCGTCCATCCATTAAATCCACATGAAAATTTGAATTTTTTAAATTAATCTCGGATGGTGTTGTGCTATTATAGATCTAGTCTTGTGCACGTGTGCCTGTAAATTGTCTTATTGTCTATACAATTTTTGATTAAATGTCTTCTGATAATCCAAATAAATTTGTCTTCCTTTCTTTCTGGCAGTAACAAACGGGTGGTTATTAAAAGAGGAAGTTTAAAATGCAAGGGTATTCACTGAAACTTTTGGTAGTTATATCCTGCTGTAAATGCAGATTTGCATTTGTATAAAAAGTCACAATTGGTTTATGTAGGTTCTTATTGAAAATTACTGTTTACCAGACTGTTCTAAACTGCTCGATGCCGTATAGTCAGACAGGCACCGCAGAGCGTTGTGAAAAGTTGGGGTCTAAAAACGTCGAGGGGCTAAAACCGAAACAAAAGAGGCTTTACTGGTGGTTCACTTCTTAATATTTTGCATATTCTGCAAAAAGTGGACCTAAAGCCTCCCCCCAGCCCCCCCCCCCTGATTAGCGTAAAGAACAGGACGGTTTTAAATTGCTGCTCCGCGTTCCACGTTTAATGCGATCATCTTGCCTCATCAGCTGTAGATTCCTCCTATTTAACAAGTGTTAAATAGATATCATGGTTCAATACATCCCACTTAAAGCATCAGAAAAGTTTAAATTGTAAGCTTACGTTCATCCATCTTTTCCTGAGAAGATTTCTTGGCTGGTACACCATTTGTGTCCGGTCGATTATCATAATCATCTAAGATTGTCTAGCGGATTTTCATAAAATACTGCAATCGCAATTAAAGACTTTATTTGTGATTTTGTAATTTATTTCTATCAAAATTATCTGTATATCAAATCGAGTAGCAACGTTAAAAAAGGTTTTAGGAATCCCTAAATGTTTTAGTTCGGGTTATGAAGGACAAAGGGGCAAAAAGACCCCAGAAAATTGATCCCTGGGGCCTTTTAAATATTTTTGAAATGGCTTTGAGAAAAAGCAAACTTTTGAGTAAACTAAAGCTTTTCGTCTGACACTCTTCAGAGTATAAAACTTCAGAACACAGATCGAAAATTCAATGCTAGGAAATATATATATATATCCAGTGGTGGATCGAAATATATTTTTTAATTAATTTTTAAAATATTATTAAAATTTCTACACGTGTCCTGTTATGGGATGTATGCATCTTAAATTTGCCAGCAGTTACTGCATGTTGATCCTTTAAGAATCTAGAAGGCTATATAGACCCCTTTAATGAGACACTCCTATCTATCTTTTTCACCATTTTGAAAACAAGCCTCACATATAACGGGGGCCCTAACGAAGGTAAATCAAAAAGGTCGAGCGAAATTTAGTCATCAATAATTTATGATAATAGATTCGGCTTAATGCAGCCTCTATTTCATTTGAAAAGAAAACAAACTGAAGAGCGGTTTGATGTGGCTTTCGACGAATTATGGAAGGCTGTTTGAAGTTAAATCAGTAAGACTGGGCATTGACAATGGATTAGAATCCAAAGCCGATTTGAACTGACCACGGCAACTATTCCGGTTTTGCTAAACACAGTTATGTGAATATGCGACACATCAAAACATAATGAACGCGAACAAAATTGCAGTTGGAGGAACCGCCGCTGCATCTAAAAGGTTGGCAGCTCACTTGCATTATAGAAAATTTTGTATTTGTGCCTTTCATTTATCATATCGATTATTTAGCTCTGTTTATTAATTTCGAAATGACTATTCAAGCTGTCTTATGTATACAATAATTTTTACTTGAGCACACCTCTTTAGAAGAGTCTTTAAATTCTCTAGCCGTAGGGGGTCGACAAAAAATGCATTTACTTGAGATACATTTCAACGACCTCTAATTTTGTCTGTAAAATCTCAGGTAACTTCCTGCTTTCCATTTAATGATTGTATCAGGGTGTCAAGCAGAAATTTGGTTGATATTTTTGAGTGCAATTTGAGTGCCGACAATATGCCGTTCATCAAACAAGTTTGAAGTTAGAAAATTTGGATTGTACTTTATTGGAGCGCCAACAATCTTATTTAAACAGCTATGCTGCTCATCAAATAAGTTCGAAATTTTTTGTCGAAGGAAAATGTCGTTAAATTGGAAATCTTTTTATTAAAATCTCACCACGAAGCTTGCCATCCAAAAGCTGAAAAAACATACAATTGATTTTCTCCCAATGGAAAGTGTTTATTGATTGGATTACAAAACCATATCAAAGTCATAAATTAATTTGCGACTGGTGGTTTTTAACATATCTAATTTGGCAGTGTTTGATTGTTTTCCGTTAATTATTTAATCTCAAGCCATTTGGCTTTTTTGTATTTTTACTCAGTTTACCTACAAAGGTATTATTCTGATATTATACAAATTTATTGGGCAGTGTCAATTTGATTCTCAATATTAGCTTTGTGACTAGATTTTTTGCTATGTTTTATTTCATTAGCATTGTGTCTGAGCAATTGCACCCAAAAATCAAGGACACCTCTTTTAGTTTTAAGTCTAAGTATAATGAAGGTTAACTGGTACATGGTGCTGCCACATTTGAAAGGTGGCCCTTGCTTATTCAATTTCAATAGTGGAATTGGTTTGCTTAATATTAAACTCATAGTTGTTGAATCTTTAAATGAAACAGTATCACTGCCATGAAGTTTTCAATATTTCCAATGCCATAAAACCTCTTGTTATTTTATAATTTTTTAAGAAATAGCACACAGGATTTCTAAATAGTGTGTATTTTTACCTGGACATAAACACTGAATTGATAGTTTTTCTGTTAAATGTTTTGTTCAAAGAAATTTGTGTAACCTGAAACATATTCAACAATAATAGTTAGCATTAATATGTTCTGATTGCTTCTTTTATATTTCTCTTAAAATTTTGATCTGTATCCTTTAGCTTTTTAGGTACTTTAAGATCTGCCCTATCATATTTTGTTTAGTTTTGGATAATCAACAAAATAGAAAAAGCTGCTGTCTTTTATTTGATAAATGGAATAAGATGGCTTTAAGTTTCTACTCTTGGAGATTCATTGCTATTGCAAATAGGAAACTATATTTTTGTCTATATATATAGCAACAATTATTTAGCAGCAGGCCAGAAAACATTAGTTGCCTTGTCCCCATTTTCATTATATTTATTTAAGCAGAGTTCTTTTTTAACAAGATGTTTTGTAATTATACAATGTGTAATATGAAAATTACTGTTTACCAGTCTGTGTGCTATATATACTGTATAAGCAGTGTTGTAGTCACTTTTGATGTATAGAACAGGATGGTTCTAAGTTACTTCATCCGGTTCTATACATCAAATAGCGTATATCTAATATGAAGATGTTTTGAAAACAAAGCAAAAGTTTTAATCCAAAGGTTTTTTTGTAGCAAGGATAAAGACAATTTTTGGTTAATTATTTAACCGTTTTTGCTTTGGATTGTTTTTTGCTATGAAAATTCACAGTTTAAAGGCAGTTTGTGATGTTGTTCATTGGCTTTTTGTTTGTTAAATTCTGATGGTACTCAAAATTAGAGAAGCACAAAAAATTAGCATAACTGACCAGTGACAGAGAGATTACCCATGATTTGTTTTGACATTTGACATCAATCAATCAATCTGACAAAGCGTTTTTTCCTTTGTTTTGGTAAACCTTCTCCTTTGTGAATGGTGCACCACACTACCTTGAAAATTTGATTAAAGCTATCAATAGACAATTTACATTGTAATTAATTCTAAAATCTTCATTGAAAGACAAACAGGTTTGTTCTGCACTTCTGTTCATACATATAATACCCCATAAATTAAAGTTTAGAACTACCAAGCAGGCAAAATGTAGAACCAATGTATTCCTTGAAAAACAATCCTATTCAAGTACTACTTTTTTTACCCTAAGGGCCTCATCCATTGTCATAAATATATTGATGCCAGATTTTTAAGTTTTGCAGCCTGTTTCTTTTCATTGCTCAACAAAAATGACAATGGGCATTTTTCTTGAGCAATGCTGCTAAGTCTGCATGGGGTTTTCTGGGAGAACACCCTCACCCACATCAGATAATTTACTGGTTTTTTTCTTGGCCACAGTGATAATCAAGATACTGGAATAGCTGCTTAACTGACCTTTTCCAAACAAGCAATGTTTTTCCTTTATATAATTTCATCAAGAATTAAAAGTTCCTCATTCATTCCAGATATGATCTGGGTTGTGTGTTCTCCTTGCTTGCATGAAGACCTATTTATCTTTGGACTAAAAACCACTCATTTTATTCCAACAGCAAATTTTTCCACCCATAAATGGGTGACAATGGTAGGCTTGAAAATGAATTATCTCTAGTGTATTTAATAGCAGTTGTGAATGGCGGCAACCCAGGTATACCTCCCTTTGTACTGTAGGGTTGTTTGGGAGGGGGGTGGTTTTTATAAAATATGCCAAAAGTTTTAAAAGATGCAAAAACAAGTTTTACGAAGAGGATAGAGGAAAAAAATTTGAATGGTAAATAAAATTGTTGATTCTCTAGGCTACTTGGTATCCTGATTTTTCTCAAACACACAACCTATTTTCAAACTGCGCCTGATTTTTCCAACCTCCGTTCATGTTATAAGACAATTTTCCGACCCCATCATACATTTGTCTGCTTTTAGAAAATGTTACATCCCCCTTTCACTTTAGAGTTCTCAAAGAAGCTTATTGACACAAATATACTCTATTTGTACGTTGCGTGTGGTACTTTATCCAAAATAGCGATAATATAGTTATCAAATAAATTGAGCACCAGAATAAAAATAAAACAGTCAAACAATTTTATTTTCATTATGGTACTATAGTAGAATATAACTAGGGATTTAAGTAAAATTGCACTATTTCCTTTTTTCCTAGTAAAATTTTGCTTAAATTCCTAGTTATAGTTCATTTACTGTCGAATTGACTGGAATTAAAACCCATATTCAAACAAAATTGCAAATTTTAGAGCACGCTCCCAGGACATCTTAGCCTGACCGTTCAGCCAAGTCTGATGATGGCATATTAGCTGTGAAGGACCGGGTTGAAACTTTGCAACGTCTGCAGCTGTTGCTTGCGCAATATATCACTGGTGTATGGACGAATTGTTAATTACAACAATCGACGACTTTTGCTCACCAGCTTTTCTAGGGAAGCATATTACTGCGGAGTTTCAACGTTTTTCTTATGGAAGCCAGAAAGCTCAATGGCAGATTTGAGTTGGTCCTTATGAAGGATTACGAAAGCGATTTGCTTTATACGGTTATTTCGTGGAATCCACATCTCGTTGGCGCTAACTGTTATTATCTTAAAGCATACTGATACAAGAGTATTCCTCGAAAAATAGGATTTCTTATCGTTCTGATCCTAGAAATCATTATCCTGATCATAAAAGTTCCAAATCTGCCATAAATGTCGTATTTGTCAAAGGGAAATCGCTTGGGTTTAAGTAATTTAAAAATTCGATAGGAAACATTATATGTCGTTTTGTTTTGGAATAAAAACAAGTGGTTGGTTATGATGATGATGTTGATCATTTATTGTTTGGATTGCCGATCATGATGATGATGTTGATCGATAATAATTGATACCGGATCAATTACGACATATAATTGATACCGGATCATACAACTTTGCAGTGCCCCGTCACATCATTGTTTTTCAAGCACTAATCCTTGGATAATTTGCTGCAATGTGGTTGCGAATAGCTCCCTAATTTGTCAACTTTGATCGATGCAGCTTGATCGCGTCCTCACTAGCCAACGAAGAGATCTGCCTAAAAGTCACTAATTCCCAGCTGAAGATTTTCACAATGCAATGGTGTATTCTGCAGACAATCTCTGTTTGAGAAAACATTTGCAATCGTCTAAGCCCTCATTCGTTGTTGAAGAGGATTTTATCAGTGTCGGTCTGTTTGCTCTGTTTTTAATAGTTTTAGGGGCCATTGAGTCCTGCTAACCTGCAAATAATTGCAGTTAACAAAGCATCGTGCAAGTTCGCTTCAGCTAGTGCACAAACTCAGCCGGTTGATCGGCGATCTGTACACGCCAGTCATGTCAGGTACTGACAAAACGTGGGTATAAATGCCTGGAAAATACTATTTTTTCGCCTATAAATAGTCTTCTGGCTTAGAAAATATTATATTTTGTAGATAAACAGAATCTTAGGACTAAGTGTATCATTCAGTACCATGTGTTCCATATTTTGTGCCATTTTAAAATATTGCATTTCGACAAACTTACTCGATATATTTTTTGTTGATGCAAAGATTTAATGGTGCAAGAGAATGTGGTCAAATGTGTATGCTATGGTGTTATCCTCATGAGTTTTAACCATTTCAGTTTTTGTTAGTGTTGTGCATTAAAAGCAAGATCGTGCTGCTATTTTCACTGTAAAACCAGTGGAAGCGAATTTTACTGCGTGTAATTTTTGAAATTCTTGGTTTCATGATATCTTGAGTTTTTACTTTTTCTTCACAGCAACCGACTCCACTCATTGTTGGACCAGCTGGAGAAAGTATGGCCACTGGCAGTGCCTGATCCTCCAAGCGACAAAGATATCGAGCACGTGAGGTACATTTCTAACAAGCTCCAGCAACTACTCTCGTCGCAAGGTTTGTTTCTTTACGTAGCTTTCTTACAAGCGTTCAAACCATAAACTGTGAACTCCTTTATTGAGGCAAAACCGCCGTAGACAAAAGCTGAATTTATGTATACGTACACGCCAGATGTTACCGCCATTTTTCAAGCAGCATTGCACCAAGGCACTGTTGAAGGGGTTCGATTGGATGGATGAAACTCGAGTGATAGAAAGGTTTTTTCTGGGCCTGTAGGGTGTTTAATCAGCAAACGTGTGTGCCAAAAGGGAAAATTACGCGGCACACCTACTCAATTGAAGAATTTCGAGCTTGAAACTCTTTTGATTTAGCAAACCATATTTGATCTTCAATTTTATGTTTTAATTATCAAAGAAGATCCCTCCAATGCAACTTAAAAACAAAGCGGATATTGTAATAAAGAATGCAGCACTCCACCTCTAAGCTTTAGAACATTTCTAGACTAGTACACTGATGTTTTTCTTAGAAAAAAAATTGACAATCAATTTAGTTTAGCGTGTTGCACCTCGATGACTAATGACCAAAAACTAATTTAATGAAATTACAACTTTTTACAATGGAAGGTTAAATATAATCTCGACGTTTCGAACATAACTCTTCATTAATTTTTGTTCATAAAATTTGACCTCAGCTCAACCGTTGGGTCCTTGTTATTACAATTTTATTCGCTTCTTGTTAGCACTGATCCCAACAGAAATCCCCCCTTTCTCAACGAGCCTTCCAAATGCACCCTACGATATTATTCTGTCATGTTTCGTCCTGTGATTAAGGAAATCCTTGTCCATATTTTCAAAATGCTGATGAAACAGACCCTATGGCAGATTAGGTTTTAACAGGAATATTATCCAAATTCAATTTACTTATATTACTTTATTTTAACCTTTAAACATGAATATTGTTTACATTCATTTTGCCCATATTTCTTTTCTTGTTTTCACCCATTTTCTGGTACTCCAGTTTGGCAAGATTGAATTTATGCGTGCAGAGCTGTATTTGAGAAAATATACTGAGAGCATGTGAGCTTACCAGTTTAGACACACAGTGTCACGAGTTGTCGCCTCGAGTCCTGTCCTGGTCATCCCTTCGCTCACAGTTTCTCCCAGTATATTATCATATGCAGACGTTTATTCAGACGATTCCGTTCTTCATTGCAGATATTTCATGTTTCTTTTCAAAAATAGCTTGAAACCACCAGTTGTTATTTCTCGTTAAAGGCACTTTGTCCCGACGCATTTCGCTGGCCATTTAATTTTCCCATTGGTTGGATTACACAATAGACCTATTGTTACGTAACTGATCTGCAATGTAAGGCTAGTTCACAATGTTTTCTCAATTAGAAACGCGCTGCAGGGCCTAAAACGCTGACAGGTTGACTGACGGGACATAGCGCCTTTAATATAATCCGTCCTTCCATTTTTTCTGTTCAAGGAGTAATTATGATCAATTCGCGAGTGCTTCTAGTCATTTTACATTCGACATCTTTTTACTTGACTCACTTAGAACCTTCAGTTTTCAGTTAATTACATCAGGGGTGTTGGTCAATCGAGGTAGGAAGCCTTGGTTGAAAAAACCCTAACCCTGTGAAATTCACCCTTTTTGCATAAGTCTCTAGGTTTAGGCAAGTGAAAAGTTTTAACTTTCTTTAACTTGTTTTCTGCTTTTCAATTTTCTAGAAAAATGCCGAAAAGAGCTGATCAACAAAAACCCCAATGGAGTGTACAAAATGCTGACAGCGCTGGAGGTATGCAATTTTATTTCCAATTTTAATCAAGATATCAATTGGAGAAAAAAGGAGTAGAAATACGAGCTTGCTGTAAGCGTCACTTCTCTTTACTCTTTGTTCCACCTCAATTTGCACCTGAACGAATATTTAACCATTATTAAGCTTTCTATCCTTGGCAGTATTAAATAATATAAAACTCCCAGGGGCTTATTAAACTCCTAGGCTTTAAAGCCCCCAGGAATTGTGTAGCCCCTAGGGGGTAATATTATTCTTGAGGCTCTACGTATGGGTTAATTAGAGCGGGGCCTTATTCCAAAAGTTGTTCAGGAATGGTATAGCCCCCCAGGGGCTTCTATAAATTTGGAGGCCCTACGTATGGGTTTATTAGAGAGGGGGCTTTATTCCATAAGTTGTAGAGGTGCGTGATGACTTTACATTCGGGTTCAATTATTTTGGTACCTGCCTTTTCAAAGATGCTTGACTGGTTGTTCCAGAAGCACATACTGTTTTTTTAGTCTCTAAGGCCTCCTTCGCAATGACTGGCAAACTATTAAAAGTTAACTTGAGTAACTGACATTAGAAATAGGGTTTATTTAACAAGAGAACAGTTAGCTCTTGCCTTTATGTTTTTCCCTCTGCTTATACTGTCTGTCTCATATCAGATTGTGGGGTGGGGGTGGGGGGGGGGGGTGTGGCTTTATAGAGGTCAAATTTATGTTTTCGATAGACAGGGATACTATGAAGACCTTTTACAGCCAATGAAAAGTTGAGCAAGTATTCTGACTATCGTCAATGAATAGAAGATTTGTCGAAAAGATTTGCATACACTTTCCAAGGTTGATTATGGCAGTTCACCGGTACAATGTCGATGCAAAAACTTTATAGCAAAGCCACAATTGAGCAATTCTGCTTGAAATTTTTAATGACAAATATCTAGAGATTATAGCATGAAAACACTTTTAAAAATTGCTAGCTCTATTCGCAAATTTGAAATTAATCAAAATATTTTCCGAGAGGTTACTATATGGGAAAAGAAAAGCACAAAAATATCTAGATATAAAAATATGTCTTGTGCCCATCTGCCTGACTTACCCAAGCCAAATTCGATCACATTTTTTGCTCTAACTTTGATAGATGGAAACTTTGAAAGATTAACATAGAAATATTTTTGGTCTATAAATCACAGGTACACAACTGCATCATATTTTAGTTCATGCTTAATATCGTATGTTTATATTTTTTGAGTATCCATTTTATTTATTCTGTTTGTTTGCGGTAGGCCACATCAAAATGGGACATCCAGGCGACGTACAACCTCGTTTCTTGTTTCAACGAACTCCTCACTTCTGGTAAGTCATCTTATAACCAACTCTTGTCCGGCATTTTTTAAACAGAATCGAGACTTCATCGTGAAGTTCTCGTTACCAGTTTAAAAACTATTGTACCGTTGCATAAAATAAGAAGGATCTCAATTTATGAAGGGTCTCTGTGCCAGTGGTCTGTTTGGAGAGCCTTAATCAAAATGATGAGCGTCTTGATGGCTAACTTTGGTCGACTCACAACATTTTCTTTGCACGAGTTAAATCTGGGAGATCTTGGGTTTTTCACGCACGGATGCAACATTTTTCATTATTTCTTGTCACAACAAACCGGCCCTGAATCAAAATCATTGCGCGGCATATTTGAACCTGCCGTACGCGTTTTATCGAAATTCTATTACGAAATTGTAGTTTTTTCACTTTTTAGCGGCAGAAACCGAGTTTTGAATGTACATTTAAGCTTTACGAATAAGATTGTCGAAATTTTATCAATTCTGATTCAATACTTTGTTTACATTAACACAAAAAACGTTTTTGATTGGAGCAATTTTTATTGTCAATAATTTTTATTCGGAGAACACTAATGAAATTTTAGTGATAATTTTATGCTACTGAAACGGAATGTCATATTAAATTACACTGAGATACATATGAGCGACTGACACTAATTATGTTTTTTACTCAGATTGAATTATATTTTGATTATTCTTTATTAAAACCATTTTATCGAAGAGGACAATAAAGCTTGAAGCAGGAACCAAATTACTTTAACTTGACTAATTCACGAAAAATTTTATTCGGACGTGAATCTTTCAGACAGAGTCTAGAAAAGTTTTTAACCTTCCTCCAGACAAAAACATCCTAGAAGGCAAACCTTCCTCACAAAACATTATAAACTGGGCGTTGCTTGGGTGTGTCATATGAGCTTCTATTGTTTTTCCTGTACTTTCCTCCGGTCAGTGGCCGTGCAACCGTAATGTTTTCCTGACTCTTCTTTCAGAGAGAATCGCACATTTTATGATGCAATTCTGTCTCATACTGCCATCGTCTGTAAAAGAGGCGATTAAAATGCTGCAAATACATTGAATTTTTTATCAGCAAGATTATTCTCAGCCATTATTATTCTTCTTCTCGAGGTCGCAGAATTAATTCACACAATAGTAAATGTTCGATTTAGGCTGTAAAATTTCCAAGCATGCAGCCTCCTCAAACAATACAATCTTGATTTTGAATTTCTCGAGCGGAGGTTTTTTAGAATCACCAATTATTGATTTATATGAATGATAAATCTCTGCCTGTTTTGTAGATAACTTTTTTCTCGTGTAAGATATTGCGTTTACCTTGCTCGGTCAGAAACCATTAGTTGAATTTATTTGTATCATATATAGACGATTTGCTTGTAAATGACGGAAACGAGACTCTCACATTTTTGTCATGTCCAGTTTTTACATTGCAGCCACCATTTCTCACAAGTTATCAAATGTTTAAATCTTTTCAGGTTTGTTCTTAAACATACAACCATCCCTCTCTAATTCTGGTCATTATTTCCCAACATCAATAAGTATATAAATAAATCCGCTTGCTCTCGCTTCCTAGAAACCAAATGCTATCTTTATAGGAACAACCAATTAATCATCTGTTGCTTAGATATTTTGAGCGAGATGCATTATTTTGTTAAAAGTCCCAGAGAAAGTCACAGCCTTAAATGACACGAGAACACGAAACCGTACCTTAACTGACACGGGGACTTAAAACCACACCTTCATTTCTATGGGGACAGGGAGCTTTACGTTTAATGATACGGGGACACGAAGCTACACCTTTACTGACACCACAGAATAGAAAATTCGTATTTCCTGTTCTGTGCTGACACGGGGACACGAAATTATACCTTTACTGACACGATGATATTAAACTATGCCTTTACTGGCACGAGGATATAAAATTATACCTTAAATGACACGATTACACGAAACTACACCTTTACTGACACCACAGAATAGAAAATTCGTATTTCCTATTCTGTGCTGACACGGGGACACGAAATTATACCTTTACTGACACGATGATATTAAACTATGCCTTTACTGACACGAGGATATGAAATTATATCTTAAATGACACGAGGAGATAAAAACATGTCTTTAATCACGCGAGAGCATATCTTACTGACATGAGTACCCGAAACCATTTCTTAATATATAGATACTAGGACACTAAACCATACCTTTAATTACAAAGAGAAAAAGCTAAACTGTGAAATTTTACCGTAAAAATTTAAAAAACATGGATTTATGAACAAACACTAATCGTCCTGTATAGATTTTGTTCATTGTGAAATGAATGGGTTCTTTTTGCTGCAAAAATCAGTAAATAAATCGGTGAATGAATCAGCTGCAATGAATTGCAACAAGCTAATCTTGTAGAGATGTAATTTTATTTTTTTATTTGCTCGAGGAGAAAGAAAACGTTTTGGTCATGTCTCTACAAGCGAACACAGCCATTTGTTAATGCAATCTCGATCAGAACTGCACTTGGATAACCACTGCGAATTTTTTTTTATTTTTACATTGCTTTTGCTTAATTATTTAAGAGGCACTGTGTTGGTAAGGACTGCATTGTTTGTGAAATCGAAAAAAGTCAACAATTACTCTTTGGACACAACAGACACCATAATCCATAATTATTCACACAAAATATGTCAAAGGGCATGGCCAAAGGCGTGCACACCACAACGTTTTAACAAGATTCAATTTGGTCAATTTTATGACAAGCTTCCACTACTCTTCTGAATTATTACAAATTTACTCGAGTTTTTGTGTTATTGTCATCCAAAACATTCGATAAGACTGGTACTAAATTTGCGTAGTTACTTTACATTATCTTCACTGTATGTTACAAAAGTCTTTGTTTTATCAATATTCAGGGAAATATTCAAAAGCTTCATGTTCTGACTTTACCGTTACCTCGTTTCCGAAAGGAGATTAGTTAATAATGAAATACAAATTGCTTGTTGCAAACAACGTACTTCTAACTAGCAGGGCTGGAAAATGTCCGGCAGCGCCCAAAACTGTATTGAAGTGTCCATTATTATTCATACTTATTATTCTACTGGCATTCGCATAAATTTTTTATCGCTAGCTTAATAGAATGTAACCGTTTTGGGCTTACATCTTTGCCTCTAGCACCAGCCCTGGTTTTTAACGTTACTTTTAACCACTTAGAAATAAAATAGTATTTTTACATGCTGTATGAACTACTAGCTTTGATGATAAAAATGAGCAGCAAACATGAAACGCAGAACAAGATAAAGGATACATCAATACTTCAAAAGTATCTAGTTTGCTAGTGCTGATATGAAATTTAATCAAAGTTATTATAGATTTAATATCTACTAACTTTAACCTTGAAAACAAACTATGAGTATGTTCTCGATCACGTTCTCCTTTATCATCTTATAAAGTATAAACAAAATGATTGCTGTTCGAATAGCTACGATCAAAAATCGAGGAACAACAATTAGTTCTTTTTTAGTATGATAGTTTATTTTTAGGACAAATGTTTAAACAAATCAAGCAACTCAAAATATCACTTTCAGTGGCTGGAAACTTTGTCGAAGCTTCGCAGGAAATTTTGGATTTTTTTTATTTTGGTGCCAGGAAGAAAAATCTTTTTTGAAGCCCTTCTAACTATTCTGCTTTTTCCTTTATTATAAAAAATAATTTACGTCTTACGAAAAATAGATCATAAATGTATCTGAATTCGTTTGTACAGCTTTATTTGCTGGTTAACTATTCGTATTGGTAGACCAGAGTAAAAGAATTACAATTTGACCGTGTGATTTCCTTAGAGTGGTTGTTTCGTAAAATGCTTTAAGTTTTTCCTTCAAAATATACGCATGGTTTCAAAGTAACTTGATTGGTTAACATTTTTTGGACGTATTTCAATCTGAGAAGCATCGTTCAGGATTCCAGTTTTTCTCAGTTCAAATGCTTTAGCAACAAATCAACTCTAGACCATCGGCGGTTATCATCTAACCATATTTAGGATTAAGGACAACTAGGGGACTGTAGGGGAAACTTGTACAGTATCGATTTTGGTAAAGCCCGATCGTCGTTCCACCTAGCAGTTTTAGAATCTATCTACATAAGCACGAAAAAACCGCTACTGTGTAGACAAAAGGAGTTCGTTTTCACCTTAGGACTCCACTGGTAACATTCTAATAGGCAAGCGGCACTGATTGGTCAACCTTTACAGTCATGTGCTCGTGTTTCTGATTGGCCTATTTCGATCCACAACTGGGTATATATATTTCTTAGCGTAGAGTTTTCGATCTATGTTCCGGCCTTTTAAAACTCTGAAGAGTGTCAGACGAAAAGCTTTAGTTTACTAAATGTTTGCTTTTTTCAAAGCCATTTACAAGTTTTGTACCACCAAAAGATTGTTAGTATCGATTTTGTTTTTCGTCTGACTTCGAAGGAAAAATATTTTTTAATGTGATTCTATTGTTCAATACTGCTTTAAAGCAAACCAAAAGTTAGTCTTTGGCATTCTTTTTTGTAAAACTGGCGTTCCTTGTTGGTAAAAAGGCATTTTCTTACAGACAAGTGGCATAGCCTAAACACTTTTTACTACGGTAGTGGCTGGCGCCGCCAATGGCTGCTTGGATCATTGTCTTTTAAGATGTATCGGTGCACAGGGAGTTTTTTTATTATGGTTTTGTTACAAGGTAGGCATAAGCAGGGACCGCGCACCACTCTAAAAGTGGAGGGGCTGAAATGGGTGTGACAGAAAATTTTTTGAGGCGACGCCCCCTTGAACGCCGAAAAACACCCCTTTTAGAAAATGCTTGCTTATTTCTATTGAATTATTATAAACAGTTTGGTTCAGAGAAGATATCAATAACTATAAAAATAGATAGAATTAGCTCGAGGGTAATAAAAAGCCAAGCTAACCAAGTTGGAAAATACATGAGATCATTAAACAAGATGAAACACCTAGAAAAAGAACAAAAATGGCTCCCAGTCAATGAGAAGTGCTACTACATAGGAGTAAACTACCCAAAGTTGCGTTAGAGTAAACCTTCAAAAAAATTTTCTAGCCTATTATTGCAAAAAAGGGGTGGGCCATAGCCCTTTCTAGCCCAATGGCTGCGCGGTGCCTGGGCATAAGGTGCTGTTTTTAGAAGTAATATAAGTCCAGAGCGCGAAAAAAATTGCCTTTGAAACATTTCTTGCCAGCCTACCACAACGTTACCACGTCTCAAGATTAGGTCGTAGCCAATGATATAGAAGCGCCGAAACATTGGTCGTAGCATGTAGTCCTCATCAAGTAGGGCGAGGAAACGCTTCGAAATTCTCGCACTCTTTTTCAATGTGTTCGTACGATTTTTGTGAACAGATCGGTTTTTAATCCTAGAGAAAATATTTTGTGAATTGGGCATATTCGCACGAATGCCAGTATTTTAGGAAGAACAATTTTATTCTGGCAGCAAAATTGGGAACGTCTTCTGCATTTTTTAAATGCGAATCCCGTTGTCTGTACTTTAAACAAAAAGCTTGTTCTTGCCAGCTGTCTGCTCTCAAAGAATGAAAGAAGCAAATTTTAGGCTATCAGTCTGAAAACCCATCGCATTATTGTTGTTAAAACTCATTACAAATTAATTATTCAGAAGAAAGAGAATTCTGAATTAGGCTCTCGTGTGAGATTTTAAACAAGGTTGCTCCGAGAGCAGGCGTGATGCTAGTTGCGTTGGGTTAGGCGAGTATCAGAATAAGGTATCGAAGAGGTATGTTGATCTTAAGCCGAAAAAGTTTTATCAAAATGATTAAATATTGTTTATATGAAGATTGTATTGGCAGCTCTTACGATTGCCATATCTAGACAAAACTGTAAACACCTGATGGTAGGACCGTCTTTAATTGCTAGTTGCTTGGTGGTAGCATTAAAAGTGAAATTCAGAGTAGCAACTTAATTAGTCTAAACACAAAAGCTTTAGATATTTCTGAATATCTGCGAGAATGCTATAAATAATTGCTATTTGTCGAGTTTCAATTTTTTGTCATAGGTCGTCCTGGTTATCTAATTTTGCATCTAGAGATAGTTAGAGCTAGTATGTCGAAGTCTTAAGCCTTTCAGCGATATTTCTATCACTGTGAAATGTAGCAAATTAACAGTTACATACATAAATCAGCTGCTTTTTGTTTGGTTTTCATTTCTCTTTAGTCTTGTTTCATTTGTCTGAAATTCTGCTTTATCAAACTCTATTTCAGCTGAAAGACAAAGTCTAAGTTATCTCAATATACCGTTTTGGATATTTTTCTTCATTCCTCTTTCCTTTATTATTTATCTAAAAATTTCCAAGGTTTTCTCTGATCTCGAAATTTTCTCTTGAAAGCTACAATCGATATGTCTTTTTAAAAACACAACGTTTTACATAAAGCCCCGTTTAAACGATCCAACATTTCTCCTAGCATTTGCCCAGTATTGATGTTGAGTGGGTCGTTTGAACACCATGATGGGTCTTCCAAAATGTTTGGAATGTTTCAGAAATATTTTCTATCACTAGTCAATAAATTACTTTGTTATTTCGTTTATTATTTCTTCCCTTATCTATACTTTTATTTATCATATATATTTATTATCTTATTTTCTATAAATGTTATACAATTAATTATCTGAAGAATAAATAGCTTAAATTTGCAATTTTTTTCTTTCAGTTATCATATTTATCACATTATTGCATTGGTCGTAACGCTAATTTCAGAAATTTATATCTTCGTAGCATACGTGGTACTTATACATTTTCAAAACGAAGCAGCCTTAAGAAAATAATTATTTTTCTGACTGTCAGGTCGACGCCTAGGGGTTTGGCATTCTAAGTTTATTATTACCACATCTTTGCTGATTTTCAAAATATTGGATAAATCAAATTTTAGTCAAGGGTAGATTTGTTTATAGTTTTCTGACAGATTGTAAAGTAGTTGTTGTTTTCAGTGTGAACACCAAAAACGGAGACATTTAAATACGCTAACATCGGCAACAAATAACGTGCTTTGTAGCACATCAAATCTAAAAAATTTTGAAATTGAAAAATTCACAATGGACTGGTATCTGTTACAACAAAGTTTTTCACGTTTTTCACTTGTATTTAATTTCATTTATAATGACGCCAATTTGTTGAGGATTCGTGAACGCCTCTTTCCAAAAATGAGGCCACCAATAGCGTTTTTGTTGGAGTAGTGTGAACACCTATCATCCATCTATCCCAGTCTTTTGTCGATGTCACCAGAGAAGGGCGTCTAAATGAAAAACACTCTGGCCTATCACCCCATCATGCCACCTAGTTGGCTTTAGACCTCACTTCTGTTATATTAAGAAGTTTGCTACATGTTTTATGAATGTGCGGCGTAGTTTCTCGTTTTTTCTGGTTTCTTCCAATTTGCGCGTGGTGTTTGAGTGCAGCTGGCTGTTTATTGTGTCACACAGCCTTCAACAAAAAAGCGAATTGATGACGTCATTAAAAGTATTGAGGAATTTCTACCGTACAATCCCTGGTGCAATCCAAAAAAGCACTGAGAAATATTCCTTCATAGTTGTCTGGATACAACCGCTTAAGTAAACCCGACTTAGCCACCAAATCATTGTAACTTTGTCTTTGTTCAAATGCATGAACTAAGCCTTGAATTGCACTTTAACAAACTCTTTATCTGGACCAAGCTGTAGAATTTAACGTATCCTGTGGTATCAGTTCAGACTATAAAATAGATTTTTGATGTCATCTCTCGACCACACTGGTGACTGTTACTAACTCATTGCGTCATATTTTGGTCCGTACCAGCTCTCCCGCTATTTCAATCTACTTCGTACCTTATTTTGACTAGTTAATTTTTGTTTTAGGGAAGAGGATTGGCGCATTGACAGACCACGAGTTGCCAGAAACATTATTCAGGACCTTGGTCTTGGTGACGTCTCGTGACACACCCAAAGATAGTGCCATTACGGAGGAGCTTGTCTTGATATTGCATATTGTGTTCTCGAAAATGGGTACAAAAGGTAAGCGATGTTGTTGCTGTTACACTGAAACATGGCGGTCACGTACTCAGTTAAAAACACGAAAAGGCCTGGATACACATATTGCATATATTGTTTTAAGTAGGTAGGTTTGATCCCGAATTTTTGGATGAGGTATCCCCCTGCGTACCAAAGATTGCTGCAATGTTTTATGCTGTAACGGCAAATAATAATTCAGGGTGTCAGGTTATATAAGCTAGTTTTGCTTGAGGATGGTTAAATTGATACCAGAAGTTCTGTGACAGAGATTCATTGGTTACCTTGCTTAAATTGAATACAAGGGCAACTAAAATACATGATAAGTTTGGTTCAGGGGATTTAATTCTGTTTTATGAAAAATGAAGGACCTGCAACGTGCAAAATTTTGAGTAGTCAGTTGCAAATAGTTGTAAAAGTATGAATCCGGATCCAATTTCTGTCGTTTTTAGTAACCATGTATCCAGTGTTGTTTCAGTTGCTGCAGTTTTGCCGCGTTTATCTTCACTGATAACAAATTTAAGATTAGTCAAGAGAACCTTGAACCACAAAGCATCAATTTTATTGATTTCTGCTTCAAGGGATACATAAGGATTTCACGTTCTAAACAGCTTTCGAACCATATCTTTCTATGAAATCTTCATATCTTTGAATAAAGAGATTTTGAACAGTATCTTTCTACAAAGTTGCCTTATTGAATTTTAGTTGATTAAGTAATTTTGTTTAAGACATCATATTGAATTATGATAAATAGACGAACTGCAAAATTGTGGTTTGGTGATTTTTTTCTTTTTTAGTTTTATTAAAGAAGGGTTTTGGTCATGATTGCAATAGATATTTGTTTTATTATATGTTATATTCTTGCTTCAGTCAAACAAAGCTTCAAAAATGCTTCTCTATCGAAAATGCCTCCATGTCCTCTGAGGCTAACCCTTACCTCTACAATTTCCGATTTTGAAAATCCCTGATGCCCTATATCGAATTATCTTCTCTCAAGTTCAAGTAGGCGAAAAGACCCAATTCATCAGATCGACGCCCTATCCCATAGTTTACCTATTTTGGTTGGAGTTTTTAAAATTTTATCACATTAGATCCCCAAAAAGGGCCAGTTAGTTTAGACATTGGTCTTCCATTCAGAGTTAGTTCCTGATTAAAAGCCAATAGAACTTGTAAAATTTGCTAGGTATCTTCTTAAATACATCTACAACTTTGAATTCAATAGCTAACCTTATTCTAAATTTTGGCTTTGACAGTTTTTGTAGCTAAATATTTCCAGTTAATCATTGGTTTAGCTCATTTTACAGTTTATATTAGCTATTTTTGTGATTTATGAAATGGTGCAATTTAAAAAAATTAAAAGTAAAATTTAGATGATGAACTTTCCCCACAATGCTCTATCGAGGAACTGACGATTGTATCTTTTGCCGGCCTTCCAAATTCGACTCTGTTGTTCTGTTGGAGAAAGAGTTAAAAGTTCAAGTATTCCGGAAATGTGATTCTGTTATTAATTTCTCATATATTGACATTATTTTTTCAGTCATGAATTCATAATGACGTCATCACATAATTTTATTTTGCAGACAAACGCTTCGCAGTGCAAGCGCGCATGACGGGCGCGTTACAGGTCAGCCTGAACGTCGCCAAGCAAAACCCACAGAACTTCAAAGTCTTGCATCCTGTGCTACAAGTGCTTAAGATCTATGCAAACAGCCGTAAGTTCTCTCTTTGATAAATGCAGTTGACCGTTAATTCTTGCTCGAACCTTCAACAATAAGCATATTCGAAAAAACTTGTATTATCAGGGATTTCTTGAATACACAAGGACTAAAATTATCGAGGTTCGATATTTCGAAGGACTCGAACTTTGAAATCCCGAATTATCAAAAGAATTATCGAAATTCGAATTATCGTAAAGAAGTTCGAAAGTTCGTATAATCGAAACTTTGTGTTGTCGAAAGCTCGTATTGTCGAAATCTCGAATTACCGAAAGACTAAAATTATCGAATTTCCAAATTTCGAAGGGCTCGAATTTTCAAATCTCCAGATATCAAAAGCTCGTGTTATCAATATTCGAATAATTAGAAGCTCGAACCAGCAATAATTGGCCTAAAAAGTTGCCTTTAACAAAGGGAAAAGAATTTTTCCTTTTCTTTTTTAAAACATTTTCAAGCAATATCGGTTTTTGGTTGATACGAACTCCTAAATTCATCATCAGTTTGACTTGAAAAAACGAGCCATTTGAAAATTTAAATCGAAAAGTCATTTATTTTAAAGGAATTTTGGCTTGTTATTGAGAATTGCTGTAAAAGTGTGGGAAAATTTTATGAAAGATCTAGTTATCAAATACTTGGTCCAAATGCCGGAAGCGAGATGAAGTTAATACTGATCGAATGAATCGGTTCGGGAAAATCTTATCAATTTGCAGTGTACATAGTTTTTTATCTAAACAATTTTTCTTTGAGGGAACAACAAATTGGCTCGTGTAATTTTCACCTCTGGTATCTTCGTATATTCGTATTCCATCATTACTTGCTTTCTGTTTCTACTTTCTGTGAAAATTCATTCGAGTTTCAACTAAATCTCTGTTAGATTTCTATTAAGATCATCTCTAGAATTTCCAATCTCAAATAAATATTTTAATTTTGAAATTTACTTTCCATGCAGATTTACATATGCCATAGTATCACAGAGTTTCACTTGAATTTTCTGTCAGTCCGCACTTATAAGTGTTTATATGACAACTAGAAATCAAAAAGCTTTTATAGCAGGTTTCACTGAAATTTTTAATGCAAATTCTAATTTATTTTAAGTATACGATGCAATCTATATTCAGCTTTACAATTTCAGTGTTGAAAATAAGTTTTTCGTCATTTCTATAACCAGGTCCCTCCCTGATCCTACTTTAAAGGTTTTTTCTAAACATCAAAGCATTTTTTTTGGATTGTTTGACCTACACCTCTCTAGTGTGTAAGATTTTCGTTTTCATAGAGTTATTTCAAAATCAGAGATTCATTTATCATTTCAGAAACTCGTGTATTCTATTTAAGAGCATAATAAAAAACTGTTGTATTTGCCATCTGCACTAAAACTAGATTTTAGATGACATTTCGTAATATTTCATCTGTCTCAGAAACATCAGCTGCATTGCAGTTATCTTTCGTCAAAATCAAAACCAACATCTTGACAACTGTTTTTAAAGTAATAATTACCATGGAATTAAATCTGGAAATGGAATCTTCGTTGATTTCCAGGCAAAACTTTGACCACATTTATTGTGGATGCTCAGCGATTTCCAGTTGTCTTGTGAAAAGTCTATCAGCGTTTCGACCGCAACTGGAGCAAGATTTCAATAAAGATTAGATGTGATATTAAGACTTAATCTTGATTAACTTCTGCGTGACAGTTTTATACGGCACATGAGCGTAGTGGTTTACATCTCAAATTAAATTCTTTATACCAAATACCTCACAAGACTTTCAACATCAAAGCTATAATCGGGGCCATGCGTTATTGGACTGACTTGCCAAATTATAGTCTTTTGAGAAAATTCCCTCATTACCCAAACATGCAATGTTGATATGTGTATTTCATTCCGATTACTGGAACACATGCATTGTCCAAGTAACCAACATTGCTTCAAGGAAGTTTTTTTTATTATCATTAGGGGGTACAAAATGCCCTGCTGAAATTTAAACGGATTCTCGTCCAGTCTAGTAGCCTTTTAGCCACGATTATTGGCTATATCTTTTGTCATGTGACATTTACCAACTATTTGGAATTTAGACTCAATTTCTCCAACTAATGAATTTCACAATACGGTATTACATAAGAGGTTTATTTTTCCTCCCTAAGCTTTATTCAAGTTATATAAACATATAAACTGTTGTTTGATGGTCGCATAAGCCTGAAACTCTGAGTTTCAACTTGGAATCTTCCTGTTCTATAAAGTAAAAGGGTGCACAGGTATGTTTTTACAACACTTTAGAATCGAACACTTTCAAAAGTTTGATCGTAAACATTTTTAAACATAGTTTTATTTTGTTTCAGCTGTTAACTGCAACATAATGGTGAAAGGTGGTGGAATTGAAACGTTGATAAAGATATTGCCATTCTGTGGTCAAAAACGCGTTCTTTCCGCCAAGTAAGATTTTCGTTTCGTATGGTCAAGGTTAGGCAATCGTGTTGTGTGTCAATCTCCTTGGCAGCACACACAGTTCCTAGAACATCTCTTTCTTCAAATAGTTATCCATATTATGCTATTGCTTCACTTTTGTTGTTGTCTTTTATTTTTTATGAAATTTAGTACAACTTGTCCATTGTTAAAAATAATAATAATAGTAATAATAATAATATTAATAATAAGATCATATTTATACAGGTTAACTTTGGTCAGCAACAACGTGATGTTATCAATAAAGGACCTGTCTAAATTATACATCGATTACCGAAATAAAAATTATATACATGATGGAAATGAAATCTTAAAAGTCGAAGTTAAATTTTTTACAAAAGTCTTAGAATTGAAGTTTCATACTTCATTTCGTCTGTTAATTTATTAAAAATCTTTGCTCCTTGAAAGTAAAACGCCTTATGTCAGTATCAGTATCATTATTATCATCATAATTAATATTTGCTGAGATTGACTGAGCATAAATTGAATTATCAGATTTAGTCTATAGTCTCGAGCTTCTTATCTTCTCAGGGGCCATCATTTTATAAAAATATTCATGTTAACTCGCTGATTCAATTTAATCGCATCTTATTCTTAATGTTTTGCTGGATTAATATTATATCGATTCGATTATAAACCACTAATCTAGGACTTAGAATGTTTCAATAAGTTTTAAAAAATTAGCCAAATTTCGACATATTACCCCTATTTGTGCTTAAACTTGCAAATGTTTACCGATTTTATAATCTTTGTGGTAAAATAGAGTATCTGTTTTTAATTCTGAGTTCTGATGCTTAATGTTTGTGCATGGCAACCAATGGCCCCCGACTTCCTTTTCAGAATTATTCTGGAAATTCTGGCACTTCTCGTGAAGTCAAGTAAGTGAGACATACTTCCTTACTTCTTAACAAAGTATGATAGATATCGAGGGTTATTTTGTGAACAAAACTTGAAAATAAATATTTTATATAGTTAAATGTTGTAATCAAGGTTTTTTTAGTCCTCTAAATGTACATCTTTGGATCTGCCTTTGGGCACAAAACATAATCTGGTGCTAGATGTCATCCCAACTTTTATAGACTGATTGGTGTTGTGAAAATACTCGATTTTAGTAGATAAAATATCAGCTGTTTGTGAGGCTATTTCTCCTCCACTCTGGAACTGATGAACCATTTTTTTAGAGATTGGAGCAAGAAGAGCGGTACTCCAAGGCGCAGTTCCTCTCCTTCTCAACATGTTTGTAGATTGGCATCGCACTGATCACAGGCATAGACAGACGACCTTGCGGAAAAGCATCTTAACTGTTCTAAAGAACATCATCATGATAAGTAAGTTGAGCCGGGGTTTGTTGTTTAAGGATATATCTTTGTGAAAGTAACATAACATCTATCAACCCATCAATAAATCAGTCATTCAAATCACTTCAATCACTACGATCACTTCTATTATTCCTATCACCTCGATCACCCCTATCACTTCTATCACCCCGTTCACTCCGAGCGCTCCATCCCGATCAATATGCCACGTTGTCCTAGCGACTAATCACTAATCAATTCGATCAATTTTTATTTCTTGAGTTTGTGATACATTCCTAAATTAGGTACATGGACATATTTATAAGTCTATTACTTATTAAATGGCATAATTCTGATAACCACAGCAGGACATTTAAATACCAGAGAGAAATAACCAAAACATTAGATAATAGAAGTATGTATATACTAAGGGAGGATGCGAAGGCGTGGCTTGTGACAAAGTGTAGTTTGAAGAAGTTTATCTTCAAGATATCGATAATCGGTGAAAAACCGTACGTCCTACTTTGTGGTATGGAGCAATGCTTGTCGATTTTAACTATTCATTTCTCATTGCTTTGCTTCCCTATGCTTCAATAATCACCCTACCAAAATTTTTATTTCGGAATTGTTCTCAATTCTCAGACAGTGGAAGGAAGGCACTGGCTCAGATTGATGGCATGAAAGTTCTTTACAACATTGCAATGGAAGGGTTAGAATGTATGTTTACGATCTCTTTGAAAAATATACCACTGCTTCATGATATTTATGAAATAAAGTGTGCGGCACTCCTCACTGCCATGCTTGCACCCCTTGGCATGAAAGTTCTTTACAACATTGCAATGGAAGGGTTAGAATGTATGTTTACGATCTCTTTGAAAAATATACCACTGCTTCATGATATTTATGAAATAAAGTGTGCGGCACTCCTCACTGCCATGCTTGCACCCCTGAAGTAAATCGACACACAAGACACTTCAAACAATCACAATTTCGATCTTTTCTTTACAAATCTGACCTAGTCTTTTATCAATCTCAGAACCAGTCTCTTTTAAAACAACTTCCCTCTTCTAGAACAATCTTCTTAGTTTTACCCCACCCCCCCAGCCCCCTCAACTTACTATTAATAGTTTATCAATCTTGTTTTAAGCTAAACTTAATTGTCTCTTTCCAAGCTTGCGGATGCTTTTGCAATAGGTGTTTACCAATTCTGGGTATACTTCAACCAAGAATTTTGCTCGCTATCATTCTCAGATTCCTTGTGATGTTGTTGTCAATTATTTTTTCTGTTGCTCCTTCACAGGTAAAGAGCTAGATGGAATGATCAAGCTGATCATATTGATTCTTCGGCGGTGCTTCGCTAGGCCTTACCTTCCTCTGCGCAGCAACCTAAGCATTTTCAGTTACCGCGTCCGGTCCCCTCTTGAAACCGGAAGCAGTACTGAGAACTCAGAGGATGATACGGGCGTAACCGAGAGTTCCGAAGAAGACATTTGTACTTTCAAAGCTACAGGTTAGTTGTCCTTTGACTTTGTTAACTTTCGGGAGAGTATGGTATTATACAATGCTTTTTCACTATATCCAATTAAGCCATTGGTGCTGGAAAATTTCAAGATAGTACGGTAAGAGGACCTTCGTTTGAGAAACCACTGAATTTCTGATGCTATTGTAATATTTTGTGCTTATATGATTATGTCATGACATGTCATGTTATGTCATGTCATGTCATGTCATGTCATGTCATGTCATGTCATGTTATGTTTTGTTATTTTATGTTATGTCATGTCATGTCATGTCATGTTATGTCATGTCATGTCATGTTATGTTATGTTTATATACAAATTTTTATATATGTTCATTCTTATGCAGCTGATTTTCAAATTGATGTCGAAGATAATGATGATGCAAATGTTGATGACGAAGTACAGATGACAAAAGATGACTTCGACAAGGAAACTTGTTTGGGGGGTGACCCAAAAAGACAACGAACTGACTTGGCAATGTATGAAGAATTTATTAAAGAAATGTTTGATTTCGCGGTACGTTTTAGTTGTGATTTTCTCTCCTTTTATGCGAAGTTCTTCTCTTTTGCCCTAGCAGAAACAGCCAATAGTAAATTGAAAAATTAATTTTGGCAGTATACCAAGTAGAGCATTGTTTGTCAATCTTTTTTGTCCATGGTACACTTTTTCATTGAAAAAAACGCGAGTCACGCCACCTATAAAAAATGTTAAAAAATTAACTCTGTGGCCATATTATAAAGTCGTTCTCATCGTAGTATCTTGAATAGGAATCAAATCTACATAAACAAAAAGTGTTTTATAATTAGATAAAATATTTCTATTCATTCATTGCGAATCATGGGCCTGTTTTCAGACGAATTAGGTGAAATCGAAGAAGTTTGCCACGGCACACTAGCCAATACCTAACGGCACACTAGTGTACCGTGGCAGAGTTTCTGAATGATTATGTCACAAAATACATTCGGAATCTACATAAGCAGACCTTTAAACCTGCAGAATCATTTAAATCTATGACATATTTGCTGAGATTGGAAATAAATATTTTTGGATTTCTTGTGCGCCTCCAAAAGATAAAGTTATGCAGCGAATAAAATTTCTGACCAGATTTTCATGCCTGATTTTCAAGTCTGTTTTTTAACCGCAGTTTTGATTCAATGAACCTCTTTTTGAATAAGAAATTAGAGCATCTACAGGCTCACAGACAATGCTCCCAACAATTGTCAAAGTAAATTATAAATTAACATTGTAAATTAGTTTTTTTTGCCCTGTCCTAAGTGAACTTGCCCCGCTACGTGTTTCATTTCGCCCAAATCCTTCAGCACTGCAATAATGCCCTCTAACCAATTAACCATTTCATTACTTTGAAGGATGCCTTTCTGAATTCTTATTTTCCTCAACAGGTTGATCCGAGTGCCGAGTACACCGTCGATGAACATTTTGCAAACGATTCTCTGATTAGAATTCCGACCGCGACGATGGAGAGTCCAGCAAGTTTCTTCGGCTCTAACGACTTTTCGTCGTTTAATCAAATCTCTTCTCGGCGAAGCTATTCGCCAATCAAAAAGTCAACGAGCTTGGACAGTAACAGTATTCTGTCAGAAAGACGAAGCGAGAACAAAAACATTGTTTTTTCAAGCGATTCAGATAAGTAAGTCTTGATATTCTATCCTTCTTTTTGATAATTTGCGCTTTAAAAACTATGATAGACCTAAGAAAACGAACTTTGGTACTAATAGCATTGGGGCCTTGTGGCCTCGGATATGGAATGGACTCCCGAATAAATATACACATATGAACATATAAACATACTGAAAATATACACATTTTTAAGAGATTGGTAAAACAATGGGGTGGAGATATAGCTGCAATACTTGTCAATTTGAAAAACAAAACATCGATTAAAATAAATAAATAAATAAAAAAATTCATGAATAAGTATTGTTAAAATTGTGTCGCATTTTAGTTACCATTAAATTGATTATATTTTATATTGTAAATGTTTTCGAAATTTATTAGCTTCTCTTATTTTGGATTATTAAAAGCTGTTTTTTAAAAAAAAATTCGAATTAAGATAAAGTGACACACGCATGATATTTACTTACGAATCGGGTAAAAACAGGTTGTTATTTATGGTTGGTATTTTGATAAATTTACATGAATCTGTTAGTATTAAAAAGACCAGCTTGAAATTTTCAGCTTTGCCAGTTTTAAATGGCATTTCCAAAAGCAAAGAATCGGTTATGATTCTAAAATAGCACTTTCTGAAAAAGGATACTTTTTTGCTTACTGAAAAATCTGGAGGGGGAGGTACATTGTTAATAACCCTTTGAGATCCTCGTTAACGTACCATCCGCCATTAAATTTTTTAGGATAAGTATGATATTTTGTCGTATAGCTATACAAAATCTGTTCATAAACTGCGCATCTAAAGGAAAAGATTGACGAGGGTTGTCCTGCCTAGGTCATAACAGACTTTTTCAGAGTAACCTCGTTTCACTCTTTTCAGAGCAACCTCGTTTCGGAATTGTCTAGTTTCCATACTGCTCGACCTGATAGTCATAAATAAGCATGATTAATAGCCATAAATTAGTATGATTAATTTTTTCAAGTAAAGGGTCAGGGTTAGTGTAAGGGTTAATGTTAGGGTTAGGGTTAGGTTTAAGTTTAGGGTTAGGGTTAGGTTTAGGGTAAACTAATTACGTCATAAGGTCAAGCAGTTTGGAAACTAGACAGCTCCCCTCATTTCGCCCTTTTCAGAGCAACCTGGTTTCACCCTTTTCAGAGCAACCTCGTTTCACCCTTTTCAGAGCAACCTCATTTCACTCATTTCAGAGCATCTCCTATCACCCAATATAGACTCTGCTTTTCTTACTACTCGCAACCCTTGCCAATGTCGATTTTCATCTTTACAGTGAGGTTGAAATAACCACAACAACGACACTGTTTGAGCCAGGGGGCTTTGCACCTGAATCACCGATGATGTCGCCAGGGAGAACCAAGACTCCAAGTATGCCCTCGATTCCATGCCAGCGGACTTCTGGGAATCTTGACGGCATTGACTTCCTGGTAACAGGCATGCGATTGCATAGCAACTCCAGCTCGTCCCCGGCATTAAAAGACTATTTAAGCAACAAGTATGCGGCGAAAGCCAAATGTTTGGATACAGACGCCGAAGACTTACCCAAGTCTGAAATTTCTCGATGCGAAAAGTCTCGCAGTGATGTCGATGCATTGTCGGCCGTCGATTTACAGCGTCAACATTCGCTTGAAGGGTTTTCGTTTGAAAGAAAACACCTGTTACCCTTTGTAAAAGAGGCCTCCCCAAGCGTGTATGGGCATCATCCTGTGGTGGACCCGGAGCCGTTACTTGAGAAGAGAGTTGGTATTCACAGGTGAGTTCCTTTTGGTTGAGGATCTTTTACCAACGCCAAATGTTTGTAATGCTATGCTCTGCCATGCTATGCTGTGGTTTGCTTTGCTATGCTATGCTATGCTATGCTATGCTATGCTATGCTATGCTATGCTATGCTTTGCTATGCTATGCTATGCTATGCTTTGCTATGCTATGCTATGCTATGCTATGCTATGCTATGCTATGCTATGCTATGCTATGCTATGCTATGCTATGCTATGCTATGCTATGCTATGCTATGCTATGCTATGCTATGCGATGCTATGCTATGCTATGCTATGCTATGCTATGCTATGCTATGCTATGCTATGCTATGCTATGCTATGCTATGCTATGCTATGCTATGCTATGCTATGCTATGCTATGCTATGCTATGCTATGCTTTGCTATACTTTGCCATGCTTTGCTATGCTTTGCTATGCTGTGTCCATTAATTTGACTCACTTTATTGGTCCTTTCCTTGCAGTAATTGAGCATACATTTGAACTTTGCCCTTTGCATTTCCAAGCATCTGTAAATATTTCCTTTACTGTTCCACATTAATTTTAAAGATGATTTTTTGAGCGAGCTTGTTCGCTTGCGTTTCACCGCGAATTGTTTCGAGGGCTGCAGATTGGAATCAAAGCTATTGCCCATCGGGCCGACACACCTATGCAAATTTTGCCACAAAACACTGAAAAGCATTACTTTTGGTTGTTTGAAAATTAGATAAACACTTATTTAAGCCATTTAACCTAAATCGATGCATATTGAATTTGATAACATAATCCATTCAAGTTTTGATCATAAATTGGAAGGCTATTCCAACTATGCTCATCCAGCGTGTTTATCGAAAATGACTCCTTTCTTCAACAACTGTGATTGCATTACATACTGTTTTACACATGAAAATTCGGTGTTGATATAGGAAAGCCGAAGGATTGAATATTTCTGTGAAACACAAAAGGGGCAAACGTTTTGAAACTATATACGAAACATAATGGTATATATTTACTAAAACAGATCCCAAAATTACTTATCAATATCGTATTAAATTACAGCTGAGTGATGAACTCCGAACGCAGGGGCGCAAATGCAAATTTTTTTCAGGGGGGTGTTCTTTGAAGGGACCGAGTTTTCGCCACGACAGATCGATTTTTGAGATATAGATATTGTCGGGGCCACTCTCCAGGGCCGTCGTGAGACAGACCTTGTTGAGGAGGCGGTGGGGGGTGGGGGGGGGGGGGATGGATAACTAATTTACCTGATTGAAATATGATTGCCTGAAATTATATAGTTGCTGTCACGAACCTCTGAAATATATTTTGTGAATCTAACTCTGTATATAATTCGCCACATATATTTTTATATGATGATAACGGGCTTGGAAAGGAGCAGGAAATTTTCGAATTTTGATGCTTCCAGTTCCCTGGAAAATGCACTTTTTAAGCAAATTTAACTAAAGCAGTCCTCCTAACCCTATTGAAAATTCTTTCTTGCAAACAAATTGAACAGCAGTTGGAAACAACTGGTACAATTTCGCTATGGTCTTGAAAAATACCGTGTTGTCAGTTACTTCTAGGTAACAAGCAACGCTGGTTGTCAATTTAGATCACTCTTTCCACCTAAGCATGCCTTTTGAATGTTCAAAAAAATCTGGATTTCATTGTGAATTGCAGTTCAAGAAACTTTAGGGGCTGTGGAAATAAGGCACAATTTTACCTAAAGAGGGTTTGGATTTTTAGATTTAATGCCAACAAGAATATCATATTTAATTTAACCAACGGAGCAACTACCTTTGCTTGATCCTTTATTGATTTTATGACAGGAAGGTCTCTGAAATACCTAAAGTGTTTCTTCCACCGAGCGTATTTTACCTGAAATTTCCAATTGAGATACTATTGAGGGAATGTGACTGCTGCTCTCGCATTCCCCTTGAAATTTGCGCATCCAACGCCGCGCATAGCACGGAAACAAGATAAAGCATGTTCATATGGCAAAAAAGTTATTGTTGTCGGTGGCAGCTAGAGTTTTTTTTCCAAAGCAGCGCTGGTTGGGACCGGATTGGACCGATTCTGTCCCCTGTCATTTTTCGGTGATTAGCCCTTCCTAGAAAATGCGCCCACTATATGCCTTACTTTACTGCAATACAGCATGGTACCAGCAGAATTAGGACCAGCTTTGGGTGTGAGAGACAGAAATACTAAGCAGATGGCTAGATCGGGACCGACTTTATTGCTATCAACTTTCAACTGGGACCGGGTGATGAAATTATTGGGGGGTGTGACACCCAAACACCCCCCCCCCCTCATTTGCGCCCCTGCACGAAACGAAAACGGGAAACTTGCTTAGCCTATTATACACGTGATAATGACTGGGGTCCAGACCTCAGTACTCATCAAGTTCCTTCAAAATATCTCAATACGATGTCTTGGCTGGATTTCCAAGAAGCTCAAACTTTGTACAGAAACCCAATCGACAATCGTTTCCTGCCAAATTTTATCCATCTTATTCCTAACCCTTTATATTTGCTTTTTTTGTTGGTTAGTTTTTTTACGACCCTTTTCACATGGTACCGGATTAATTTCTTATCGGATCACTTATCACATTGGATAGGCATGAAACCGGTATGCTCTTGATCGTTTTTTTGGATCAAATCATTCGAGTGTTGTGTGGAACCATATCGGACCACTTTGGAGGTTCTGTGAATGCACGGATCCGATAATGTTTTGCTCCGGACCTCGATTTTGAAAAGACGACATTCGACGTTGCAATTCTACGGCTTAAAGAAAATGGATTTTTCGGAGACGTTTGAAGGGTGTATTCTTAGGTTCGCCCCTCCCGGTGGCCCTGGGTACTCAAGCCTCGGGCTCTTGCAAGAACCCGCATTGGCGGTGTCACCAGAAAACTACTTATTAAAATGAATGGAACAGTGATGAATTTCTGCAAGATCTGGGGTTTATGGGGCACGAGACGGGATTCATGTCAATTAAACATGAAGCTTTGTAGTGTTTGAGTCTACTTTAGTCCATTCCATTCAGGAGAGATTTTAGACTGCAATCCAAACAAAATGTATTCATTTTTATGTTTAAATGATCGCAGATATACTTCCGTGTTTTAGCCTGTGTCCCAGACCCCTAACTTGGAAGTAGTCTTGAAAGTACTTTCAGGTTAGGGGTCTGGAGCACAGGCTACTGTGTTTCCGAGACCCAATCTGGATGAATCTATTTTGATTTTTAAATTATGTTAGGTTTTCTTCACCTAAATAATGTTTACATGATCAAAATGTGCTTCCTAGTTTATAAATCTCAATCCTGATTGATTGATTTTTACGCTCATGCAACTCTAAATTTATTTCATATTAAACTCCAGTGATTCTAGTGATTTTTTTCTACCTTCAGGGTGATGATATTTCACGACTTCTATCGATTCATTTGCCCAGAGAAGCTCATAAACCGTGTTGTGTTTGATCTCGATGACTTGGTTTGCGACGGCCTAAAAGGTTCATCCAAGCAATCCATTGCCAGCACGTATTTGCTCTCGCCAAAGAGGATAGGTCTGACCAGCAAGAGGTCGTCAACCAAGTAAGTTGAAAGCCATTATAATTCTTCATTTATATTAACGCGACTGTTATTCTCTAGTCAGAGCTCTTTCTTCGTGTTGTCTTTTAGTGGAGAGAAGATGGGAAATCCTTATATTTTTTGAGGACTCGCCACTCTTCTTCGAAATTGTAGGACTTTGTCGAAAAATATTGTGTAGCTTTTTCTGTAGCTTCTCCATTTGCCCCTGGTCATAAAAGGTATTTTTGTCAACGTCTTATAACCTGACATCGTAGCTTTTTGTGCTTGAATACGCGGAACATTCTTGCACCCGGTGTTCTCCATCCAAACACTTGCATCCCTAATGATTCTGGCAGTAGAAAATGCGCCTTAGTGTCACAAATTGGCATTACTTTTTCTATGTTGC